CGTACTCAGCTAGACTGAGGCGATACAGAGGTCGAAAGGGTGGAACCTTTCCTGGTTCAACAGGGATGGTGTGACCCACTGCGTGGTCAGGCGGAAGTCCATCAGGGATGGTTTCAAACACTTCCTTGAATTCCTCTGCCAGTATTTTCATTTGAGGAGGGAAATCCTCAATTGCTGGCTCCGAGGCCTCGACATTCTCAAGCTGTACCACGAATAGTGTATCAGCCGACTTAACAGAATGCCCGAATTGGTTGGCCAACACACACAGCGCGCTGGGACGTTCAGGCGTCTGTGTTTCAGTGGGCAAAGTATCATTGACTTGCCACTGGATTGCCTTTCCGTTCTTGTTGAACGAGACAATGTTGTACTGGAAGTCCAGAATAACTTCGTTGGCTCTCAACCAATCCATGCCCAGGATGAGGTCGACTCCTGACAAAAGTGGTAGGACATATACGCGAACTGTTTCGCGCTAGTCCTGTACTTTCATGTCGATATGTGTCTGTCCTTTACTTGGAATGACACGATCGTCACCCAAGCGGATGGGACACGACGGTCCTACAACGAGGACGTTGCGTGTCGTAACCCAAGTTTCATCAACAAGGGAAACCGACGCGCCTGTATCGACGAGAATCCTTGCTTCGTCCCCATTCATGCGTCCAGATAACAGTAGATTCTGTTGAAATCTTGGACGGATGGGACAAGCAACAACAAGTTTAGGAGGTCGAAAGTACACCCTAAATTTGTTGTGAGCGCGTCCAAACCTTTGGGATGTGGTCCACCAAACATGGTGCCCCTTGTCCCATGTTGCCAGGATATGCCATTCGTGAAATCGGCGGAACAACTCTCCTTTCACGATTCGAGTCACCAATCCCACTGACGTGAGCGGGTGCTCTTGGACACAACGGTCCACAATATCCATGATTGCTGGCAACTCGTTGAACGAGCAAGAGATGATTGAAAATTTATCTCTCAAGGATTCAATTGAGATGTTTTCAAGTGGGTATGATCGAGTTTTAAAAACAGATTTTTCATTAATAGAAGAGGCATACAAACAAGCGATTTTGCATGATGCAAGCTTCTCTAGCTTTAGCAAATCCTCATCACGAAGGACATAAGCCTCATCTACTCGATCTCGCTCACCAACTAGGTACCCACCCCCTAGTTGGACTTCGGAAAATCCTTCGGGCCCGAAGGGCCAGAACCATCCGGCTTCTTGCCCTGGTTGGGCTTGCCGGAGTTCTTGACGGACTTCCTCCAACGGCAGTGATAGGACTTGTGCCCGAGCTTGCCACAGATGCGGCAGCCTGCCGGGGGCTTATTCTCATCCTGAGGATCCTTGGCAGGCCCAGCATGGGCCCTCTTGGACTGAGTCCCAGAGGATTCCCCCTTCTGCTGATAGGGCCTCTTCCAAGAGCCACTGCCCCTGTGTGCCTGAGTCCTGTTACCACCCCCCCTAGGGCCTTCGGCACTAGGCTGCTGCTGAGCACGAGCGTGAGTCATGTACGCACGGAAATTCACATCCGTGTCAATGACCTGCTCCTTGCACTCCTTGTAGGTCCTCCACTGGTGCTCCCCGCGCACAACATGCACACGCTTGATGTGCTCAGGGAGACCCTTGAAGAACTGGTGGATGACCTCGCTCTCAGGAAGAGCAGTCTTCAGCAGCGACAGAGTTTTCTCAAACTCCTTGGCGTACTCGCGTACAGGCTGGTCACCGCACTGGATGTTCTCCAGGCGGCTACGCACCTCGAGCGCCGGGGGCTGACTCAGGAATGCCGCCAGCATGGCAGCTTTGAACTCCTCCCAGCCAAAAGGATGGCCATTAGCCTCTGCGTGGCGCTTGTTGGCATACACCAACTTGCTCGCAGTGTCGTCCAGGGCAAGGGTTGCAGCGACCACACGAGCCTCGCTACGCACATTGTGGATGGACATAAAGTCCTCCGCAATGGAGAGCCAAGTCTCGACGTCGGTCTTGCCATGGACAAAACGAGGCAGGGCCGAAGGGCAGGAGCCAAAGGCAGTTGCTGCTGCAGTAGGAGGCTCAGCACGTGCTCCAGTAGGAGGAGGAACAGCAGGAGGTGCATCAGCAGGTGCAGCACGGCTGTTAGCGGCGTTGGCGACTCGCTCTGCTGCAGGAGCAGGCTGGTAGAGGTTTCCACGCCGGATCTCCCTGTACTGGGTCTGAAGCACAGAGATGCTTTTCTCCTGCTTCTTGAGCTGATCCTGCACGAACTGAAGAGTGTTGTGCAGGTCCTGAATGAGGCTGGAGGTGTCGTTTTCCTTAGGGATCAACTGCACCTCCCTGGTCAGCTGCTCAATCAAGGCCTGAAGCTTAACAGAATCAGCCTCCAAGTTCTGGATACGACACTGTTGCACTCCAATGAGAATATTCTGCTCCGTGAGTTGAGTCTGGAGCTTGACAACAATGTTCTCAGTTTCATTGGAAACACCCTCATCAGAGCCAGCCTCTTCCTCATTTTCAGCATCAGCCTCAAGGTCGGCTTCACTTCCATTGATCTCCATGTCAACCACGAAATCCTCAAGGTTGAGATCAATGTCAGCAGCAGCAGCAGCATTATCTCCCTCAGTGCCAACAACGGGCACCTCCTTAGTAGCATCCATCTCTTGACCAGCAGCCATGAAACAGGTTAAGGAGAGGAGATCTCAACAAATCTTATAATAATCTTTAAGAAATCTGATTACTCTTATAGAATAATCCAATACAGAATCTCTTAAGATAGACTTGTTTGCCAAATCTCTCTATCACCTCAATGATAGAGCAAGATATACTCAAGAGAGTAATCCTCAACAAGCCCTTTATAGATCTGAAGGTACACTCTTCTACACAAAGTAGATCAAGAGTCTTCCACCAAAGGTGGGTAAGAGAAATTAATCTCTTCAAATTTCTTCTCAATGTTGATGAAGAAAAATGAGCTCCTTGTAGATCTTGAAGCTCCAATGGTGTGTTGAGGAGATTGAAGCTTGAAGCTTGGAGATCTTGTAGAAGCTTTTGTAAATCTTGAAGAACCACTTGTAGATCTTGAAATTTCTTCAAAATCTTCAAAGATCTTGATAGCTCCTTGGATGAAATCCTGGATCCACAAGCTAGGATCCTCTAAAAAAAAAAATAGTCCAAGTAGCAAATGGCCACACAAGGCCAAGGAAGAACCTTGCTCTAGATACCAATGTAATGCCCAGGACTATTATAATGGCGGTTACAAGGCTTTTATAATATTCCAATACAAAATAGTAGCTTTAACTAGCCTTAATAGCCTTGGAGATGAAGATATTATTGATGCCTTTGATGAAAAGCACTTGGAGTAGTAGTGTAGGGAGACTTGTGAGAGAGCCAAAAAGGACTTTGAGAAACAATCCCATTTCCAATTGTTTTGTCGGAGTGGGAGGTTGAGAATGAGCTTGCTTAGCTCAGACCCCCTCAATACACCCCTTGGGGAACTATCCCAACCATGGTTTCCATGGTGGGATGGTTCCTAGGCTTGGAGCCTATGTGGCAATTGTGTTGGGTTGGAAAACCCAACTTAGAACCATTCAATGGTTGTGTTTAGGATAGAGTAGATTGTAACACTTGTTTGGCAGTTTCTGATTGGTTGGAATTCCAACCTTCAACATTCTCTTGGTTGAGTTGGAAATGTTCCAAACCTCCAAAGTTGAGGCTTGGCAAACCCAAACCAAGTTTCATCCCAACCAACTCAACCATCTTCTCCAACTCTTCCTTTGTCGAGAGAAGTTCTCAACAATTGACTTAGAGAGAGATCGATGGTTGTTAGCTCGGTAGTTAGGGTAATACGTTACACCACGTGCTTTCTAACCTTCAGTTGCTGGAGTAAAAAGTGTTGACATTGTGAATGACCCACCACATCACCACATCCAATATGTGTGTTATCTGACATAATTATAACAGATATACCGTACATGTACCAACACTGAGCATGTTCCCTGCTCAAATCCGTCGCGCGTCTTCCAAGATCCAGCGCCACGTCTTCATCCCAGAAAGCATCTTCTTCCCCAGAATTGATCAAGATTCCTCGAGATCCTGCACGTGACGGCCAGGTCAGCGTATGGCGCTAGCCCTCATTGGGCAGCGGCCTACCTCCCCCACAAGGAATTTCCTTGGGATCGGTCGCATTTCCCTCGTTACAATCCAGGAGGCACTCCCTCGGCTCCCACCGTCGGATCGTCCCTTCTGTCACGACCGTCCTTTGTTGGCCTCATGGCGTGCCCTGTTGGTACTGTATGTCCACTGATCTTCAAGCACGGTTCAGTAGATTTCTAGGCGGTAACGCGCGGTAATGAAAACCAACCGTTTTGAACCGCAACGCACTGAAGACAATCGTGGTTTTTGAATAGTTGACTGGAGGGAGTTGAGACTGTGAGACTGACCATTCTGGTAGGACTTCTGATCAATGAGAGTGACCATTAGAGTAGGTACTCTTAGATTAGTTCCTTCTCTCAGCCGTAGTGCTTTGCTGTTGAATGACGCGAGTAATAAAGACTGTCTCCTCCCTCTGTCACCAGCGTTTTCTTAATTCCAACTAAGGAAACTTGGATGTGCTGATCTCGCCTTACATATGCAGAAGCCGTATTCCTCTTCGGCTTGCGTCTGGCTGGTATAAGTAGGCCAGCTCTCCAATTTCTGCTTTGATTGCAACAATTACTGTCAGACTACAAATCTTATCGATAGTATCGAAGCTTAGACTCGCTTCGTTTCTTATTGGATCATTATCTCTGTGATCGTATTTCCGACGTGAAATAAAAAAAGTGCTTCTGCCATGGACCCCCCAGCTGCATCGCAAGGCTTAGACATCAGTTCGAAGCCACAGGACTCTCGCAGAGTGACGTTCTCCGAACGTCAACAGCAGCGACGGCGCGGCTCCCGAAGATCCCTCGCCGCATCTTCCAACGGGGATGCATCGGGTTCGCCGACTGCTCAATCCGGAAATGGTGCGAATGGAGGCGCTTTCGGTTTCCGAGGACATCGCATGAAGCCAGATAAAGTGACCTTTTCGGAGCGTCAGCGGTTGAGAAAAGCAGGCGAGCTCGAAGAGGAGGATGCGAAGCCGATCTTTGGAAATCGAATGAAGTCCAAGGTGACGTTTTCAGAGCGGCAACGACAAAAGCTGAGACGGAGAAAGACGCTGGACGAGATGGAAACGCTAGAGTGCGTGGATGGAGAGTTCGGATTCAGCTGGTCGGAATATGCTTCGGATTCGTCGTCCGAGACGCCCACGCCGGCAGGTGGTTTGGAGAAGATTGAGTTTGGCGAAGAGCTGCGAGAGGAAGCTGGCGAGGCTGGCGAAGGGACGGTGGTGGGAACGGCGTGGAAGGAGAATCGTGGATTCCGAGTGCAGATTCGCCTCGGGGGAGCGGCGAAGAAGCTTGTCAGTGGAGCCATTGCCGGAGGAGTGTCACGCACAGGTGCGTGTCGTTTCATAGATCCTCCTTCCCCCTTTCAATCATACGCATTTATCTCGTTCTTCGAAGCGCCGTATGCAGCACGTTCGTCGTCTTCCAGAAAGCCACAAATGCAATTGCTCGCAAGTGACCAATAGGAAATAGCACAATGATAATCAGGACGCCATTCTGGCATATGGAGATTCACTTTGATAATGGAATTGCGCAATTTTACAGTGGTGTCTCCGCTGGAGACGATTCGTGGGGTGCTCGGGCAACTGATTGAAACATTTATTATAAATTTATACTGATTATAAAAATTGCGCAATGTTGCAGTGGTGGCGCCGCTGGAGACGATCCGCACGCATCTGATGGTGGGGAGCTCGGGGCACCGCACGATCGCCGGCGTGTTCCGCTGGATCATGGAGAAGGAGGGGTGGCGCGGGCTGTTCCGCGGCAATGCCATCAATGTCCTCCGCGTGGCTCCCGGCAAGGCTGTCGAGGTGAGATGAGACATTTGAGTGGACTTCTGAGTCGACTCAAAAGGCTGTGGAGGTGAGATATGCACATATGAGGAGATTGATGGGCCCTCACCTGAGAAGGTTAAGTCAGCCATTGCGAGCATTCTGGGCATGGTAGTTTTTGTAAGAGCTGGAGCATGAAAGGGTTGACGAGAAGTTAACATGTGGGGTTTACCGTCCGGCCTGACTTGGCCTGGCCTGACCTGGCCTGGCCTGGCCTGGCTTGGCCTGGCCTGGCCTGGCCTGGTTCGTGCATCCACGCGTCGATGTACCAATGCTCTCAGCTGCTGCGTTGACCACATGCATTGTGCTCTCAGCTGCTGCGTTGACCACATGCATTGTGCTCTCAGCTGCTGCGTTGACCACATGCATTGTGCTCTCAGCTGCTGCGTTGACCACATGCATTGTGCTCTCAGCTGCTGCGTTGACCACATGCATTGTGCTCTCAGCCGCTTCGTTGACCACATGCATTGTGCTCTCAGCCGCTGCGTTGACCACATGCATTGTGCTCTCAGCCGCTGCGTTGACCACATGCATTGTGCTCTCAGCCGCTGCGTTGACCACATGCATTGTGCTCTCAGCCGCTGCGTTGACCTGAGAAAGAACGTGCCGAAAGCGTAGCTGTCTAGCCAACATGTGCTGCTCATGCGCCCATACGCCCATTCCCCCTCTGCCCGCCGCCAGCTGTTCACGTACGACACTGTGAAGAAGCTGCTCACACCACCTGCAAGACACCATGCCCTCAGTGTGACCAACGTGTGTTGCCCATACGCCCATACGCCCATACTTCCATCCCTCCCTCCCCTCCCCCAGCTTTTCACATACGACACTGTCAGGAAGCTGCTCACCCCTCCGGACGGTGGCAAGCCCATTATCCCCATCCCACCCTCCTTCATTGCCGGATCTGCTGCCGGCGTGGCCGCCTACTGCCTCACCAACATGTGTTTCTCATGTGCCCATATCCTCTTTCCTCGTCCCTCCTCCCCTCCCCGCCACCAGCTATTCACGTACGACACTGTGAAGAAGCTACTCACCCCTCCGGACGGTGGCAAGCCCATCATTCCCATCCCGCCATCCTCCATTGCCGGATCTGCTGCTGGCGTGGCAGCGTGCTGCCTCATGTACCCCCTCGAGCTCGTCAAGACGCGGCTGACCATCCAGGTGAGTTTGTCGGTGTTGAGTTGACGAATGCATTGCTGGGTCTGCTGCTGGCGTGGCAGCCTGCTGCCTCGTGTACCCTCTCGAGCTCGTCAAAACGCGCCTGACGATTCAGGTGAGCTTTTCAGTTTCCGGTTGTCAAGTGCATTGGGGGATCGGTTGCCGGCGTGGCCGCCTGCTGCCTCATGTACTCCCTCGAGCGCGTCACGACGAGGCTGATTATTCAGGTAGTTTCAGGCTATTAAGCGCCCCCCACTGCATCCCAGCTGTACGCCCCCCCACTGCATCCCAGCCGTGCATCAAGTCACCCCCGCTACATCCCAGCCGTACATCATGCACCACCAGCACAGCATCACTCACGATCCTTCGTTTCGCAGCCGTGGAAGAACCGCTGCATCATCACGGAGGAGCGGCCTTATGAGCTAGTTACCAGCCCCGTATAGGCATTTGAGTCGACTCAAAAGGTGACTTTTGAGTTGACTTTTGAGTCGACTCAAAAGTCACCTCGGCCTTATGAGCTAGTTACCAGCCCCGTATAGGCATCGTGATTCGTGCTAATTCGTCCCCTGCTTTGCGAAAAAGTTTTCGTACACGTGTCTGACCTGTGCTGACACGCCTCTCCTTTCTTCCTTCTATCTTTCTCCTCCAATCCCGTAACCCCCTCTCCCACCGTCCACCCAACACCCCCCCCCATCCTTTCTCTGTCCGAGCAGCCTGGCGAGTACCGCTCCATCCTGCATGCATTCTCCCGCATCATCACAGATAGAGGGCGCACACGAGCTCTACAGGGGGGGGTGGGGTCTAGCCTCATAGGTCATGCCTCCCTTACACTCTTTTTATCCCTAACCCCCTCCTCCCCCCACTCCCCCCCACCACCCCACCTCCCTCCCTGTCCATGCAGCCGGGCGAGTACCGCTCCATTCTGCATGCATTCTACCGCATCATCACAGAGGAGGGCGCTCACGAGCTCTATCGCGGCCTGGGTCCCAGCCTCATAGGCATCGTGCCGTATGCTGGCTCCAACTACTTTGCATACGACACGCTGCGCACGCTCTACAAGGAGGTTACTAAGAAGGACAAGATTGAGCCGCTTGCGACACTCATCATTGGGTCGCTTGCTGGCGCTGCTGCTGCCTCGGCCACGTTCCCCTTGGAAGTGGCACGGAAACAGGTGTGCTTTCTCTCTGGGTGGTTTGGGGGGTGTGGGTGATGCTAGTGGGGGCCGTGCACGAGCTGTACAGGTGTGCATTCTCTAGAGATCTCCCCAGCCTGATAGGCATCGTGCCGTACGCCGGCTCCAACTACTTTGCATATGACACGCTGCGCACGCTCTACAAGAAGGTCGCTAAGAAGGACAAGATCGAGCCCCTCGCGACGCTCATCATTGGGTCGCTTGCTGGTGCTGCTGCTGCCTCGGCCACGTTCCCCTTGGAAGTGGCTCGGAAACAGGTGTGTGTGAGAGGGAGGAGGGAGGGAGGGGTAGGGGGGGGGGGGGGGGAGGGGGGAGGAGGTGCGCTCGCTGGATGGTTTGGGGTGTGGGTGATGTTGTTGGGTGTGGTTGATTCTATGGGGCGCTCTCGAGCTCTACCGAGGTGACTTTTGAGTCGACTCATGAGTCACCACGTGATGTTGTTGGGTGTGGTTGATTCTATGGGGGCTCATGCGCTCTACTGAGGTGACTTTTGAGTCGACTCAAAAGTCACCTCGTGATGTCGTTGGGTGTGGTTGATTCTACGGGGCGTTTGCGAGCTCTACCTGGGGCTGGGCCATGGCCTGATAGGCATCATGCCATATGCTGGCTCCATCTACCTTCAAAGTTGTTCCGGAAACAGGTGTGGGGGTGAGGAGGTGTGCTCGCTGGGCGGCAGTGTTTTTTTTTTTTGTCTCTTGGTGCTGCTTCTGGATTTGCTGGTGCTGCCAGTTCTGCTACTGCTCCCGCCTCTCCTACATTCCCACTTAAAGAGGTGTGCAAACAGGTTCATACATCGGGTTCTTTACATTGTTGAGCGTCCCATACCCGATATTACAGGCGCTCACGAGCTCCGATGTTCTGTGGTGCATTATCAGGCTTCACCTGTATCAACCTCCTTCAATCTGTCCATCATGTTAACCCCCTTCCCCTTCCCGTTCTTACACTTGCAGATGCAAGTGGGTGCGCTCAAGGGCCGTGTTGTGTACAAGGGAACGTTGGACTGCATTCAGAGGATCGTTCAGGAGCAGGGAATCCAAGGGCTATACAGAGGCCTTGTGCCGTCGTGCGTCAAGCTAATGCCTGCTGCAGGGATCTCGTTCATGTGCTATGAAGCGCTCAAGCATGTTTTTGTTGAGGATGACAAGGTTACGGTAGCGAAACCAGGAGGTGCTTGACACTGCAAGGCTAGGCATTGATGCTCTTGGGGAATGCTACGCGTAGTATGATTCTACATATTTTTGTCTCTTGAGAGCAGGGCCCGTGCTAGGAATTGGGGCACCCTGAGGCCTCAGGGCACTTTTCTAAAATCTTAAAAAATGCCCTGATTTGTCAGGGTAAAATTTCAAAGCCTTCCTGTATGTTCAGGGCTTCTACATACATTAATCCTGACCTGTCAGGGCAAAAAAACATGTGTTCAGGGTTCAGATTTCAGCACAGACCAGACCAGACTCTGCTGAGCAGAGCAGAGAGACGCACGCCTAGTGCCGAGATGATCTGTGCCCTGTTTCCTGTTTCAGATTGTTCCTTGTTCCCTGTTTCCCCCATCTGATGTGTTTGGTTGGTGCGTTGCGCAGGGTCGGAAGTGCAAGGGGGTCGCAAAGGCGGGAAAATACACGGGGAAAGCAATCAGCGGGGGAAAATTCTTCGGGGAACAAATTCCCGGGAAACGGGAACACCCCCCCCCACCCGCCTGCCCCCCCCCCCCCACACCCCTCCCCCCCCCAAAAAAACGCATCAGGGCAAGCCTCGACATTCATCCTGACGCTACAGAGAAGAACACCACAGCCATCCTGATTTTCCAGGGCATTTCATATAATACCATCCTGAGAGCTCAGGGTAAAAATTTACACTATTCTGAAATCACAGGGCAAATACAAATATGCATCCTGAATTCAGGGTAATCAGGATGTTTTTCCCTGATATCGTGGGGCCTGCTTGAGAGTGGATTTGTTTTTGTAAACTCAAATAACATTTGTCGCTCTTCAAATCAGAACCCATGAACACTGCATTTAGTTGATTATGAGGTTGTATCTTGTTGAATGAAGGGAGAAACCTGAATTGCACAATTGGGCCTTCACACAGGTCTTGCCCTATAGCACAATTCAGCAAAAATAATTAGGTATATTTACCCACTTGAACCGTTGAATCATCCTTTTGAATATGATGCATGAACAGCCTAACAACCTCAGTTGGCTTGACTGACACCCTTCATCCGAGAAGAATCACAAGATCTCCACGTTTGTCTTATTTTCAAGCCGCCGGCATGTCATCATACTGTAATTCGAACCTGTACTTCCATACCCCCCCACCCTTATGTCATTCTAGCTTTGGGATACGTTTGGTTGGACTTGAAAGTGGCTCGGATACAGTTGTCCCACCTTCTTAACCTTAAGAACCGTAATATATGTGTTCTGTATTGTCCAAAACCCTTCAATACCGTACTACCGCCAGCCACCGCTTGAAATGCCTCTCCGGCATCTCACCTTTGCCATGCCTTCGGGGAAGAAATGCCACGTCACTGTAACCTGTGTTCCTGCTGTCACCGGCGATATACAACCGTCAAGCCGTCAGTCAGGAGACGACCGAAAGGTAACTGCCTGCTCGCCGGTAGCCGTGAAAGCCGAGGCTGGACGGCTGCGGTCTCTGGTGTAAACACGTCCAACCTCACTTCCTTCCTCGGCGCCAGCTGGGTTGAATTTCACTGTAGCTTCACGACGCGCGGTGCTGATGATGATGAGCTGAGCTGAGCCTGCTGCCCCAACCCAATTTGTGCTGTAAATGCGGCTCGACTTCACGGGCGAATCGCGATCGATTTCGTACAATCCTTCCTTTCCTTATCAATGTTGGCATTTGCTTTTCGTACGCCGTGAGATTTCCGTGCCGTGGGCAACATGTGTGGTGGTTGAACGACGAAACACAAGTGCTGTTTTTTTCTCGGGAGAGGGGCGCCACGCCCGAACCGCGCATCACTGGCCACTCGCAAGAAACATGTGAGCAGAGCCATGATTGTCCGTCAGTGTCCGTCAGTAAAACCGTCACGTGTACACTGTTGATTTTAATCGCTATCAGGTATGGTCGTCACGGCCATAGCACGGTGGTATAGTACTCAGCTCACATGATCGTCGTCTCAATAACTGTCAGCTCGACCAGCTCACATGATCGCCGGCTGACAATATCTTCTTTCTCAAGAAAACTCAGCATCACTCAGTGCGACAGGCCTGGACAAATTCGGACGAATTAGCTGGGATCGCGGTCTGACATACCCTTTGAGGTTCTGTCACCATTCGGATAGTCCCTAACTTAGGGATCACCTTTGAATACATAAACGCTAGCATGTCTCTGGTTAGCATCGAGTAAGTGACGCGCTGAGTACTGCGCTATTTTTTCCCGCAACTAGCGGAACACCCTTAATTCTACCCGCTGGAAGAGCGTGCGATAGAGAGCACTGTGCTTATCCAAGCGTGAAGTGACGAGCCTCCATGAACACGCGCCGGGTATCGCGGAGCGGCACGGCCAGCGTGTTAGTCGCTGAGGCTGCTGTGGTGGCGCCGCGGCGCGAGCGCGTCGCGAAGGGAGCTAAGATTCGACGTCTCCGTAGGAAAGCGCGCGGATACATGAATTTCGTAACGGGTACGCGGCTCGACCCTGACAAATTCCTTTTACTTCCGCGGGCCCAACCCGAACGACTACAGGACATGATAGCATGACCTCCTTCACTTCCTTCTTGGAAAATGATTATACAATCATTTTATGCAAAAACTAATCAAAATATTTTGGGACCTTCCTTAGCAATTCCTCCTAAAATGATTTTACAATCGTGGTCTTGCAAAAACTAAACAAAGACTTTTGTTTTTTTTTTTTTCATTTTTCGCTGCTCTTCCAGGTCTCATCCAATGGGCATCATCCACGTGGCATGATCGCAAAGACTCCTCATCCGGATCCTCCAACGGGAACCTTCCAATGATCGTCCGCGAGTCGCTCTCTTGCCGGGAGCAGCACCGCCGTCACCAACATCGTCACCACCACCACCATCAGCAGCATGTTCACCAGCACGAGCCGCACCGCCCCAGCGCGCCCGACGCCATGGCTGCCGGAACCAGCACCTACTCGCCCCTCGACCTCTCCCTGAGCGAATCGCTCACTCATCGTACCGAAGAAACTCAGTCTGATGAGACTCAGGCCCCGTTGCCCACTCAAGCCGTCACGACGGCCGCTCTCACAGCACAGAATGCGGCTGCTGCGGCTCTCACACTCCCATCATCATCCTCATTCCTGCCACGGAATGCAGCGGAGTTATCCCGGCCGCCCCTCCAATTCCCCTTGCCGGCCGTCGAGTTCTCCCTGCGTGAGCTGGCGGCCTGCACACGTGGCTTCGGTCCCGATGCCATGCTGGCACTGGACTGGGCGGGCGCCGTGTACCGCGGGTGCTGCCACGTGGGCAAGGGCCACGTGGAAGGGCGGCCCGGCGGTGAAGGTCTGCACTTAGAGGGGCCTGCCAAGGAAGCTCCACGTGCTTCGGCGAAACGTGCCGAATCTCCAGCCGACCAGTGCTGCTGTGCCACGTGTCAAGAGCTCACCGCCACTGAATGTGTGACTCTAAGGGGCGGCTGCGCGCGGGTGAAGCGCTGGCGGTACCTGCCTTCCTCATTGCCTCCTCCCCCGCCATCCGTGTCAGCAGCTGCCGACGCGACAGGCACCGGAAGCATGAGCAACGAGCAGGGACCAGCAGCTTCAGATAGCACGCCGTCTTATACTCCCGAGGCGGCGCAGAGCTCTGGAGAGGTGCAGAGCGGTGGAGAGGTGGATTCTTCTGTCTCTGCTGGGAGGGAGATGATGGGGCGGCTGGCGGCGACAGCAGCGTCGCACCCGAGCCTGCTGCCGATCGTCGGCTTCAGCTGCACTGAGGAGCTGCTGCTTGTGTTCCGCTCCCACCCCTCTGCGCGCTCCCTCGAAGCCGCCCTTGCACGAGGTACAGTAAATCCGTCTACCCATCTTTTGTTTTTCTCCCTTGTTCTTTTGCCGTTATTCTCTTTTTTCCACGGAGTTCAGTCATAGAATAACGCCGTGCCAGCATGACCCATCAGCCGTACTAAACCGTTCCTCCCTCTCCTCTCCTCTCCTCTCCTCTCTCCTTTCTCCACAGACGCAATGCTGTGTGGAGCCGGGTCCCACTCTGCTCTCTCCTCCTGGTCCGCCCGTCTCTCAGTGGTTCGTCAGATCGCAGGAGGGCTATCCCACCTGCATTCCCACAGCTTCCTGCACGCCTCCCTTCGTCCTGCCAACGTGCTTCTCCTCCCTGCCGGGTCAGCACAACAGCAGCGTTGCAGCCCCCATCTTCCGAGCCATCTTTCGGATCAAGAGCAGCGGTGGTGGCGTCACATGCTTTGGCGGAAGGCTCGGGCTGAGGCTGCTGCCCAGGTCCGGGTGCAGCTCGCGGATTACGGCATGCCGTGCCAGGCTGGGGACGGGCCAGGTTTGGCAGGGAAGAGCCTCGGATGTGTCGTGTTTGGCGATGCCAAATACCTGGACCCTGCATTTATGGGATCAGGCCGGTATGGTACTGCTAGTGACGTTTACGCGCTCGGCGTCATAACGAATGAGCTTATATTGAGACAAGGATCATCTGGGAAGAAATCCGGCCGGCCAATCACAAGGCTCGCTCGGAACACATCAGCACGAGCATCGGACAGCTCGTCTGAAACAGCAGCCGCCGCTGCCGCTGCCGCTACTGCCACTGCTACCAGGGCCTTTCCAGTGTCTCGGTCTTTTCCCGGACCACATGCTTCTCCAGCCGAACCACAGCCTGACACTGTAACGCAAACAGGTTCGGCAGCACCAGCAGGGGCAGCACCAGCAGGAGCAGCACCAGCAGTACCAGAAGCACCAGCAGCAGGCGCACGTGGGTATTCAAGCCGGACACGTGCAGACAAATTCATCCCCTGCAGACACCTCACCCACTGCAGACCCCTCTCTTAGTCATCTCGCAGTCCGGTTTGGTCCGGTGAGGTACCACCAAGCGTCAGCGCTGGTGCAATGGTGTACTGAGCGTAACCCTGCCCGCAGGCCGTCTTGCCTTGAAGTGGAGCAGCTTGTAAAGGGGATGGAGGGGATGAGTGTGGTGGGAGAGTTGAGGCGGAGGGAGATGAATGGGAGGAGGCTGAGAGGCCGGCAGTGGGCCTTGCTGAAATAGATTTTCTCTATTGTATAATTAGCTAGCTAAAGAGAAATGCATGCCCAGAGTTATTAAGATGGCACTACTGTGCATATCAAGTGAAATGCCAATGATAACTTTTTAAAATGGCACTACTGTCAATATAAAGTGAAATGCCAGTGTAGGTTGCTAATCAAGCCCTAACAAAAACTGCATATCAAGCCCTAACAACAATGTGCCATGACAAGGCTCTATTTGACTTTTGAGTCGACTCAAAAGTCAACAATGTGCCATGACAAGGCTCTAGCTTGCCTTGACTTCCATTTCATTATTGTTCACACTAATAAAGCTACCCCGAAAGTGCAGTACTCTGCCTACAGTTTAGAATACCGCTGCAACAATGCTGTAACTTCGTTTTATTCGCCTAACTATCAGCGACCTCTATCCATATCAGACCTTCTATTGGTGGCCACATCATTAACGAAAGCGAGGCCCGTTAAGCTCTGAAGTTGAGCGCATATTAGGGATCTGATTGTAACGGGTTGAGTTCGCCGCCCTAAAAGTCTCACCACTTCCTGTGGTGGGAGTGGACAGGAGGGGATACAAGGGTGAGGCAAAATGGAGGTTAGGGATGGGGAGGCAGAGAGGGAGAGGGTAGACGAATTTAACAGAGGAGCAAGGCAGGAAAAGAAGACGAGTGCCGTGTAGTGTAGAGAAGACGGGGGCGAGGGCGATAAGGGGCGGGGCAGGGGATGGGAAGGGGAGAAGGAGGGGGCTCGTGTGGGGAAAGCAGGGTGGGGGGGACGGGGGGGACGGGGGGGGGGGGTGGGTGGGGAGGGAGGGGAGGGGAGGGAGGGATGGGAATTTTGGGGGCGCAGGGGGTAGGGGGCGGGAATGGCGTGACAGGCAGATTACGTTGTGTTGCAAAGCCCAATACAAGAATGAGCGAGGGACAAGCGACGGAGGGCGAGGGCGAGGGGGTGGGGGTGGGGGGAGACAGGGGGTAAATGGTGGCAGCGGAAAGACAACGTACTCATGGTGTGCGAGGAGTCATGCCCGTGAGGGCGGGCGGCGGGGGAGCCGGGGGGGCGAGAGGATGGGGACGGGGGGGAAGTGGGGCAGCGAAAAAAAATACGTACTCATGGTGTGCGGGGCGTCATGCCCGTGAGCGCGGGCGGCGGGGGAGCCGGGGGAGCGAGAGGAGAGAGAATGGGGGAAAGTGGGGCAGCGGAAAGACGACGTACTCATGGTGTGCGGGGTGTCATGCCCGTGAGCGCGGGCGGCGGGGGAGCCGGCGGAGTAGACGCCGCGCCGGCGCTGCCCGTTTCCGTCGGCGGCGTCTGATCAACCGGATCGTCTTCCTCCGGTGGTGGGGACGGGGAGCCGAAAAACCCATCCGGTATAAGCACATCCGATACAAGGTGTACCTGGAGGAACTTCCCCTCAAACAGGTTGGGGGCTACGAGCGTGCTGTTCTCTTTTCCCGAGGGCGTTCGGAAGTACACCGTGAAAAAAGAACTTTCTGCGGATTTGACCTGCGGCTGCCCGTACATTGTCGGATACTGGATGGAGTTACAGCGGGGACAAAAACCGAAGGAAAAACAAAGAGTTGCAAATCAAGAACCAGCGAATGGCGACAAACCGCGGTGAAAAAAAGACATCGGAACCAGGCATGTGCCCTGGTACTACGAGACGTTATCTTGTTACGCACGAAGCAGCACGCGAAAGGGTTACCGAACAACCACGTTGTTTTTCGCGAAACGTTACCTTGGTCCCCGCAGGATCCTCGACGAGGTTGGTGTAGGAAACGAGGCGGCCCAATATGAGGCAGTAGCGCAGCAGGCGGCGCATCGTCTTCTTGCTCTTCACCAATGGCGAGCCGTCGGGCAGCTCCGCCTTCGCCGCGTCGGGCGACGGCGCCAGCAGCGTCACCTCGTTCGACCGCCGCAGCGCGCGCAGCAGCAAATCCGCGACGTCTTGAGTTCGCGAATGGGGCAATATGGGAGATGGTGGAGAACGGGCGAAAAGGGCGGGTGGGGGAGAGTGGGGGGAGAGGGTGGGGGGGAAAGGGGAGGAAGAGGGACGGAAGGAAGGGGAGGGGGAGGAAAAAAGAGGCCGAAAGGGGAGGGAGCAGAGACAAGGTGAAGGGGTAGATAAAAGGAGGCGCGGCCCGGATAAGCGGCCTGTTCGGCTGCTGCTCATGCGCTGTCCATCGACCACTTTAGGCGAAAAGAAGAAGAAGAAGAAGAAAAAAAACCGCCTGGCAGGTTCTGAAGCAGAGGAGAACACAACTCGTTCCTATCAGAGCGTCTGTCGCGCAAACTCACCTCCTTTCCAAAACATTCGCACAAACTCCTTGTTTTGCGCGAGTAACTTGACGACTTTCGCGACTTCCTTGACTTTGTCCATCGAGACTGGCCCCGATTTGCTCTTAGGCCCGCCGGGAGGGGCGGGAGACCCCTTCCCAATCCACTTGCGGATTCTGTCGCGTAGCTTGGCTGACGCGGGCAGTGGACATGCCGCCGTAAACACGAGTAGCAGCAGCAGAGACAGCACGAGTCGCTTCGGCGCCGCCATTTCTGAGTGCAGCTTTCGAAAGAGTAAGGGCAAATGACCTACTTTATTCGTTTCTAGCCAATGTTCAAAAAGTGTGTGTGACCAACGAAGTCACGCTTGTGTTGTCGGTCAATTCGAGAACAGGCGCTACCAACGCGACCCTGCGGAGATGAACAAACAGACTATATGCTCTACTGGAAAGTCATCCAACGCAGCAGGCCTCTAGCTGTGTTACCGCTGTGTCACCGACAGCAGTCGACCTGTCCGTCAGAGCTTCCTGCTGTTACAACGCTAGTCGGCTTATGAGTCGAGAAACGATGAGTCGACTCAAGATACTAGTGTTGGTCACCGACAGCAGCACTGTCCGCTGCCGACACGACGCGACTGGCTGGACGAAGCTAAGAATAACGTTACTTAGGCCTTACTCCTGGTCCGCCTTCGAAACTGCTGGGCTGCGGCAACTAACGACTAACGGCCACCCTACGCGTGACATCCACATGAAAACACTGGCGCCCTTGGTTTGCCTGGACTTTCATCCTACGCGCATTTCACATGCCACTTATTCCTTCCCTACCTAACCGTCCAGCACTGCTGTGCCGAAGTGGAGGTGCAGGGCTATCTGTTTCCCCCCTGGCCCTGCCCGCGTGCAGTGCACCAGACCGTTCCTACCCTTGTTCTCCTAATCGAGTGTTCTCTTACGCCGCGGAGAAGGCGCTCCGTTATTGTGACTAGTCTGAAGAGGAACCGATTGTGCGTTGGTTATTGCCTTCTCGGAGAGGGATGTGATCTGACGACGACGAGCGCTGCTGAAGCGAAGGACGGGAAGCGAACAAGAGGATATGACAAAGCCGCTTCGTACTGTATGCTCAATGCGATGAGAGCCGTCCCCGTCATTCCGGCGGGAAGGGTGCTGTGCTGCGCCGTGCTGTGGTCTTCGTCTGGTCAGCGGGTGGTTGGTTGGTTGGTTGTCCGTCCGTCGCCCCAAGGTTGGATGTATGTTGAGATAGAGTCGACGACGACGGGTAGTACGAGTGAGCAGGTGGGTTCGGCGACCATAGAGTCGCCGCGAATCAAGGTATTCTGCGTCTCGTGAGAGATCGAACGCAGGGACCAACGAGATGGTGTGAGGGGAAGCATGAAATGTACGATTCGTTTATGTGATCTCGAGTCGCGCATTCCGGGTGGAGTCATACGTGCACGCTTCGACACCCTAGCGAGGCCCTTGTGACAACATGTCGACAATGTGGTTAGATGCAGGGGCGCGTGATATAGTCACAGAAACACGTGTCGTAACATAACTTCTGCATCGGGGGCCTTCCCTATCCGACGGCTGCGACAGCCTCACGGTGTATTGGAATTCGTTTTGGACTTGTACGTGCGATACAGCTGTGATTTCATCCTCGACATCACACATTTTCGATATCGGGGTGTGTAGGTTCCGCTTCCATATCAAGTCAGCTTTTAATAAGGAGTCTTCCTAGACATTTGGGGTTGTTGTAATAATCAAACGGTTAAAATTTCTGGCCTAACCTGAAACGATGGCCTAACCGCTCTTCATTCAATTCATATGTTTGTTTACTCATATATACACAGGGAGTGGTGCACTAACTTCTCTGTGAAGGACGATCTTCGTACCAACTACATTATCAAATGCAGAGAGCTCTTCACAAAGTTCACAATAGCTCCACGAAGTGATTCAGAAGGCCGAATAACTTTCCCTCCCAATGCCTCCAACGTCAATGAGTCATCGTCGTCGATATCCTCCTCCGCATAAAACGCCCGCGTACTGTAGTCTGCGTTCTCCATCCATTCGGGCTCAGTCCAACGCGGCTCGGGGCCGTCCAACAGCATGTGGTCGTCCACAATAGAAGCGAGGTGTTGAGACTGCTGCTGCGTCTCCAGCACGGCCAAAGCCGCTTGCCGTATTCTCGAGCGCGCGTCGTCGATCCAAACAGGGCTGCACGCCTTCTGCGCTTCCAAACAAGCCAGCCTTGCAGAGGACGCTTCGCCGCAATGAGCGAGGGTCGTCGCCATCGCGGTCGATGAGTCCATGATCGCCATGTTCGACGCCTGCGAGCAATCGCGCTCTGCCGTCGGAGGAACGCCGCCGCCATGACTCATAACGCGGCTTTCTGAGGACGTCCGCGAAACTAAAGCCGCTGCGGCAGTACTATTACTAGCATCAGAGGAAGGGATACAAAACCGCGAAGACGAAGTTCCTCGACGTGCGTGTTTCGCAGCATCACCAAGTTGTGTCGCGGCCATGGATAGTGAAAGAGAGAGGTAGACGCGTCCAGCAAGGAAAGGCTTCGAGTCAGATACAACAGCCGCGGGGAAAAACAAAATCTTATCGATGCAAAGCAGCATATCTACGTGCACGTCGTTGCACAATCCCGAAGAATGCGAGTGTTTTGGGTAGACAAAGTTGGTTGGGACGGATGCATTCGGGTGGGGTTGAACGGCTGACTTGTCGTGGTGGCAGAAAAAGTTCAGGTCTACGTGTAAGGGCAGGGAGGGACCTGGCCTACAGAAAGGACTCGACACAACTTAATGCGGTTTGATGAGTTTCTGTGCGCTGTCAAACGGTTCATCTGGATGTAACTCAACAACATGCCTTTGGCCAAGTCCTTCCGCTGCGCGTCCTTGCTGTGTTGTCCTTGGCTCGGGCTCCGCTCCGCTAAAGGAGAGCCGCTCTGATCTGATGTGCTGTCTGCGCATGCTTGGGGAAGCAACGCCGCAGCCAAATGGCAAGGTTCGTCGTGGTGCGCGACCACGTAGAGCCAATCATCCCGATCTCAGCATGCGCTCCAGACCAATCAGTCCTGTCCTGTGTTGTTGCATTCGAATGTTGAAACTTCCCTTCTCTGAATTGCATGTACAAGCATCATTGAAGTGTCATATAACCGAATTGTTTGCCGATATACTTGCCAAAAAACCCTTACTATATTTTTTTGCCATACAGAAATCCTGCATCGACAGACCGAGCAAACACAGCTCTAGCGATAATAATGTGTGGGACTGTTCATCACATGGGACCATCGACATCCGCGTCAAGCTCAGAACATGGCAGGTGCAATGGAATGAAACCGGTATACAGTATGCTGCCCAGTGAATAAATGCGTGAACAATACGAGTTTACTGTCCTAGTTCACCCATATCGCAGTAAACTATTTCATTTGCCTCGAGACGTCAAAATATTGTTCCAATTCAAAGCGATTGCTGTAAAATGTACATTTCAGTGCCCCTTGAAACGGCAAAACTCTCGATTACAAACACGGACAGTGCTTTCAAACCCAACGAATAGTTTTGCCTTCCCAGTCCCGTGGACAAATGTGGAGGCTATTCAAAAGCCGATTGGAGGGGTGGGGTGTGTCCCCTCGTGTGCTTCAATTGGTCGATATCTGCTCGATTTTGCAGAAGGGGCTGAATTTTGGGACCGCGATATCGGACCAATGGCGCCAAGACCTCAAGAGGTTGGGGGCAAGAGATAAAAAGTGAACAGAAAGAATAGGAAGAACGTCATCCAGCGAAACTCGCCGGCATGAAGAACAGCGCTACACTTCGACCAATCGATGCAAGAACTCAGAACATTCAATACCAGAAAGGGTAAGACCATTTTCATGATATAGGAAGGTTATGTTAGAAGCTAGAAGCATTTGTTAATCATGGTTAATCCTAGTGAGAGAATTAATGTAATCACACAAAACTTATAAGCATGCCCATGCAATGACTGCAGGAATTTCCAGCAGCTCTTGGTGCACCATGTTTCCACACAGCGCATCAGGAATTAACAAATGATGTTCACACAGCAAGCTGAGCGTGGCAGCCTGAATAGCCTGCACACCGTCCTTGCCCTGCGCGCCTGCCTTGTTGCAATACTGCCTCCCTGTATCCATGCCCATCTACACCTCAGAATCAGAGTCAGTGCAGGATTCCTCATGGAAGGCGACCCCCCTGGAGCTCTGACAGCGAACAACAGACCTTGGCACGAGATACCATGGTTGGTTGGAGCAACTTAAGAGGCGCCAGAAAGATGACGAACAGCAGAGCTTGGCACAAGATGGGGTTGAAGCAAGCACCACCCATGCCTGCTTCCTCGCAGCAGGCGTGCTTCTTTGCAGGCGTGCTTCCTTGCAGGCGTGCTTCCTGAGGTGACTTCTGAGTCGACTCAAAAGTCTTCTTTGCATGTGTGCTTCCTTGCAGGCGTGCTTTCTTATTACCATGCACCTCCTCCGTGCCTGTGATGAATCAGACCAATTAGTCAATTGCTGATGCCTGATATAGGGCCATGTACAGTAGCAGAAGCAGCAGCAGTGGCTGTGACAGTTCACACTAAGTGGTACAAGCACAGCAGCGGCAGTGGCGGTTCACAGCAGCCCAACCCCCCCGCTTGAATGGATCACGTTAGTGCCAACCCGGCTGCTTTGATGGCGGAGAGCAATTCTTGGTGAGCGAAGGGCTTGGAGAGAGTGCCGTTCTTGCCCCCGCCTCCGCCTGCTGAACCCGATTCTAAAAATATTGTTTTCAAGGATCACAGCAGTGCACCCCCAGCAGCTTTGATGGCAGAGAGCAGCTCTTGGTGGGCGATGGGCTTGGAGATAGTACTGTCTATGCCTGCCTCCTTGCACGCCTGCCGAACCCAATGTTTGAGGCACCTCAAAAGGTTCTAAGGATCACAGCAGTGCTACCCCCGCAGCTTTGAAGGCGGAGAGCAGCTCTTGGTGGGCGATGGGCTTGGAAAGAGTGAAATCCATACCCGCCTCCTTGCATGCCTGCCTCACCCGCGCGTCCACATCCGCTGTCAGTGAGAATATCAGCTGCCTGCGTGCTGGGCTAGGTGCCTTTTCTTCCGCTGCTGGAGCCGCCACTGCTGCTGCTGCTGCTGCTGCTCCCGCTGGTGCTGTTGGTGCTGCTGCTGCTGCTGCTGGAGCATCTAGATCCAACAATGGCAGGCCGCCAGGGTGGAACGCAAACGACGGCTGGGACTGAAGCTTCGGCAGGGAAGAGGAGGTAACAGTTGTGCTGCCGCTGCCGTTGCTGCCACCGCTGCTGCTGCTGGTGCTCGTGGTGGTGGTGGTTGCAGCAGCAGGTGCCGCAGTCTCTGCTTGGTACTGAGCACGTATGCGTCGAGCCGTCTCGTAGCTGTGGGTGGGCCACAGGGGCGGTGGATATAGGGGGGAGGGGAAGGGGGGAGAAGAAACAGGGGGAGGGGTTAGGAGGGTGGATAAGCTTTTGAGTTGTTCTGAAACGTAAATCGTTATCACACAGTCTCTGCTTGGTACTGAGCACGTATGCGTCGAGCCGTCTCGTAGCTGTGGGTCACAGGGGCGGTGGAGACAGGTGGGAGGGAAGGGGGAAGGGAGGGAAGGGGGAGAGGGAGAGGAGGCTCAGCAGGGAACTGGGCACGAATGCGACGAGCAGTCTCGTACCTGTGAATCACAGGGGTGATGGGCACAGGCGGGAAGGAAAGGGGAGAGTTCAGGTCAAGGAATCCAGTTTTGGGTTGTCTCGACATAAACTGATTAGTAAATATGCAGTCTATGCAGGGAAATATGGCACGAATGCGCCTACCAGTTGCGTAGCTGTGGGCGAATCACAGGGGCGATGGGATGGACGGAGGGGGAAAGGAATCGAGTTGGATTTGACTCAAACACACTATTCTATCATGCATGCACCCTCTGCAGGAAACTGGGCGCAAATGCGGCGAGCAGTCTCATAGCATTGTCATCCTCCTCGCAACCATCTGGTTCACTGCGTTGCCATCCATCCACCCATCCATCCATCAACCACCGTCACTTCCTGCATTGTCTGCACGGCACGGCACTCCTCCTTACCCTTCAATCCCAGGGGGCATGTGCAGTGCAGGTCAATCAGCAGAACAGCGAGCGCATATTTGAGGCGCCTCAGCAAATCATCTCGCTTCACGCTGATTTTATACAGAGAGAACCTTGAACTTACCCGTCAATCCCAGGGGGCATGTGCAAGTCAATCAGCAGCACCGCGAACTCATTCGGAGCACTTAGTCTCTCCAATGCCTTCTCCCCACTCTCCACAAGCTCCACCTTGGCCCCCAGCCCCTGCAGAGTCTTCCTCGCCACCATCCGGTTCACCGCGTTGTCATCCACCACCATCACCTCCCGCCCGCTAAGCATTTCTTTTAGCAAAGCGGCGGCGTCCTCGGGTTTCGCGAGCGCGAGCGCGGCTTTGGAGCGGAATTGCGGGGATTTGGGGCGCGGGGGCGTGGAGGGGGCGAGGGAGGAGACGGAGGAGGGGTCGGCTGGCGCCACGTGATTGGTGGAGGTGTCGGAGAGGTTGTCTGATTGGTCGATGGGGGCGAAGAGCTGAGGGAGGGGCAGGAGGAGAGGAGGGAAGTGGGGAAGAGGGAAGAGGTGAGGAAAGAAGAGGAGACGGACAGGAGGTAAGCCAATGCATGGGGGAATTGGCACAAAAAAAAAGGTTTGAGAAGAGGAATGGCACGCTAATTGACAACACAGGTTTGTTGCACAGCTTGTGCCTGGTGTTCCAATAGAGGGACGCGAAAAACACTCACTGCGTGCCAAGAGAAGAGCATTTTGTGGATTTCTCAGCAACCACAAGCACTCACTGCATGCAGGCATTGAGCGAGGTCAGTCACGAGGCACGGCTGGAGAAGAGTGTCGGCAAAGCCTGCTGCGAGCGCCCTGGCGTAGCTCACACCCGCACAGCCCTGCCCTGTGAGCACCAGCAGCGGGAGACTGCACGGCACAGGCGGTGGCCGCAGGGGTGATAGTGGTGGCGATGGTAGCGGTGATGCTGATGGTGATGGTGGTAATGGTGGTGGTGGTGGTGCTGCTGCTGCTGCTGCTGTTGCTGCTGCTGCGGATGATGTGATAACACTATCATCCGCATGAGATAGACCCACAGCGGTGCCACGCCCATGCCCTCCTTCTACCCCCCATTTTGCAGACAGCAGGAATCGCACTTCAGGCGGATGGGAAGGAAGCAAAGGGGCAAGGAAGGACGCAAAGGTGGGGGGCGGATGAAACACCTGTGTGGCCAGCCACGCCCATGCCCTCCTTCTACCCCCCATTTTGCAGACAGCAGGAATCGCACTTCAGGCGGATGGGAAGGAAGCAAAGGGGCAAGGAAGGACGCAAAGGTGGGGGGCGGATGAAACACCTGTGTGGCCAGCCACGCCCATGCCCTCCTTCTACCCCCCATTTTGCAGACAGCAGGAATCGCACTTCAGGCGGATGGGAAGGAAGCAAAGGGGCAAGGAAGGACGCAAAGGTGGGGGGCGGATGAAACACCTGTGTGGCCAGCCACGCCCATGCCCTCCTTCTACCCCCCATTTTGCAGACAGCAGGAATCGCACTTCAGGCGGATGGGAAGGAAGCAAAGGGGCAAGGAAGGACGCAAAGGTGGGGGGCGGATGAAACACCTGTGTGGCCAGCCACGCCCATGCCCTCCTTCTACCCCCCATTTTGCAGACAGCAGGAATCGCACTTCAGGCGGATGGGAAGGAAGCAAAGGGGCAAGGAAGGACGCAAAGGTGGGGGGCGGATGAAACACCTGTGTGGCCAGCCACGCCCATGCCCTCCTTCTACCCCCCATTTTGCAGACAGCAGGAATCGCACTTCAGGCGGATGGGAAGGAAGCAAAGGGGCAAGGAAGGACGCAAAGGTGGGGGGCGGATGAAACACCTGTGTGGCCAGCCACGCCCATGCCCTCCTTCTACCCCCCATTTTGCAGACAGCAGGAATCGCACTTCAGGCGGATGGGAAGGAAGCAAAGGGGCAAGGAAGGACGCAAAGGTGGGGGGCGGATGAAACACCTGTGTGGCCAGCCACGCCCATGCCCTCCTTCTACCCCCCATTTTGCAGACAGCAGGAATCGCACTTCAGGCGGATGGGAAGGAAGCAAAGGGGCAAGGAAGGACGCAAAGGTGGGGGGCGGATGAAACACCTGTGTGGCCAGCCACGCCCATGCCCTCCTTCTACCCCCCATTTTGCAGACAGCAGGAATCGCACTTCAGGCGGATGGGAAGGAAGCAAAGGGGCAAGGAAGGACGCAAAGGTGGGGGGCGGATGAAACACCTGTGTGGCCAGCCACGCCCATGCCCTCCTTCTACCCCCCATTTTGCAGACAGCAGGAATCGCACTTCAGGCGGATGGGAAGGAAGCAAAGGGGCAAGGAAGGACGCAAAGGTGGGGGGCGGATGAAACACCTGTGTGGCCAGCCACGCCCATGCCCTCCTTCTACCCCCCATTTTGCAGACAGCAGGAATCGCACTTCAGGCGGATGGGAAGGAAGCAAAGGGGCAAGGAAGGACGCAAAGGTGGGGGGCGGATGAAACACCTGTGTGGCCAGCCACGCCCATGCCCTCCTTCTACCCCCCATTTTGCAGACAGCAGGAATCGCACTTCAGGCGGATGGGAAGGAAGCAAAGGGGCAAGGAAGGACGCAAAGGTGGGGGGCGGATGAAACACCTGTGTGGCCAGCCACGCCCATGCCCTCCTACCCCCCATTTCCCCACCCCAACCGCTCACCAGACTAGCAGACAGCAAGAAGCGCACAGGGTACACATGTCCACATGCGCACAGGGTACGGCGTCCACATGCTCTGAAACCCCTTCAGCACTCCCCCTTGGGACCTCGCCTCGTCGTCCCAGCACTCACCAGACTCGCAGACAGCAGGAAGCGCACAGGGTACGGCGTCCACATGCTCTGAAACCCCTGCTGAGAGCATCAGCTCAGCAGAGCCCACTCCTGACCCCATATTTGAGTCGACTCAACAATAGCATCGGCACGGCACAGCCCAAACCTGACCCCCACTCATCACACCATTCCTATCACTCACCAGACTCGCAGACAGCAGGAAGCGCACAGGGTACGGTGTCCACGCGTCCTGAAACCCCTTCCCACCGCGCGCCTTCCCCGATGCGCTATCATCCCCTCCGCCCATCACACTCCTCAGCAGCGTCCCAGGTAGCGAGCGCAGGATGGAGAGCGCGGTGGGGCTGTCTGTGTGCTTGCTGGGCGCATGCGTGGTGGTGCTGCTGGCAGGGTCTGCTGGCTGGATGTAAGCGTTCATCTAGAGAGCAAAAACCGAGCGAGGGAAGGGGAGAGAGGTGGGGGCGTGGGGTGGGAGGGGGGGTTAAAGCCGACTCAAATATCGCTGCTGGCAGCATCACTTGGCTGGACGTATGCATTCATCTGGAGCAGAGACAGGGGGAGGAGGGGGGGGTGGAGGGTAGGGGAGGGGGGGGGGTAGGAAAGAGCGGAGCAAAGGGCGGAACAAAGGGAGGAGGAGAGCAAAAACCGCAGAAGAAGAGAGCAAGAATCTCACCTCCTCCTCTTGAACGAACTCCCCGTGGCCTTCCGGGTCCAGCACCCACCGCATCTCCTCCCAATGAATCCCACAACAGCGCCCCCATAGCAGCAAGCAAGCCCACGCCAACGCCCCTATAGCAGCAAACAAGCCCACGCCAACGCCCCTATAGCAGAGCAGCAACCTCAAAGAAGCAACCCTCCCACTCACCTCCTCCTCTTGCACGAACTCCCCGTGGCCTTCCGGGTCCAGCACCCACCGCATCTCCTCCCAATGAATCCCACAACAGCGCCCCCATAGCAGCAAGCAAGCCCACGCCAACGCCCCTATAGCAGAGCAGCAACCTCAAAGAAGCAACCCTCCCACTCACCTCCTCCTCTTGCACGAACTCCCCGTGGCCTTCCGGGTCCAGCACCCACCGCATCTCCTCCCACGGGATTCCACACCCTGTATCCTCACACGCCATCACCAACTGCACTCGCCCCACGCCCCTCCTCCTCCCCCTCCTACTCCTCCCCTGGCCCCCCTCGCTTCTCCGCCCAGTTCCCCCGGTTCCCCCCCCTCCCCCCCCCTCCCCCCCCTCCCCCGCCTCCCCCCCTCCCTCCGCCCTCCTCCTCTTCCCTGTCCGACTCAGCCACTGCCGAAGCAAAGATCATGGGTTGGCAGAACCGAGCCGCCGTCCGCCGAACCTCACGGCAAGCCTCGGCGGTGAGTGGGTGTGGGATGGGCGGGTGAAGCATCCAGGGCTCAGGCTCGGGGAATGAGTCGGACTCGTTGCCACGTGTGGGTGGGGAGTAGCAGGGAAGGGGAGTGGTGTTAAAGGGGAGAATTTGGACAAGGGGACGGGTGGGGTACCTAGGGGATCAGTTGGAGAAAAGGATTAGTAGGGATACGAGTGGGTGCGAGAGAGTAGTAGGTGGCACCATCTCAGAAATGACCTCAGCACCGCACAGCACCACACAGCACAGCTCCCCGGCGTGTCCCACCTGCAGCTTGGCGAGGTCCAGAACACTGTTGAGCAACCCGATGGCCTCCACGGCACACGTCTTGGCGTCCAGCAGGTCCCGGTGCTGCCACTCCGATAGACTCGACTCCAACCCACTCACAGGCCTACCTTCTCACATGCCTTGCACATATGCATAGCCACACTCCCACCTGCAGCTTGGCCAGATCCAAAACACTGTTGAGCAGCCCAATGGCCTCCACGGCACACGTCTTGGCGTCCAGCAGGTCCCGGTGCTGCCACTCCGACAGACTTGTCTCCAGCAGCCAATCCATCATCCCTAACATCCCCGTTATAGGCGTCCTCAGCTCATGCGACAGGTTCGCGACAAACTCGCTCTTCGACCTCTCAGCCTGCTCCAGCGCGAGAGTGTACTTTTCAACCTCCGCCATCTGCTGCCGTATCCTCGCCTTTTTCCGCGCGAGAGACACTATGATAAACGTCAGCAGCACCGCGACCAGCAGAACGAGCAATCCCAGGAGCATCGGCGCGAACAGGGTCCCCCAGACAGGGGGAGGGTGGCGGTAGCGGCAGTGGCCCTCTTAGCGGCGGCCGATGAAGTCGTCTGGGAAGGGCTGCACGACCTTGTCGCCCGGGGGGATGGGTGCGGGCAGCACCATGGGGTAGATGGGGTTGCTGCCCGTGGCGGGCTGCGTGTCGCCAAACACGACCAGCGGGTTGGACGCGTTCGTGACGTCGTACATTGTGAATGAGATGGCGGACGCGTTGCCTGGTGAAAAAAGGGGAAGGTGGAGTGGGGGTGGAAGGAGGGGGGAGGAAGAGGGAAAGGATAGGGGAGGAGGGGAGGGTTAGGGTAGGGAGGGGGAGGGGAGCAGTGGGGGCAGGGCCGGAGGCGTGTCTCAAGGAGTTGGTGATATTTGTACATGATGGGGGAAAAGACGGACGAGTAGCCTGGCGTTGGTGGGACGGAAGGGGAGAGGGAAGGAGGGAAGGGGGTGGTGGGAGTTGGTGTGGGGGCAGGAAGGACGAGTTGAGATCGAAGAAGTGCAAGGAGGGAGACGTGTCAACGGGTTGGTGACGTCATAGATGGTTACGGGGATTAAGGGGAGGAAAGAATGTGTCGACTGTAGTGTGACTAGGCAGGACGAGCAGCACGCACACCGTTTGGTGGCACTAGAAGGGCAGCATTCCCACAACACATCGTACCTGTAACGAGTACACTCAACATACCTGTATCGAGTACACCCCAACGCACCTGTATCGAGTCGTACCTGTATCGAGTCGTACCTGTATCGAGTCGTACCTGTATCGAGTCGTACCTGTATCGAGTACAGAGAAGAGAGTGTGTTTGATGAGCGCCTCCACATCGATGCCGGGCGCCAAGAATCCTGCCAGCGCTGCCAGCACCTCTGCTGACGTGGCGTCGTCGTTGATTGGGTGGCGCAACACTGGAATGCCAAAACCTTTTGACATGTAGATGCACGCACGCACATGCACGCACGCACACACACACACACACACACACACACACACACACACACACACACACACACACACATACACACACACACACACACACACACACACACACACACACACACACACACACACATCTAGCAAGGGACCACAAGAAGCACGGACAAAGAGCAGACGAGGCTCTCAATCAATGGAGGGAAAAATCCAGGGAGGACATGGGCACAACCACAACCCCTCCTTGCTACTCCCCAAGCGCTCCTCGCACCCTACCCTCCGATCACCTTCGCACCAACCCAATCCTCCACGCTGCCATACCCAGCCTGCCAAGCCTTAAGCTAACCCCAAGCCATCAAGCCCATTTCCCACAGCCTTAAGCAAACCCCAAGCCATCAAGCCCATTTCCCACTGCCCTAAGCTAACCCCAAGCCATCAAGCCCATTTCCCACTGCCTTAAGCTAACCCCAAGCCATCAAGCCCATTTCCCACTGCCTTAAGCTAACCCCAAGCCATCAAGCCCATTTCCCACTGCCTTAAGCTAACCCCAAGCCATCAAGCCCATTTCCCACTGCCCTAAGCTAACCCCAAGCCATCAAGCCCATTTCCCACTGCCTTAAGCTAACCCCAAGCCATCAAGCCCATTTCCCACTGCCTTAAGCTAACCCCAAGCCATCAAGCCCATTTCCCACTGCCCTAAGCTAACCCCAAGCCATCAAGCCCATTTCCCACTGCCTTAAGCTAACCCCAAGCCATCAAGCCCATTTCCCACTGCCTTAAGCTAACCCCAAGCCATCAAGCCCATTTCCCACTGCCCTAAGCTAACCCCAAGCCATCAAGCCCATTTCCCACTGCCTTAAGCTAACCCCAAGCCATCAAGCCCATTTCCCACTGCCCTAAGCTAACCCCAAGCCATCAAGCCCATTTCCCACTGCCTTAAGCTAACCCCAAGCCATCAAGCCCATTTCCCACTGCCTTAAGCTAACCCCAAGCCATCAAGCCCATTTCCCACTGCCCTAAGCTAACCCCAAGCCATCAAGCCCATTTCCCACTGCCTTAAGCTAACCCCAAGCCATCAAGCCCATTTCCCACTGCCTTAAGCTAACCCCAAGCCATCAAGCCCATTTCCCACTGCCTTAAGCTAACCCCAAGCCATCAAGCCCATTTCCCACTGCCTTAAGCTAACCCCAAGCCATCAAGCCCATTTCCCACTGCCCTAAGCTAACCCCAAGCCATCAAGCCCATTTCCCACTGCCCTAAGCTAACCCCAAGCCATCAAGCCCATTTCCCACTGCCTTAAGCTAACCCCAAGCCATCAAGCCCATTTCCCACTGCCTTAAGCTAACCCCAAGCCATCAAGCCCATTTCCCACTGCCCTAAGCTAACCCCAAGCCATCAAGCCCATTTCCCACTGCCCTAAGCTAACCCCAAGCCACCAGACAGACACCAGCCCCAAACTCACTGAACCTAAACCCAGCCGCCCACTTCTTGAACCCGGTCCCAGCCTCCTCCAACTCACTGAATCCGATGTGGCCGTTTCGGAAGCGGTACGGCGGGCTGCCGCGGCTCTTCGAGCACCCACACAAGCTCCACACCACCAGGAAAACAGCCACCCAACTCACTGACCCAACCTCGCAAACCACCAGGCAACAGCCACCCCATCCCACTTACTGAATCCGATGTGGCCGTTTCGGAAGCGGTACGGGGGGCTGCCGCGGCTCTTCCACTTGGTGTTGAGTTTGCTGCAGCCCTCGCCGAAGCGATCGGAATAGTCGGTGCACTGCGGCCAGTTGAAGAAGGGGCTGAACTGGAAGAGGTTCACCACGTAGCAGTCCTTGCGCGCGCTCACTTTCGCCTCCAGACTGTTGATGCCCTGAAACTCGCACCCCAGCGACTTCTCTATCATTGGCCTGGGAGGAAGGGAGTGGGGGGGAAGGGGGAGGAGGGAGGGAGGAGGGAGGAGGGAGGAGGGAGGAGGGAGAAGAGATAGGGGAGGGGAGGGAACGAGGAGAGGGAGGGGTTGGGCCGTGAGAGGGAGAGTGTCGGGCACGCATGGGCTGAGCGGTCCGTGTAATCGGTGCACTGCGGCCATTTGAAGAACGGGCTGAACTGGAAGAGGTTCACCACGTAGCAGTCCTTGCGCGCGCTCACTCTCGCCTCCAGACTGTTGATGCCCTGAAACTCGCACCCGAGTGACTTCTCTATCATCGGCCTGGGGAAGGGGGGAGGGGGGTGGAAGGGAAGGGAGGGAGGGAGGAGGGGAGGGAGGGGAGGGAGGGGAGGGGTTGGGCTGTGAGAGGGAGAGTGTCGGGCACACATGGACGAGGCGGTCCGAATCGTTAGTGCACCGCGGCCAGTTGAAGTAGGGGCTGAACAGGAACAGGTTCATTCACCACGTAGCAGTCCTTGCGCGCGCTCCCACCCGCGGTGAAAAGTCTGGGTGGGAGAGGGAGAGAGAGTATGAACCCAGTCAGCGCGCTCTCACCTATATACTCTTCCAAGCACACACAACTGCCCTGGCTGGCTGTCGGCGAAGGCGAGCCATGCGACGGTCATCCAACGCTTGGCGTACTGCAAACGTTATATACATAAATACAAATATGTACTACGCATATATGAATACAAAAGCCCATTGAGACGCACCTGTCCTGGCCGTCGACAAAGGCGAGCCAGGCGTTGGTCATCCAGGGTTTGGCGTACTGAGTTTCCTCGGCGTATTTGATCCAGGAGCGGTTGTTGAGGCACCCCGTGTACCCCCAGTACGCCAGGTCCGGGGCCTTGGGGCCGAACCCGTTGAACACCTTGATCAGCCCCACGTTCACCTGCCGGGAAAGGGGAGGGGGAGAGGGGAACGCGGGGAACGGGGAACGCGGGGGATGCGGGGAATACGGGGAATGAGTGTTGAGGCACCCCGTGTACCCCCAGTACGCCAGGTCCGGCGCCTTGGGGCCGAACCCGTTGAACACCTTGATCAGCCCCACGTTCACCTGCAAGCCGGGGGAAGGGGGGCGCGGGCAACGCAGGAAACGCGGGGAAGGAGGGGGGGGATGCGGGGAACATGCAGGGGTAATGGGGAAAGAGGAGGGGGAGGGGGAAGGAGCTGGGAATGCGGGCACGAGGGGAATGCGGGGGATACGGAGGATGCGGGTTTGGGAGCGTAGGACACATTGTCAGGCCGAAGCCATTGAACACCCAGATGAGCTTCGCAAGGTCAGGGGGGCATACGGGGTTATGCGGGGGATGCGGGGAACGCGGGGGGCACGGAAAACATGGTGAATGCGGGGAATGGGGGGATTGCGCGGAAAAGACGAACGATTAGGGCTAAAACCAGAGACACTCTTGAAGACATGGGATGAAGAGGAGGAGAAACCGTCGCGCACGTAAAGAGAAAAAGGGAAAACGACGCGACGGATGCGAAATGCGTCACGGTTGCACGTAATGTAGCGAGAACGGAAAAGCGAAAATAAAACACATGGCAGAGATCAGGTCTACGAAACCACCCCACATAGTACACGCGCGGCGCGCGTCCGCCGTGCGCGAACAATCTCATGAAGTGACTTAACGATCGATCTGTCACACACACCTCAGCGTGGTTCAAGTTCGACGCGATTTCTTGATCCAGGTATCGCACGCGCGCGAGGCACCACGACGTGAGGTCCGAGTTTAGCGGGTCGAGCGCCGCCTTTCGCGTGGACCATATTACGAAGATGGAGAGAGCTAACCACCCGAGAGTCCAGGCGATCAACGCAGGCATCCACCATGACACTGCGAGGCGTTTCTCCATGGCTGATCGGACGGTTATTGGCTAAACTGAAGGGTTAATGGCTGAATCGGAGGGACGCGAGTAACGTCAAATGTAGGGTACTCGTCCAGTATGAGTACGGAGTATAGTATTATGGTCTAGGACGTATCATGATAAGGTCTAGGAAGTAGGGAGCTTCATGCAACACACGTAAGTATTCCGGTTGAATTGCGGTTCCGAGAAGGGGACATTTCTGTGTTCGTGTAAGCTGAATGACTCGTTGTCGACCTCACAGGGTTCAATCTGCTTGAGAACGATTTTCCGCGTTGTTTGCGTGCAAGAGCTCAGGTATTATTTGCGGAAGGAGATTTATGCGGAACGTCGTTTGGGTCGACTCAAAGGTTTACCTCCATTGTCCATGCTTGCGCGCAAGAGCTCAGGTGCCTGCGGAAGGAGATCATGCAGTATGTCGGTTGGGTGTACTCAAGGGTTTACTTCATCTGTGAAAGAAGCTTCATGTGAGGAGTCTCTGAGGGTGTCAGGGCTCCAAAGCGGAACCGACTTTATACCTTGGGATTCCCGACGGGAATCTCGAGCATCACTCCTTGCAAATGCAAAGCAAAGTGGTCGTTGAGAAACACCAAAAACAGCACCCGTCAAACCGCCTTCGCAAAATACCCTAATCTAGCGATGTGTTAGTAAGGACCGCCTTTGGAATTCTGTTTCCCAATGCTGCGGGAGCCCACGAGAAATGTGAGAGCTAGTAGCCTCAATCCGGCGCTGCACTGCATCATCACCAGTGCCTAATCCATAAATCACCGCCACTGTCTTCACCGTCAGTGCCGCTCAATTCGTGTGCTTGCCCTCCTGTCTCCCGTACCCACCGCCTTTGCCAACAGCAGGCTGAACAACAAGAGGAACAGAACCCCAAGACAACCTCACGCCTGCTCCAGCAACCCTGGTTACCCCATCACCACACGCCTGCTCCGGCAATGCCGAGCCAAGACCAGACCGAAGGGCTTGGTTTGTCACACGAGTCACCCGTCAGGCTGACTTGTATGGTGGACTTGATTGTTCGGGCTCAACTACGCCCGCCCTAATAAATTGCGTCGCATCACATCAAATCAAATTGGACTTCTCCTCGTGCGGTGATGGCTGGGTTGGTGTGTCGGTCCAACGGTTGGATCGAACCCCTAGAACTACACAAGATGCCTCTTTTTCACTTTCCTTTGCCATCTTGCAGTTTGCTTCTCTATCGCACTCCTGACAACCAAGGGTGAATTGAGCCTGAACGTGGTCCTGGGGTTCGCGTAGGAAATGGGTGTGATCGTGGGCTTGTAAACCGTGGGCTTTTGCCCTTGACAGTCGATCTCTGCTCCTATCAATTGCCTCGCAAAGTGTGCGGTTGTGTGCATAAAGTGTAGAATTGAATCATGCTATGCTAGGCATCAAATCGGGACGAGCAGGCTGTATCTCGGAAAGGCATGCCTTCTTTGTCGGCATCGACCCTAAACACCATGCGGCAAGGTTTTTAGGGTTGATGCCGACAAATTTGGCATGCCATTCCCTATGGGTATGATTATATTTTCCCGCGGGCAGTTTTTCCTTTTGGCGTCTCGCTCGGTCTGTTGAGATATACTAGCCTGTGAAAATCAAGGCGAACCGACAGCCCGTCATGAACGGTCCAAAACTCGTCTGGATACAGTCTACTGTCAACTGTACACAAAAACTACTCAAAATTAAAATCGTCTCACCATCTGTCCAAGCTTGGACATCAGGTCAGTTTTTTTTCCCAAACCGATGCAATTCCTTTGATAACATTCCGACAAGCATTCGGGTACCACCAGACCTTACACACGAACCTCTCAAATCGAAAACAATCTGGTGGGAGTGTGGTGAAAGTGGAGGTGCTGGTGCTGCTGCCAGTGGTGTGGAACAACATTTCCAGAAACCTCCAGTAATGCAATACCCGCATGGAACACTCGAAAACGGAACTCTAGCCATTCCTTCCCACCACGGCTGCCTCTGTCACTTCCAAATCGTCGGGTTGCCCAGCATGGCGCGCAACTTTTGGGCTTTGGGGGTGGAATGGTACATGTTGGGCGGGTAGTATTGTCGAGGAATCGGGTGTACGTTACGATCACGTGGCAACAAATGTTCGAAGCCATCAGCAGCAGCAATTTCCTCTACACGTACACCGTTTCCTCCATCCATCTATGACCTTCGTACGTCATTGCTCCTCGGCAACCCCTTTCGTCCCCCTTTCGGCAACCCCGGGCTTGCCGATGGATTTCCTCTCGTGTTTCGACGTACTCCTTATTGGTAGGTGGTCCGTGGGCCATGTTCCCTGCTTCCTCTATGTATGTTCGTATGCAGGTTACGACCTTAATATAACCTTAACCTCTAGTAAGGCCCCCAGTCAGATGCTTTTGTAGTTGTATATCTCAATTAACAAGCCTGTGACACTCCCCAAAAATATATAAAACACACACACACACACACACACACACACACACACACACACACACACACACACACACACACACACACACACACACACGCACAGAAAAACTCCTTGTGACGACAGCCCTAAACACAGTGCAATAGGGTATTTATTTAGTGTTGATGCCTCCCATGGTTTGCTTAATGCCTCTCCCTATGGGGCTTTTTTATTGTGCCAGGCAGCAATCTTTCTGGGCGGAATCTGTTGTATGTTGAGATACATGTTACCAAATCGTATCACATCTTGCACCTACACTTCCATACTAGACATGGCAGCAAGCCCACAGATATTTGGCATAGCCTACCTAACTTATTCCTCAGCCATTGCTTTTATTTGGGCCAAAGGGTAAGGGTGATGGGGCAATGGTCACTTCCAAGAAACCCTGCAATTGGAAGGAGGGGGGAGGAGGGGGGGGGGGGGAAGGGGGGGGGGGGAAGGGGGGGGGGGGGAGGGGGGGGTACATTACGACCCAGAATGTACACATTGTTCATTATATTCTAACTACAATCCAGTGTACAACTAGTCCAGAGATTTAACACATTGCCCCCCTCCCCTCTCAAGTCCCATCATCCTCCACCTCCCCCCAGCTCCACCCCATTCCACCTCCCTCCCCTTCCCCCCCCATGTGCTCACTTCCCCATACCCTCCTCACCTCCCCCCACCCTACATACATTCTCACCCTCTCCATCTCAACTCACCGTCCCCCTCGAATCCTCGTCCGTGTATGTCACATGCCGTCAATCTGGGTAGAAGGTCGGTGGACACACAGAAGCAGTCATACCGCATGCGCTTGCCTCTCGAGTCGACTCAAAACTCAGCCCCCTACCCCCCATCCATACTCACCGTCCCCCTCGAACCCTCGCCCATGAATGTCACATGCTGCCACTCTGGGTAGAAGGTCGTTGGACACACAGAAGTAGTCAACACGCATGCGCTTGCCTCGGTACCTGCCGTGGCATGGCACGACACGGCAGCAGAACATACGGGCCAGCACGAGGGGGAGGGGAAGAGGGCCGCCAGTTAGAGTGTTTCTGACAAGCACAAGTAGTCAACGCGCATGCGCTTGCCTCGGTACCTGCCGTGGCATGGCATGACAGCACAGCATACGGGCCAGTACAGGAGGTTTGGGAGGAAGCTCATCCGAGGGGAAATCAGGCCCACCATTCAACCCGGAGCATTGGTACAGTCATTGACTGCAGGCGCGGTTTGAACCTGGAGTTCAGTAATTGGTAGCGTGCACACCCACACACACGGCACACACACACACACACACACAGTGAACATACTGAATTCGCCACACATAGAGGTAATTTACGAGGCGCCTCAATAAGCGTGCACACCCACACACACAGGGCACACAGCCACACAGAGTACACGTAAGGAATTCGCGACACATACCTCCCCACAGGGTTGCCACACCACGTCAAGCCTGCTTGCATGTCGTTGCTGCGGTGCATGCGGCGATACGCAGATGCAAGACCAATGTGGTTGCGTGCATGTATTGCGTGTGCACGTGAGTCCGAACCTTCTCTCTGCCACACATACCTCCCCACGGGGTTGCCACACCACGTCAAGCCTGCCTGCATGTCCTTTCTTGGGTGCACATGGCGATACGCAGATGCAAGACCAATGTGGTTGCGTGCATGTCTTGCGTGTGCACGTGAGTCCGAACCTTCTCTCTGCCACACATCCCTCCCCACGGGGTTGCCACACCACGTCAAGCCTGCTTGCATGTCCCTGTTGGGGTGCATGTGCCGATCTGCATAAGCCAGACCAATGCGGCTGCTGCGTGTGTCTGGCGTGTGCACGTGCACGTGAGTCCGAACCGAACCTTCTCTCTGCCACACATACCTCCCCACGGGGTTGCCACACCACGTCAAGCCTGCCTGCATGTCCTTTCTTGGGTGCACATGGTGATACGCAGATGCAAGACCAATGTGGTTGCGTGCATGTCTTGCGTGTGCACGTGAGTCCGAACCTTCTCTCTGCCACACATCCCTCCCCACGGGGTTGCCACACCACGTCAAGCCTGCCTGCATGTCCTTTCTTGGGTGCACATGGCGATACGCAGATGCAAGACCAATGTGGTTGCGTGCATGTATTGCGTGTGCACGTGAGTCCGAACCTTCTCTCTGCCACACATCCCTCCCCACGGGGTTGCCACACCACGTCAGGCCTGCTTGCATGTCCCTGTTGGGGTGCATGTGCCGATCTGCATAAGCCAGACCAATGCGGCTGCTGCGTGTGTCTGGCGTGTGCACGTGCACGTGAGTCCGAACAGAACCTTCTCTCTGCCACACATACCTCCCCACGGGGTTGCCACACCACGTCAAGCCTGCCTGCATGTCTTTGTTGGGGTGCATGTGGCGATACGCGTCTGTGAGGCCAGCTCTGGTTGGGGGGGAGGACGTGGGGAGGATGAGAGGAGGATAAGGAGAGGATGAGAGGAGGACGAGAGGAGGATGGGAGGAGGATAAGGAGAGGATGAGAGGAGGACGTGATGAGGATGAGAGGAGGATAAGGAGAGGATGACAGGAGGATAAGGAGAGGATGAGAGGAGGATAAGGAGAGGATGAGAGGAGGACGAGAGGAGGACGATAGGAGGACGAGAGGAGGAGGAGAGGAGGTTGAGAGGAGGACGAGAGGAGGACGAGAGGAGGACGATAGGAGGACGAGAGGAGGACGAGAGGAGGATAAGGAGAGGATGAGAGGACGAGAGGAGGATGAGAGGAGGACGAGAGGGGGATGAGAGGAGGATGACAGGACAGAGAGAGCGAGAGAGAGGGTTAGCCTCTCCCCTTCTGCCTTTGCACTCACCCTTCTGCCCTCTCCCATGAGTACTTAAAGGCTCTCGTGGCTTCTTCATCCTTAGTATTCAGTTCATTCTGAAAAATTTTCGCGCTTCGCGCCGGCGCGAAGCGCCGGCGCTCGCGTGCGCGGCCTTTGGCCGCGCGCTCGGGATGACAAGGGGGAACAACAAGCAGTAGTTTAGGCATCAGACACAAGCAAGGCAAGCATCGACACCTAGCAACACGATAATGGAACGGGTCTACACGCGCAAGGGGGGAGCACCTACATGCGGTCCGCGTCTACCGCAGCGAGCATTCCGCTCGTGTTCAACCACAACTGGCGGACCACTAACACGGTGGCGCCTACAACGTCAACGGGAGTACCAGGACCTGCTACAAGCGTCCTCAGAGCCAGGGCCGAGTCAGCCAGCTGGCTGGCCGAGGCTGCTCCCGGCGAGGGCTCTACCTGCAGTGGCGTTACGAGCGCGAATAGCGCTGACGCCGCCGCATGACAATCAGCTCGCGGTTTCTGAGAGAACCTGCTCGGAGGGCTCACCAGCATGGAGTCATATGACTCCTGGAGAATCCGCTCAAGGCTCTGCAGGGACGCCGCCAGCGACCATAGGCGGGCCAGGGTCGCCGTGGGAATTCTCTTCATCGGCGGAAGCAACGCGGACGAGCGGGCACGGTGAGACGACACGGCGAGATCACGCGGAGCAGGAAGAGGACGCGGCGGTTCATACTGAGCCCACGGCAGCCCGCCACCAGCGCCTACGAAGCCCATTCCCGCAGGCAGCGGCCGATCTGAGCGCGCCGGGGATCCGAATGGATTGTGAGGCAGGAGCGCGGAGAGAGGGACGACGGGAGCAGCGCGAGGAGCTGGGGGTGACGCCGACCCCGCACGTGAGCGACGAAGCTCCTTCTCCACGTCATCAAGCCTATCCAGAAGACGGCGCTCCATTGCGGACGGCGCTGGACGCGCTTTTCCCCCGCGACCATAACCTCCCCGCCGCCCGCGACGCCCCCGACCACTTGCGTCCGAACGCACAGGCGACTGCTGGCGAGACGAGCCCAGCTGACGCTGGCGTTCAGAGGAACGGACCACGCGACGAGGAGAGTCGAGCCGTGGACGCTTCGAGGGACGTGGCGAACGCGGAGGCGATCGAGGACGGGACGACTGGCGTACGGGCGAACGGTGACGAGAATGAGGGCGAGCGGGCGAACGGTGGCGGTGTGACCTGCGATCACGCGAACGACTCCGTGACGCCACGCGACGAGGCGAACGCGGCGACCGCGGGCCAGCGTGAAGACCTTCCCTGCGGCTCTCCCGCCTATCGCCGCGAAACACAGATGAACGTCGGCGAGGGGAATGCTCCTGGTGCGCCACACCCACTCCGCCGTAGCGCTCGGCGGACGCCGCGTGAGCAGGCTCCGGCTGAGGCAGGGACCGGCCCCCGCGCGAGGTCAGAGCGCGCTGCTGATCTTCGAAACGACGGCGGATCCGATCCGCAGACGCCGGCGGCGCGACAGGCACGCTCGCGGCAGGGCGCGCAGGAGGAAGCGGGCGGGGAGCTGGATCGCTCTCCGCGGTTCGCCCCAAGGCAGGAGCTTCAAGGGAACTCATCGGTACGTCGGGAAGAGGGCGCGCGGACACTCAGCGGCCGACAAGTCGGCGGAAGAACAGCAGGCCGCGGAAGGAGAGCTGCGGGACGCGGGGGGAGAGCACGCGGGGGTGGACCGGAAAACGTGTACCAGCAGGCGGGGAGGCGGGCTTTAAACGAGATGAGCGGTGATAATGAAACCTCCACTTCAGACAGTAGCTTTGTAGCAGCCGAGTCCACTGACTCGACTTCCAGCTCTGAGTCCTTGGACGACGAGCAGCTTCAGACTCCTGCTCGAGCGGGCAGAGCAGCAGCAGCATCTCACATGGCGGGGGGAGCTGCAGCAGTGAGATCCATTAGGAGGGGTCCCCCAACACCAACCCGAGCCGCATCAGGCAACATTGTAACTGCACCAATCCCAACCACGAATTCCCACATTCAGACCCCTAGCCAGGCCGGACATCAATCTGCACCTGGCGGTAACCCCGTCCCAACCCAAGCCCCAGAGGAGAAATCCCCAGAATCACTCGCCAAGGACGACACGCTATTCGCCAGCGTGTCAACCTGGGATCTGACGAAATTGCGTGACTCTCGCCACGCACCTCTTTCCCGTCACCTCCCACCAGACCCACGCAAACTTTTCGCCACAGCTCTGTTGGTTCCGCTGCTGCGCTTGGCGAAATATCCAGACTCACCTTCTGCATGGACGGTCGTCCTGTTTCTCGCTCGATTAACACTTCGCCAGCTGTCACCTAGGCGTCCAGACTGGAAGGCTGTCAGTGCCCGCCTTCGTCAGTTTCTGTCTGGAGAATGGGACAAATTATACACTGAAACAGTGGGTTCACTGTCGTGGCCCCAACCACCCAGACACCAGCCCGATGACATTGGTGTCATCGCTAGGGCAGAGGGGTTGGCACGACGTGGCAGCCTACGACGCGCCGTGATGGCACTTGAAGCCACGCCAGTCAGCACCCCCTCTCCAACTGTGCTGGAGGCCCTGCGCGCCAAGCACCCACCTGCGCCCGCCTCCCCACCTGACTGGAACTTTCCAGAACCTGACCCTCACCTATCGGCACCGTTTGCTGTCTTCTCCAAGGTGCTGGGAAGCTGCGAGATGGGGGTGGGAGCGGGCCCCTCAGGAACAACTTTCGAACACTTACGCGATGCAGCGCTGATCAACCACTCCGTTGGGAAACACCTGCACGCGCTAGTCAACACGATATTAACAGTAAAATTACCTCCTGCGGTGGCTGAGCTCCTCACCGCCTCAAGATTGATTGCCCTGAGCAAGCCCGATGGGGGGACGCGACCAATTGCCATCGGCGAGAGCATAACACGCCTGGCAGCTAAGACGGCGCTTACTTTGACTGCAGGGGCCGCTCGTGTATTCTTCCTACCGCACCAGTTCGGCGTGGCAGTCCCTGGCGGGGCGGAGGCGATTATCCACATCACACGCACGTACCTCACGGTGAACACAGGAGCTTTGGTCCTACAGGCTGATCTGGCGAACGCATTTAACAGCGTTAACCGCGACGCCATCATCACATCTCTTCGGGACTCCTCTCTCGCTTCACTTTTACCGTTAGTTAAACTGCTGTACGGCCTTCCTTCGGCTCTATGTCTGGACGCTGGCTTCTCACACCCACCTCTGCTGAGCGAGACCGGGGTGCGGCAGGGAGATCCCCTCGGCCCGTTGCTGTTCGCTGCCGCCATACACCCAGCGCTGACGAAAACGGCGCTCAGCTTCCCCTCCGTGGTCTGTCTAGCCTATGCAGACGACGTAACTTTTCTTGGGGATGCAGCCATGTGCGCGGCGGCATTTGAGGACTTCACAGGAAACCTCGGGGAGATCGGGCTGCGCCACAACCCAGCCAAGTGCGCGGCCTGGTCTCAGGCTGGCCAGCAGGGAGCAGCGCTTCCAGTGGGCGTACCTTTCACAGAAGATGGGGTGAAGGTGCTTGGCAGCTTCATCGGTGGCAGCGACGCAACCGCCGCGTTCCTACGTGCCAGCCTCGACACCATGGGAGTGCCGCTGCCCTTAATCGCGCGGATGGAGCCGCAGCTGGCTTCCCTCCTGCTCTCACGGTGCATCTCACGGCGGATCGCTTACGTCGCCCGCACCACGCCGCTTTCGGCCCTGCCAGTCGAGGAGTGGTCAGACTGGGGTAAAAAGCTGTTTGAGACGTTGCTGACTGCCTGCGGCATTCGCCACCCACGGGGGGAGGCCGAGATTTCACGTACCTGGGCGCAAGCGTCACTCCCCATCTCGCTCGGTGGTTTGGGACTCACAGACCCTTCGGTGGAGGGTCGTGTTGGGTTCCTTGCAAGCTACACGCAAGCGCAGCACCTGCTCACCTCCATTGATGAGTCGGCCGTCGGCGCCTTGGCGGAAACGCGGATCCAGATGGTGGGGCCCTTCATCAACACGTCCCCGCTCTTTGACTGGTTGGAGAGGTGTGAGGAGTCACTGCCGGACGATGGGAAGGAGCTGCTGCAGAGCGATCGGGCTAATCCCAAGGGCGCCAAGCTGCAGCATGGGCTGGCAATCGCGGTACACGGACTGCGCTACGCGGAGCAGGTGCAGGCTACACGCATCATGCCACTCAACCCACTAAGCGGGCACACTCAGCGCATGCTTTCACTCTCAGGGTATGGGGCAGGAGACTGGCTCAACGCGGTCCCCTTCAACTCGACACTGCGGCTTGCCCCGGCTCACTTTGCGCATGCGCTGCAGTTCCGGATGGGGTTACCCTCCTCGGCACCTGGCGCGTGTGACTGCCGCAATAAGACGGCAATCCTTGACAGGCGCCTGCCCAACCACCTGCTGCGCTGCGACACGGGGAAGGGGCGGACCAACACGCACAATGAGTTGCGCGATGCGTGTGTACACATGGCCGCCGACGCTGACTTCATGACTCACAGCGAAACGACTACGTTCTGCCCCGTCACTCTGAAGAAAGCCGACATTGCGATCCGGGACAAGTCCTCAGGAGCGGTGTGGATAAGGGACGTGACCATCACGGACCCCATCAGCACACGGGATCCCAACGCGGTCAAGGGCAGGGGATGGGCGGCCAGGGAGGCGGCGGAGAAGAAGATCTCCGACTACGAGGGCTCAACGGCCTCGTGGGTCGGGTTCTTCCCCCTTGCCGTTGATACCTATGGCTGTCCTTGCGCGGAGGTCCCTCAATTCCTCAAACTTCTGGCCGACACCGGCGCGCGCCGGCTCTTCAACGCGGCCCCCTCATCTTACCAGGCAACAAAGCTGCTGCACCAGTTCCGCCAGCGGTGGTCCGTGGCGCTGCAGCGGGCGCAGTCAGTGAGCTTCATGACGAAGTGCAACTACGCGGCTCAGGTGGAGAACCCACCTGTGGCGCTGCCGGGCGAAGGAATGTCCCTCGGGGACTGCCTTGCCATCCTGGAGCCGGCATTGGAGCTGCCTTAGAGGGTGAAGGAGGGTAGGTAGGATGTGGGGGTTTTAGAAGCTGAGATGCATTGCTTCTTATATCCTTGTGCATGTCTGTACCTTGCTCGGATCTAATACACGGACCGCTTGAGAGGAAGGGCGAGGAAAAAAGATGAGGAAAATAGAGGAAGGGAGAAGGGGACTGAGGGGGCAGCTTGCACTAGGGCTACCGTTAAGTGGGTAGACTAAGCGAGGACTACCAAACATTCCCCTCTTCCCGACACACAAATCCCCCCTTCCACTCCCCTTCGCCCCCTCGCCCTCCCCGCTTACTCCCAACCCGCACCACCTTGCACACCTTCCTCTATTACACGCACACCTTTTCAGAGTCTCGGCGAATCTCATCCGTTCGTTGAGAGAGAACCCAGGCTGGCCCCGATCCTGCGGCCCACACGCATCGAGAGGCAGTAGGAAAGAAAGAACGAGTTCGGAAGAAGGGATATGAGCTAGGCAGCTAGGCTACTCCACAAAATCAAATACCATCTCATCAGCCACGTGTATGAAGAAGGGTTTTGAGACGTCTCAAAAACCATCTCATCAGCCCAAGCGGAGACCAGAGCTAAGAAAGCATATTCCCAAGAATGTATTTTACGCTCACATTAGTCGATCAGAATGCTGGGAGTCTACCGAATCTCACCCCGGGATCAGTAGCCGGCTCGCCATTGGTTGCTGTACGGAAGAACTCAGGGTCGCTGACGTCATCCTCTGTTGGACTGGTGTTGGGAGGGGAGAAGGAAGAGCGGTGGGAAGGAAGCGGGAGAGAGGTTGACATATAAGAGTGGGAAAGAGGGTGTTCCAATATCGAAGAGACAACCCCCCCCCTTCCCCCCCCCCAAAAAAAGGTTTTTTTGACAAAAAGGGTGAGTGGAAACGAACCCTCAAGATTACCCCTTCCAATCCACACCTCACATTGAGATCGCCTAGCCAGATCAACGGCTTGGATCGCACGGCGTCGCTTGTGAGAAACCGACGGATGCGATCGTCCCACTCGGCGCGCCGGGGAAAGCTGAGAGAGTTCTTGGAGAAGCCATTGTTTGGCACGTAGGTGTTGAGGATGCGGAGGGATGGAAAGTCCAGGATAATCGCCCTCCCATCTGCCTCATGCTGCCGCCGCTGCTTTCCCTGCTCCGCTGCTCCCACCTACAGGGAGGGGGGTGGGGAGGAGCGAAGGGGAATGGCAAGGAAAGCTGGGAGAGTCTTTGGAGAAGCCATTGTTTGGCACGTAGGTGTTGAGGATGCGGAGGGATGGAAAGTCCAGGATGATTGCCCTCCCGTCTGCCTCATGCCTCTTTCTCTTCTCTGCTACTCCCAACTGTAGAAAGGGGGATGAGGAGGAGGGGAAAGGGGACAGTAAGGGAAGCTGGGAGAGTCTTTGGAGAAGCCATTGTTTGGCACGTAGGTGTTGAGGATGCGGAGGGATGGGAAGTCCAGAACAATCGCCCTCCCATCTGCCTCGTGCTGCTTTCTCTTTTCCCCTGCTCCTGCCTGCAGTAAGGGGGTTGGGGAGGGAAGAAGGGGGATGGTAAGGGAAGCTGGGAGGGCCTTTGGAGAAGCCATTGTTTGGCACGTAGGTGTTGAGGATGCGGAGGGATGGGAAGTCCAGAACAATCGCCCTCCCATCTGCCTCGTGCTGTTTTCTCTTTTCCCCTGCTCCTGCCTGCAGTAAGGGGGGTGGGGAGGATGGAAAGGGGAATGGCAAGGGAAGCTGGGAGGGCCTTTGGAGAAGCCATTGTTTGGCACGTAGGTGTTGAGGAGACGAAGAGTTGGAAATTCCAGGATGATTGCACGCCCGTCTGCCTCATGCTGCCGCCGCTGCTTTCCCTGCTCCGCCGCCCCCACCTGCAGGCAGGGGAGCCGACCGAGAGGAGGGAAGGGGAACGGCGGTAAGGGAAGCTGGGAAGGTCCTTGGAGAAGGAGAAGCCATTATTTGGCGCATAGGTGTTGAGGGGGCGGAAGGATGGAAGAAGGAGAAGGGACGTCCACCTCACCTGCGTCTATCGCACTGCACCACAGTGCACTCACTCACATCGAGGGAGAAGGAGGTGGAGAGGAGGCGGGGCAGCAGGGAGCGTTTGAGCAGCACGGCTGTTCCGGCATACTTGGTGGGGGCGAGGGACCACCACACCCGGTACAGGGAGAACGGCGGCGACGCTCTCTACCTGCTTGCACCGCACTCCACCGCACAGCATCAGACTCAACTCACTCACATCGAGGGAGAAGGAGGCGGAGAGGAGGTGGGGCAGCAGGGAGCGTTTGAGCAGCATGGCAGTTCCGGCATACTTGGTGGGTGCGAGGGACCACCACACCCGGTACAGGGAGAACGGTGGTGACGCCAGTGCATGCTGCATGAACTGACATGGGGAGAAGGAGAGAGAGGGAGGGAGGGAGGAAGAGAGAGGAGGAATGAAGGTGAGCTCGAGGGACCACCACACCCGGTACAGGGAGAACGGTGGTGACGCCAATGCATGCTGCATACTGACATGGGGAGGGGAAGAGATAGGGGGAGGGAGGGATAGAGGGAGAGAGGGAGCCGGCGGAACGAGTCACGCGCCAGTCGTTCGCTAGACGCGGGGGGAGAGGAGGAACGACAGCGCAAGCAGTAAGAATCGGTGATACAAACGCAGAGGGGAGCGGCGACGAATATGTACCGTCAGATCTGAGGCAACCTGACAATCCCGACTCACCTCTCACGGAAGCGGGGGAGGAGCAGGCGCAGCAGCAGGGGAGAGGTTCTAGCCGCCGACAGAACCGCAGACCCCAACCCCCTCCGGACCAAGCCCTGTCAGCGTCCCAGCTGGCATCGAGGGAGGATCTCTTTGAGATCGCGATGAGCTGGGACTCTTCAACCCTAACGTCGACCACTCACCTGCCTATCGTCCGCCGCCTGCCGCCGCAGATACTAAGCGATTACTCCACCTGTATGCTGGCCGCCCTCTTACGGATCTCTAAATTGCCAAACTGCGCGGGAGCGTGGCGGGTCCTCATGTTCCTGCCACGTCTCACCTTACGACTTAGCAGGAGGTCCAGCTCTAGGTGGAAGGTGCTACGAGCACAGATGCACCTATTCAGATGTGGCCACTGGAACCAGCTGTACAGTGACTACGTGGGGTCCCTGCACCAAGCTGAGCCACCTCAGCACCAAAATGACCCCCTGAGAATCTGCTCACGTGTGGAGGGGTTGGTGAAACGGGGTAACCTGCGAAAAGCGTTGGCAGCCCTTCAACCCTCGCCAGCTGCCCCTGCGACGATCGCAACACTGCAGCAGTTGGAATTGAAACACCCCCAACCCCAAATTGAGCTGCCCGACTGGGTCCACACCTACACAACACCCACGCAATTTTCGTGCACCGCGGAACGTTTCTCAGACGTCCTCGGGGATTGCCCCAGCGGAGTTGGGGCTGGTCCATCAGGGTCAACATTTGAACACTACCGCGACCCAGCCCTAAGTAACATCGAAGTGCTAGGGCACCTGCACTCCGCCGTAACACACCTTCTCTCGACGAATCTCTCCACCGAGGTTGCAGCACTACTCTCGCCATCCCGCCTCATCGCCTTCGCGAAACCAGGGGGGGGGGTACGCCCTATCGCGATAGGGGAGTCCCTGCTTCGGCTGGCAGCGAAGGTGGCACTCTCGGAACTGCAAGGAGAAACAAGGCGATTTTTCTTACCCCAGCAATTCGGCGTGGCAGTCCCAGGCGGAGCTGAGTTCGTTATACACGCCGTCAGAGACCTCACCACTTCACAACCCTCCAGCCTAGTCCTCCAACTCGACATTGAAAACGCTTTCAACTCCGTAGAGAGGAAAGCGTTCTTCAACGCACTCACCAACACCCCGTTAGCACCGCTCATACCTTTCACCCGCTCCTTCTACGCAACGCCTTCACAGCTGCTGACCGATCCCCGCTTGAGCACAACGGCACTCACCAGCGGAAGGGGAGTTAGGCAGGGGGACCCCCTCGGACCCCTGCTGTTCGCGGCATCAATCCAGCAGCACCTCAGACGCATAGCAGCAGAGCACCCAGAAGTCACGATCCTAGCATATGCAGATGACATCACCATGATCGGACCGGCGACGGCAACGCTCGGCGCGCTTAGTGTCCTGACGCCGCTTCTCGCCCAGGATGGCCTCACCTGCAACCTCAGAAAGTCGTCGGCGTGGTCCACGACGCCGCTTGTAGGCGACGAGCTCCCCGAGGGCCTCCCCCTCACCCACGAGGGGGTACGGGTGTTGGGAAGCCCTGTGGGGTCACAGCGCTTCTGCTCTGACCTAGTCCGCAGCACCCTGACAGACGCGGCGGCACCCCTGGGCTCCCTAGCATCCATCCATCCACAGCATGCCCTCCTGCTATTATCCCGCTGCATCAGCCGCAGAATCGGCTACCTGCTGCGCACCACCTCAGCAGATGTCCTACCCCTCTCGGAATGGCACGCGTGGTGCGCCGAACTGCTCAACACCGCCCTGACTGCCGCCAGCATCCAACCACCCCGCCGCGAAGCCGAGTTCAATCTTCTCATCCGCCAAGCAACCCTCCCAGTAGCCCTAGGTGGACTGGGCCTCACGGACCCCACGACAGAAGCAGCACCGGCCTACCTGGCTTCAACCACAGAGGCGCTACGCCTGCTCCGCTCACTTGACCTGCCAGCAACCGCGGCGCTGGGGAGCAACAGCAACGCCCTGCAGCCGTCTGCAGCGCACTCGCTCACCATCCAAGACATGGAGGGACGACTGCCGCCGCTGGCGCTGCAACACCTCCGTGAGGAGCAGGAAACCCTGTCCCAAGACCAGCTGCAGCGCGCCCTCTCTCAGGAAGTGCATGCGGCAAAGGCCGACGCCCTGACAGAGGAATCACGCACAATCAGGTCAGCCCCCGAGATTGGCCACACGCTCCGCCTCGTCAGCCTGAGAGGCGAGGGAGCGGGGGCATGGCTGCAAGCCCTACCCCTGACACCAGACCTCTGCTTCTCACCAGGGCAATTCCGAACAGCCCTGGCCTTCCGCATGGGCATCCGACAGAATGTACCTACTGTGTGCGAGTGTGGAGAGCTCGTGGCCGACTGCAGCCTACCCAACCACTTACTCCGCTGCAACACAGGCCCGGACAGAACGCGCACACACAACCAGCTGGCCTTCGCCGTGGCTAAAATGGCGAGGGAGGCGCAGCTGGTGGTATACCTGGAGAATGCAATGTACTCACCACCGGATGACCCAAAGAAGGCCGACGTGATCGTACGCGACCCAGACAGTGGAGAGACCTGGATCACAGACACGACTATCACTGACCCTGTGCTACAGAACCGGGACCCCTCAGCCCGCAAACCCCCAGGCTGGGCTGCAAGGGAGGCACAGAAGCGGAAGGAAAGGGATTACTATCGACACACAGAACACGTGGTGTTCTGCGCCCTGGGCGTCGAGACCTATGGGGCAAACGCGCCCCCCACGACGGCGTTCCTGAAGCTGCTGGCCACAGCAGCAGCTAGGAACCGCTTCAGGGCCAACCCCTTGGCAAAATCTGCCAAGAAGATGGCCTGCCACTTCAGCCAGCGCTGGTCAGTGGCCCTCCAGCGCTCCCAGGCGAACGCCCTGCACACCAAGGCCAGGGCGGGGATTGAGGCAGCGCACCCCCAGATGGCAGCGGACCCATGGCCGCTGCACCTAGGGGACATCCTCCACACGCTGGAGGGGTAGAGGGTCACTCAGGGGGGGGGAGGGTCAGAGGGATGGGTTAATGGGTCAGAGGGTCTAAGGGAATCACGAGTCAAACCGCATGTCTGTATCCCCTGCTGAATTAATACAAAGGACCATTTGAGAGGGAGAGGGGGAGAGGGGTAAAGAACCTAAATTTAGTTATAAAAGGACTTCAAGGTGAACTGTGGCTTAGAGGGTGTGACGACTTTCTTTTCCAATTCTTCTCACATCTCTCCATTCTCTCCAAAATCCCCTGGTCCATATTTTTCCTTTCCCCCCTTTCCCTTTCCCCCCGCACCTCTCCTTCTCTCCCCTCCCCCTCTCCTCCCCTGCCTCCTTTCCCCCCTCTCTCCTCCTCAACCCACCTGCCTCTCCTCCCGGGCTTGCTTTGTGTCATCCTTGAGCTCTGATTGGTTGAGAGGCCCGCCCTTCCGCCCTGCTGCTGGCATGCGCACCTCCTGCGCCCCAGGTGGGGGGGCGGGGAGGGGGGGAAAAGGGGAAGGGAAACGGTACGGGGGAAGGGGAGGAGGAGTTGCGCTGAAAATAAAAGGGAAGGAGGAGAGGCCCAGAGTGATGGGGGGTGTGGGGGGGGGGGTTTACGGAAAAGGAGATGTGACCTCTCAACCAATCGGAGTGGTCGGGTTCATTCATGATATGAGGTGACTTGATACCGGCCGACGCATTATTCTCTCTGTACAAAGACAACGAATACCATATGTATTCGAATTTCCTTTGAATTATACTATTCCCCACCCCTACCATGTTTTTAACCTTCCGATCTATGTAATATGACGTATATAGACATTCCAGTCGTACATGGTAACTGCACTACCCATGTTGAGTCATGTTCATGCCTTCAGGAGTCAGCAATACCCATGCGGAAAGCACGTGATTTTCGGCCCTTGATTGAGCAGGCAAGTCCAGGCAATGTAAGGACTCTGCTCTAGCTCAACCTCCTGATTCTCGGCCCTTGATTGAGCATGCAAGTCCAGGCAATGTAAGGACTCTGCTCTAGCTCAACCACCTGATTCTCGGCCCTTGATTGAGCATGCAAGTCCAGGCAATGTAAGGACTCTGCTCTAGCTCAACCACCTGATTCTCGGCCCTTGATTGAGCATGCAAGTCCAGGCAATGTAAGGACTCTGCTCTAGCTCAACCACCTGATTCTCGGCCCTTGATTGAGCATGCAAGTCCAGGCAATGTAAGGACTTTGCTCTAGCTCAACCACCTGATTCTCGGCCCTTGATTGAGCATGCAAGTCCAGGCAATGTAAGGACTCTGCTCTAGCTCAACCGCCTGATTCGTTCTGCTGCAAACACCTGGATGGCAATGACGTCAGGCGAGTGCTTGCAGATAAATCCAACCAACTCCGCCCGGTTGTGTCTTAATCGGAGCAGGAAACTGTTGGCATTCCAAGACATTATTCTGGGAAGGAAGGTGTGGGGAGAAGAGAAGAGGGTGGTGGAGGGGAGGGGTGGAGTGGGGAAAGAAGAGAGTTAGAAAGCTTCGCACATGTGAGAAAGCCAAGACGTGAATGCAAGCAGGTAGAGACCTTTTAACTCAACGGCGCTTCAGTCGACTCAAAAGCCAAAAGCAGGCTGATTGAGTTGATACCTCACGGTTGCAGGCAGGTTGATTGAGACCGCGCACCTCAACGGCTCTTGATGCGCAATTGATTCCTCCTGCGCTGGTGACTTTTGAGTCGACTCAAAAGTCACCTCGATACCTCACGGTTGCAGGCAGGTCGATTGAGACTGCGCACCTCAACGGCTCTTGATGCGCAATTGATTCCTCCTGCGCTGGTTCGCCGGCCTTCGTTGATTGCCGTTGCTCGCCCTGATCCCCACATTCCTGTTGCTCCCCTCCTAGCTCTCTTCCTCGCTCCCCACCTTGCTCCCCTCCTTGCTCCCATTCTTTCCCCCCTGGATTCCTCTCGATAGAAGCTGCCTCGCTTGGGTTATTGTTCTCCGCACGTACAATCGCTGCTGCTACTCCGACGTCAGGTTGACCTTCACAACCAATATCTCTCCGCATTCTCATGCCTGTCCCAGTCGCGTCGCGACTGCTATCGTGATCGATTTTCCACGAGACTCTATCGCGAACGGATTCGCGACAGTACTCCGCGGGGGAGTCTTCCGCAGGACGTTTGACTCCTCCGGATGTTTCCCCCTCCCCTGCGCATTTCCCCCCAGCTCTGCGCCCGCCCGTCATTTCCCCACCTTTTTCTGCAGTTCCCCCGTCCCTCTCCGCCATTCCGCCATCTTTCCCTGCCTCGATTGCTCTAAGTCCTTCTGAAGCGGTTGAGGTTCTTTCAGGAGCCGTTGTTTTCGCGACCGGCTTGAAGTAGCGTTTCATGGCGGGAATGGGATAGCAAAACCAACGGTACTATCGAAAGACCAAGGCAGGAAAAGGAGCGAGTGGAATATTTGTTTACTCTTTATTGAAGTCGCCCGCTATGTGCTAACAACTCATCCCATCCTCGTTTCGATAAAGCATAGGAAAGTGAATCACGACATTGAGGTTATCATGCTTTGTTGTGTTCCTGACACCGACCACCTGTCGAGTACTCGCTATTGAGTAGCTGATGAGACCCCTCACCTCGACGCTGAGTGGTTGGATCAGATTCCATGGGCTGATCGTTCAGTAACCTACGCAGACGAACTCTGGGGCTGGATTCGTTGTGCGAAATGTGGTTGCCAGGTTGAGCCAGCCGTTAGAGAAACTTCCGCTATTATTGGAACTAAACGATACACCTGATTGGGGCTGGTGTTTCGCTGACCAGACACCACCACTGTATTGGCTAAACAACCTTGTTGCTGATCTGTTGCATTGAACTGACACCACGACAGCGCGATTGCCAGAGCGCGTGAAACCTGGTGCGTGCGTGTCACGTCGAGGACCAGCACATCCCCCCTTTTCCCCAACCACCATACGGTACTGTACCTCCCCGCGCCTAGCGCAGCGCACCTTCCCCGCATCGGCGCGGGCCCCCGGAACGGATCGCTCGCAGTCATCGAATGTGATCAGGGGCGCGCAGCACTCCCCTTACCTGCCACCTGCCATTGCCTGCACGCTACAATTTCGACTAAGGCTGCGTTTGGGTGAAAGACTCAGTAGATCTCCGCCGTCCATCTGCCCCTAGGGGCTGACTGGTTTGTTCTGGCCGTCCGTCTGTTCCAGAACCCACTTCGGTTCGGAACCAACCACATCCGCGACTTCGTACCTTGCTTTCAATCATCGAATCGTGCTAACGGCAATGTAAGCGGTGTAGTGCGCTAATGATTGCATTTATCACGTTCCTGTGCTTTTCAACGAGGTGCAACGGTGTGGGTTGGACACCAGCCAGCAGTGAGTGGGATACCTAATAACCCACCAGCAGTGCTCTTCTCTCCCGCCTGTGTCTTCTGACCAGCATACCCAACGTTGCTGCCTCGCATTACACACGGGGTGAGGCAACTAATTAGGTGCGGCTGATTAGCCTCGAAAATATGACACGTTGCTTCCATGCGATCGTGAGTACGCTCCTTGGTTTCCATGTGTTCACGAACATGCTGCTCTCACCTCCACCAGTGCGAAGGAATGGTCACTTGCGACCTGGTTCTCTCCGAAGTTGTGTCCATGGCTGATGCATGCATTCATCAGTCGTGCGCGGCGATGATTTTTTAGTTTGTGATGTTTGCGTTGACTAAATAACTTATTTGTAGCTCATCATCGCTCTGCGAGAGTGACAACGGCACGTCGGCTTGCTCCTCGTTGGTCAATCATCGTAGCGTTTCTCTTTCTTCGCTCGCAACTGCAAAGCCGTGTTACAAGTCATCCTAGCGTTTTTCCTATCACGGAAGCCGGCTCGTCGAAACTGTTATCGCTGACTGACCCAGAGATGCTAAGTCAACGCGGCTCTGTTAGCATGCTGCCGAACGTTTATCCAGAAGGGCGACTCGGCAGTAGCCCGAGCTCTCCCGCGCAATGAAGATTAAGGTTAGATGACTATTGACATGATTCACGGCGTAGAACGCGTTTAGACCTACTAGCAGGAGTAAAGGCTGATGGACGAAGATTCCGCGAAGCTCGCGGAGGAGGCGAATAGGCGGAAGCCCGCAGAGAAGCATCAGAGGGAGGCTGATGTCATGCTGACGTGGCTCAAGGAGGAACGGAGATGCGGAGAGGACGGAAGCGAGGACGTGGAAGGGGAAGGGGACAAGGAAGGGGACGAGGATGGGGACGAGGATGGAGATGAAGGAGAAAAGGAGAAGGAGGAGGATGGTGAGGTGGAAATGGAGGAAGGGGAAGAGGAGGTGACGGAGGACGGCGAAACAGAGGACGGGGCAGGGGGGAAGGACGAAATGAAGAGGGAGGAGTGTTGGGAGGGGGAGGAGGGGGAGGAGTGTAGGGAAGGGGAGGAGGGGGAGGAGGGGGGAAAGGGGGAGGCGAGTGTGGTGGAAGCGCTGCGGGAGGCGGTGGAGATGGAGCGGATCCTGCGCGCATTGGCGGAAGACGGCATGAAGGTGCGGCGGACAGGGGGATGGGGCGTGGCGGGAGTGCGGTGTGTTCGGGGAGGGGAGGGGGAAGGTGAGGGTACGGCGCGCTAGAGGGGGCATGGTGGAGTGCCGGATGGGGTAGATGCCAAATACGATTCTCGCCTTATCTGTTCTGCTCTTCTAGTCTGTGAGAATCAGATCAGGCGAGTGTTTCCTCTCCCACCCTCTCTCCCTTCCTCGGTGCGTTTTTTCCCCCATCCCCATCCTCATCCTATCTCCCTATCTCCCTCTCTCCCTCTCTCCGTCTCTGTCTCCTCCCCCCTTCTCTATCTCTCTTTCTTCTTCTCTCTCCCCCTCTCCGTCTCTCTTTCGTCTTCTCTCTTCCTCTCTCCGACCACAGGCGGTGGAGCAGCAGATGGAGAGGCTAAGGGACGAGGTCAGCAGGTACAAGGGGCAGCACCAGCGAGACACAGAGACGGTCAGTCGCCTCTGCCTTCCCTCCCCTTGTGGCTTTCACTCCGCTCCACACTCCCTTCTGCTGCACCACGCTTCTCTTGTGCCCGCTGTTCTCCCCTGTTCCTCACCGTTCTCCACCGTTCCCCACCGTTCCCCCCGTTCCGTGCTGTTCCCTGCTGTTCCCCACTCATCCGCCCCCTGTCTCCCTCTCCCGTTGCGCCCCCTGCCCCTGCCCCTGTTCCCCATGTTCCCCGCGTTTCCCCCTCTCCCTTTTCTCCCTACCCCAGGTGTTTCAGCTGCAGTCTTCGGAGTGGCAAGCGCTGCAGGAGGAGCAGGAGGAGCGCGAGCAGCGCGAGCGCTTCTTGTGCGCCTCTCCCTCCCGCGCACCCTCTGCTCCTCTCTTCCACCCGTGTTCCCCACTCATCTTCACCCTTTCCCCCTCTTTCCCGTTCCCCCTCTCGCCTTCTCCTGCTCGCTCCCTACCCCAGGTGTTTCAGTTGCAGTCATCCGAGAGGCAAGCGCTGCAGGAGGTGCAGGAGGTGCAGGAGGAGCGCGAGCAGCGCGATCGCCTCTTGTGCTCCTCTCCCTCCCTTCTTCCTCTGCTCCTCTCTTACACCACTGTTACCCACTCATCCCCCCCCTCTCCCCCTCTCCTCCTGGTTTCCCTTCTCCCTCTTCCCCTCAACCCAGGTGTTTCAGTTGCAGTCATCCGAGAGGCAAGCGCTGCAGGAGGTGCAGGAGGAGCGCTAGCGCCTCTTGTGCACCCCTCCCTCCCTTTCTTCCTCAGCACTGTTCCCCGCTCATCCTCCCCCTCTCCCCCTCCTCCTCTCTCCACTTCTCCCTACCCCAGGTCTTTCAGCTGCAGTCATCGGAGTGGCAAGCGCTGCAGGAGGTGCAGGAGGAGCGCGAGCAGCGGAGGGAGTTAGAAACCTCCCTAATCTACCTCCACCACACGCTCCTGGAACTGCTGCCCCCAGACCTCCTAACCGATCCGCCTGTCTTCCACACCTACTCCGATCCCTCTATGATCCCACCGGACCTCCTCTCGAACCTCTCAGAATCTCCGTCGCACCTTCTCGCATCGGACGGCCATGCAGACCCCTGTGACGAGTTTCTGAGAATTCTCCCTGCAACGTCGCACCTTCTCACAGCGGACGGCCATGCAGACCCTTGTGACCCCCCTATGATTCCACCTGACCTCCTCTCGAACCTCTCAGAAACTCCATCACAGCTTCTCACAACGTTCACAACGGACGGCCGCACTGACCCCTCCGACCCTTTTGAGACGTCTCACAAGCTGCCAGATCTGTCGGGATCGTTGGGACAGGTTCGTACATCGGACGGCCACGCGGACCCGTCTGTTCCTTTTGAGACGTCTCAGCAGCCGTTGGATCTGCCGGAAACGCCGTCATCACAAGCCCTCCCAACGGCCGTTTACAGTGAACCTCCTGAGCCGCCGGCCTTGCATGACGCTCCATGCCCTTCTGATCCTTATGCTCCTCAGCCTCTTCAGCGGGCAGATGAGCAGAACAGTGAGAGTGCTACAAGCGAAGGCTATACAGACGAGGGGTCTAGTGGTACTAACGAGGGTGGTACTAACGAGGATTCCATCAGCGAGGGCTGTGCCAAGGAGGCTACGTGCGGCTCCAGCGCTCAGGAGTGCGGATGTGGACAGGCAGGTAATGCCATCACCAGCAGCAGCACCAGCAGCAGCACCAGCAGCAGCACCAGCAGCAGCACCAGCAGCAGCACCAGCAGCAGCACCAGCAGCAGCACCAGCAGCAGCGCCAGCAGCAGCACCAGCAGCAGCACGCCGCTGTTTGCGCCTGTCTCAGAGCACACGGCCTCTCCTCCGCCTCCCCTCGCAACCCTCTCCCTCCCTCTCTTCGCCTCTCGCCTTCAACAGCTGCATATCGATTCGCCCTCCGCACTCTCTCCCTCTCCTCCTGCTCCTTCTACTGATGCTGCGTCTGCTGCAGCTGCTGCTGCTGCTGCTGCTCCTCCTCCTCTCCCTCCTGCTGCGTCTGAATCTGAGTCTGCATCTGCATGTGCATCTGAGCCTGCATCTCCGTCAACCCCAAGGGCTCCGGTCGACGTTCCTGCTTCTCCTTCTTCTTCTGCTTCTGCTGCTGCTTCTTCTGCTGCAGGTGGTAATTGCTCTCCCCGCCATGCCACCACGTCGCCTACCCAGCAGCCGTGCCGCCACTATCCCCCACCTTGCCTGCCCTGCCTACCCCTCAAGGCTCTTCTCCTCTCCCGCTTCCTCCACCAGCCCTCCCCCCTCCCACCTGCTGCTGCTGCTTCTGCTGTTGGTGCTGCTTCTGCTTCTGCTGCTGCCACTGCTGCTGCTGCTGCATCTGATCCTTCTGCTGCTCCAGCAGCTGCTGCGGCGGTGGCGGCGCTGCTTGCGCCTGGCCTGACAGGCAGGCTGGTGCGTTGCGGATGCACTCGAGCCTCGTCTGCTGCTGCTACTGCCCCTGCCCCTCCCCTCGACCCTGCTGCTCCTGCTCCTGCTTCTCCTGCTGCTCCATCTACTCTTGCTGCTCCTGATCTTGCTCATTCGGTGGCTGCTGCTATTGCGGCACCTGCAGTGAGGAGGGGGGAACGCGACGGGGAACGGGAAGGGGAAGGGGAGGAGGTGCATTGGGTGAGAGAGGGCTGGTTGAAATGGAAGGTTGGCGAAGAGAGGGCAGGGGACGGGGTCGAAACGATGGGACGGGGGATTGGGAGGAGGATGGGGGAGAGGACGGTAGGAGAAGTGGGGCATGCAGGAGAGGATGGAGAAGAGGTGGCAAGTGGGATGAGGGCAAGTGGGATGAGGGCAAGTGGGATGAGGGCAAGTGGGATGAGGGCAAGTGGGATGAGGGCAAGTGGGATGAGGGCAAGTGGGATGAGGGCAAGTACGGAAGGGGGTGGTGGGAGGAACGAGCAGCAGAGGATGCGATGTGGCCGATGTGAGGCACTGGAGGGGGCAGGGGCAGGGGGGGAGAGAGGAGTGGATGAGGGGGAGAAGACTGCAGTGCGGAGTGATGCTGCTAGTTGCGTGCTGAGAAACGGTGCTATCCCTCAACCTGCCCTTCCCAGGTCTACCTCCCCCAAATATACCCTCCCCGAGTCTCCCGTCCCTGAGTCTGCCTTCCCCGAATCTGCCCTCCCCAAATCTGCTGTCCCCCCGTCGCTGTCCCCACTGGTGCCGGTGCTGCTGCTGGCTCGTGTGGCGTGCCCGTGCTGCCAGCTGGAAGGGCTGCAGTGGTGGTGCGAGGGATGTGGGGCCAAAGGGCGGTGGGACGGAGCGGGGGACGAGAGAGCAGGATATCAGGTGAAAAAGGTAGAGGAAGCGAGAGAGGAAGAGAAAGATGAAGACAGACAGGAGGAGAATATGGTGCAGGTGAAGGAGGTGAGAGGGGAGGAGTCAGGGGAGGAGAGCAACATGGGGATTGACAGGAATGGGGGGAGAGGGGGGTTAGGCTCGAATACCAAGCAACCCCAGAACGGGATACGGGCGGGGATGGGAGGAAAGAGCAGACAGGCTATCCCGGAGAAGGTGCATGTGGAAGAAGGGAGGTGGGGGATGAGTAGGAACGGGGGTAAAGAGGGTAAAGGTTGTAAAGGGGGTAAAGGGGGTAAGGGAGCAAAGGGAGGGAAGGGAGGGAAGGGAGGGGAGGATGAGGAGGGACAGGAGGGAGGGAGGGGAGGTGGTTCTTGCTGGCGCTGTGAGGACTGTGCTGGATCGTACCAGGCGTGGTGTGAGCAAGAGCACTGGCAGTGGCAGGCGCATGCGCTTGCGCATGGGCAGGAGCATGGGCATGGCCGTGGGCAGGGGAGGGAGCATGGGATGGAGCATGTGGGTGATGTTGTGAGTCAAGAGCAGCAGCGCCATCAGCATCAGTATCAGCGTCGGCATCAGCAGCAAAACCAGCGGTACCTGCAGGAGCAGCAGCTGCATAAGCAGCAGCAGAAGCATGCTCGTCATCATTATCAGCAGCAGCATCACCAGCAGCAGCAGCAGCAGCATCCGTCCCATCAGTCCTGCTGCTGCAAGCACAACCGACCACTCTCATCTGACAACCATAGCCACCCAAGCCACTCTGACCATTCACAACCCCATGATGACCATGCTGCATCCCATTCCGCCAGAGCCCCCCACCCATGGCATGCGGCATACCATCCATCTACACCAAACCCACCTCTGCCGAACCAGCCTGCTCCGTACCTGCCGCCACCGAACCAGCACGGCCTCAACCTTTCTTTCCCGAGCCAGCCATTCGTCCCTCCCCCGAACCTTGATAGCATCAACCAACCTGCTTTCACCCAACCTGCTGCGCGCCAGCCTGTCGGATTCCATCCTATGGTGTACCAGGCAGGTCCGCACCAGGTGTTTCACGCACCAACACCGAATCCAACTGTGCACGTGCCGTTCCAAGCAGCAGCACAGCAACCGACTGCGCATGAGCCGTTCCATGCAGTGGCACAGGGATCAGTGCCACATGTGCCGCTTGCGTACAATCCCATGCCGCCCCAGCCACATGTGCCGTGTGCTGCTTCGCTCCAGCCACCCGCTTGCCCGAGTGCAGCATGCTCGCCCCACTACCAGCAGCAGCATCAACAGCGGCAGTTGCAGCAGCAGCACCAGAAGCTGCATCTTCATCATCATCAGCCGTATCAGCAGCACCATGAGCACCAGCATCATCCAGAACAGCACCATCACCAGCACCCGCACTGCTGTCATCAAAGCCAGCAGCAGCAGTCCCAGTATCCAGCTCAACCCACTGGCAGCACGCACCCGCAGCATGCACAGCCACCACTTGGCAGCGTCTCAGCCAAGAAGCCTGGGTTGCCGGGTGGTGAGCATGAAAGGCATGGGCGGCAGCATGAGATGTGTGATAACCATCAGCATGGGGAGCATGAGGTGTATGGTAGCCATGAGGGTGGTCGGCAGCATGGGATGCGCAATAGCCATCAGCATGGGGAGCATGCGATGTATGGTGACTATGAAGGTCGGCAGCATATGGGTGCGCACGAATGGGATGGAAGAGGAGGCTTGGTTCCGCGCTTTGCTTCGTCTCCAGCCCTCCCGCACCTCCTCCCAGCTTCGCCGTCGTTTGATTATTGGAGCAGAGCTGGTGGGAGTAGCAGCAGCGGCAGTAGCAACTTCGGAAGGAGGCGGCCCTCTAGCAGCAGCAGCAGCAGCAGGTACAGCAGGCATTTGAGGAGGCCTAGCGAGTTTTCAGAAGGTGTTTGTGTGCTGGAGGAGGAAGAAGAGTATGAGGAGGAAGAGGAGGAAGAGGACGAAGAGATGGTGGTTACTGGGGAAGAGGAGGAGAGTGCTGGTGCTGCTGCAGCTGGTGCTGCTGTTGGCGGTGGTGCTGAATCCTCATTGGCCGGTACCAAACTGGACAGGTGGTGGAGCTGTGTGAGCAGCAGCAGTGAGTTTCATTCTGGTGCTGCAGGTGCTGCTGATGACGTGTCTCCTGCTGGTTCCAGAACCACTGACCGGCTGTGATTGCTGGCTTAGCAGGAGTAGTCAGGACAGGTATTGTCAGGTGCTGCTCCTCGTTGCTCATGAAAGCTTGTGAGTGCACTACAAACATTAGACTGGCTGGTTAGGTACCTACTATGCATTACTTGGTTTGTGGATGAGTAGATGGATTGTTGCGTTGTATGTGAGCCGTTGCATGTATCTAGTTGTATAATGTTCGTGCTAGGATGTAGTCAAGGTTTAACACACTGCAGCTTGTGGGCACTTAGTGCAGCTTGTGGGCACTTAGTGCAGCTTGTGGGCACTTACAAGTGCAGCTTGTGGGCACTTAGTGCAGCTTGTGGGCACTTGGTGCAGCTTGAGGGCACTTGGTGCAGCTTGAGGGCACTTAGTGCAGCTTGTGCGCACTTAGAGCAGCTTGTACGCACTTAGAGCAGCTTTTGCGCACTAGAGCAGCTTGTGCGCACTCAGAGCAGCTTGTGCGCACTTGAGCAGCTTGTACGCATGTAGAGCAGCTTGTACGCACTTAGAGAAGCTTGTACGCACTTAGAGAAGCTTTTGGGCACTATCCTCTGAATGAGACTATTGTGACGGGCTTGTGGAGAGACCGGCTACTTGATTATTTAAAAAGACGTCACGCATTTGACGTATAACGCGTCAGCATGACATCCGCATATTTGTCAACCACTTGGACTAGAATGATGAGCGATTGTTGTTAAATATTTAAGTTCGAAAGCAGGGACGGTAGTCTGCACAATGTACTATAGTTTCACAAAATTTGAACAAGGGGTGCATCCAACATTTACTTTCTCTTGACGGGGTCGAAGGTAGACACGCCGACGATAGCTACGGCAATGCCTCCCAGGACAACACCGCCAGCAATCACGCTGTTGATCAGGTTCTGCAGTGAGGGGGACACGCCGGGCTGGGCAGCCTCAGCAATCTCGGGGATGATGGCAGCAGCGATCAGAGCAGCGGTGACGGGGAGAGCGATGTTCTGCTCCTTCTTCGCGCTGCAAAACCGGGAGAAGACATGAAGAAGGGATTTAAGACAACTTCAACAACGTAGCCTTCATATCACACCAAACTTTGACTAATTTAGTCAAGAGGATAACAGCGACCAGTGAGGCCGAAGCGGATGCTGACGGTACAGAACCGCCAATAGCGTTGTTTCTGCAGACCTACCTCATCACAACGCGGCTCTTGTTGCTGACGAGCATGGGGGTGGCGGACACCTTGCTCGACGCAACGCTCTTGTTAGCCAAGAGGCTGGAGGGAGCCACCACGGAGGCAGAGCAGACAGCGAAGGCAGCCATGGCTGAGAGTAGGCTTTGGCTGGATGAGCTGACTGCGGAGAGGAATCTGGTGTGGAAGCTGGAGTATGCGGTGACCAGACAACAGATTGTCTTGAGAGGTGCAGGTGGGGAATCAAATTGGAGTTCACAACCGTGCCTGCACGAGGGGGGAGCGGGTGTGTGGTGGGGAGATCAGCGAGGCTTACTGGGAGGCCAGCGATTTCCAGATTCCCGAAGAGGATAAGGCACGCTTGGCGTGATCTCATTCGTCCGTTGATTGGCTCGGCGTTACCTTTGCGATGGGCCTCGGGGTTCTCGGAGCCTGAAGTGGCGAATGGTGGTGACGAAATCTTGGGTTTTATGAGGTGATCGCGAGCGAAACAATCTGCTGTAACTGACAGGTGGATAGATGTTACCGATGACAAAAAGCTCTCATTCCGTATAAAAGCACTCGCGTACGGTACAAATGCGATCAGCATATGATAAACCTTTCCAACAAATAAATTAATATTGTATCCGTTGATCATGGTTCATCACATTTGGGTTTGCAGGGCTCATGGATTTTCGGGGTTTAGCAAAACCTGTAACAAGTTTTCCAATGATGAAGACGATTGGCCCTTGCCATGTCATTTTCATGCGCTAGCTTCAATAGAGCTAGCAATAGTCAAATCGTCCACCAAACACAATACATGCCATCCCCAGTAGTACAGCTCCACGTCCAGTGTATAGTGCCCTTGAAGGAAAGGAGAAGCGTGGTGCTTGAATGCTCTCAATCTGCAAGCATTTACGGTACTGTTGAAGTTTGGAGAGCATGGATGGACTGATACTATGTAGTTCAATTCAGACACCCCTAAGTCCTACGAAGGACCCTCCTTCCTAGCAAACAGACTCCCTATGTTGTAATTCACAGTTGATCACAAGCTTCCTTGAACCCAGCTTGCAAGTCTTCTGCTGCCTTCACCGATGCAAGCTTGAAGGTCACGGGCCTCGGGGACTTGTCAAGCGTGGTGCCGGCAGGAGCAGTGTCGTCTTGCTGCCACCAAGCAAGTGAGCACAGCACAAGCCACGTGGCAGATACAAGAGGCACGAGTGGGTATGGGATGTGGCTGTCAATGCAATGTGCTGTGATCCATGCATGCACAAGTGAAGGGTGCAGACGTTGTGCTGCACTGCATTCGGTGCATGCACTATGCATCACAAGCAGGAGTAGTGGCGCGATAAAATGCTACGTTACAACAAACAAACCAGAGACTGGAGAATGGCAAGCAGGAACGTTTGACGAGTCATGGAAGGTAGCATAATCTAGAATTATCATAAGTGTAAATGATGGTACAGTCGGGCAACCAGTAAGTGATTGGAGATCACAGGCATCAGAGGTGGGAGGACACAGGCATGAGAGGTGGGAGGACATAGGCATGTGTGCAGGTCACATCACATGCACGAGAGGAGGACATACACATGACAGCAAGACGGCGGTGATGCTGTTCTTCTTGAGCATGATCAAGAAAGACCAAGGTAGAATGGTAGATGATTGTAGACCTGGTTAGCTAGTATGTGATTGGAGGATACATGCATGACTGCATGACATACACATGACTGCAGGACGGCGGTGATGTTGTTTTTCTTGAGCATGATGGTTATGCCCTTGTACAGTGGCGCGTTCAGCATCACCTTGCCCACCTGCGTGCGGGAGAGTGTGCACGACAATGGCGGGAAGGAGGGGGAAGGGGGGGGAGGTAGAGAGGGGGTGAGAGGGGCATGATGGTTATGCCCTTGCACAGTGGCGCGTTCAACATCACCTTGCCCACCTGCAAGCGAAAGTATGCCATGGGCAATGGTATGAAGGAGGGGGAGGGAGTCAAAGAGAGCAAAAGGAAGGGGCATGATTGATATCCCCGTATACAGCGGTGGGACTTTGTGCACCCGCATGCATCTCGCCGTTTCACATCGACTCACTCACCTCGTCTTGCATCCCATCCCATCCCAAACTCATTACAATTGACCCAGCACTTTCACCACACCCAGCCAACTCCCTCACAGCAAATCCCACTCACATCGTTGCGGAACAGCACAGAGGCGCGCCTTGACAGCACGGAGGCCTGAAGGGACGCCCCTCCCTTGTGCGCCTTCAGCACCACGGTGCCTTGAGAGCAGAGCGCACCCTCCATTCATTGCTGACCCTATTTTGGAGTCGACTCAAAAATAGGCTCATTACGCGCAGGGACGCCCCTCCTTTGTGCGCCTTCACCACCACCGTGCCTTGAGAGCAGAGCGCACCCTCCATTCATTGCTGACCCTATTTTGGAGTCGACTCAAAAATAGGCTCATTACGCGCAGGGACGCCCCTCCTTTGTGCGCCTTCACCACCACCGTGCCTTGAGAGCAGAGCGCACCCTCCATTCATTGCTGACGTGATCTAAACCTCAGCACCAGCACCAACCCTTGTGCAGAACACTCACACTCAGCAAATCACACTCACATCGTTGCGGAACAGCACTGAGGCGCGCAGGGACGCCCCTCCCTTGTGCAGCTTCACAATCACTGTGCCGCTGCCCTTGTCCTTCCATGCTGGGCCCTCCTCGCCCTTGGCTTTCTGTGCTCACTCGGGGAACACGAGAGTGAGGGAGGGGACGAGATGGAGGAGGGAAGAGAAGAGAGGAATGCGAAGGGGAGATGAGGCTCATCATTCTTAGAACGCCCAGAGCACATGGCCTATGGCGCACATGACATATTCGAAACTCCTTCAAACGAATGAACCCACCTACCTGCACGTATGTCTTGGCGTGTGCCTCATGCATGATATCCACCCTACTCTCCTCAGCTCTCCTCGCTCTCCTCAGCTCTCCTCGCTCTCCTCAGCTCTCCTCGCTCTCCTCAGCTCTCCTCGCTCTCCTCAGCTCTCCTCGCTCTCCTCAGCTCTCCTCGCTCTCCTCAGCTCTCCTCGCTCTCCTCAGCTCTCCTCGCTCTCCTCGCTCTCCTCAGCTCTCCTCGCTCTCCTCAGCTCTCCTCGCTCTCCTCAGCTCTCCTCGCTCTCCTCAGCTCTCCTCGCTCTCCTCAGCTCTCCTCGCTCTCCTCAGCTCTCCTCGCTCTCCTCAGCTCTCCTCGCTCTCCTCAGCTCTCCTCGCTCTCCTCAGCTCTCCTCGCTCTCCTCAGCTCTCCTCGCTCTCCTCAGCTCTCCTCGCTCTCCTCAGCTCTCCTCGCTCTCCTCAGCTCTCCTCGCTCTCCTCAGCTCTCCTCGCTCTCCTCAGCTCTCCTCGCTCTCCTCAGCTCTCCTCGCTCTCCTCAGCTCTCCTCGCTCTCCTCAGCTCTCCTCGCTCTCCTCAGCTCTCCTCGCTCTCCTCAGCTCTCCTCGCTCTCCTCAGCTCTCCTCGCTCTCCTCAGCTCTCCTCGCTCTCCTCAGCTCTCCTCGCTCTCCTCAGCTCTCCTCGCTCTCCTCAGCTCTCCTCGCTCTCCTCAGCTCTCCTCGAGCTCTCCTCAGCTCTCCTCGCTCTCCTCAGCTCTCCTCGCTCTCCTCAGCTCTCCTCGCTCTCCTCAGCTCTCCTCGCTCTCCTCAGCTCTCCTCGCTCTCCTCAGCTCTCCTCGCTCTCCTCAGCTCTCCTCGCTCTCCTCAGCTCTCCTCGCTCTCCTCAGCTCTCCTCGCTCTCCTCAGCTCTCCTCGCTCTCCTCAGCTCTCCTCGCTCTCCTCTGCTCTCCTCACTCTCCTCAGCTCTCCTCGCTCTCCTCTGCTCTCCTCACTCTCCTCAGCTCTCCTCGCTCTCCTCTGCTCTCCTCACTCTCCTCAGCTCTCCTCACTCTCCTCAGCTCTCCTCCGCTCTCCTCCGCTCTCCTCTGCTCTCCTCACTCTCCTCCGCTCTCTTCCATACTCTCTCTTTTCAAACCACACCTGCTTCCATCCTTCCTACCTGCACGTAGATCTTAGCGCGTGCCTCATGCACTATGTCCACCCCACTCTCCTCCGCTCTCTTGACTGACGGACTCCCAGGTCCCTGCTCTTCCTCCTCCTCCTCCTCTTCTGTCACAAGCAAAGCACGGAGACAAGGGGGGCGAGGGAGGAACAGGGTTGGTATTGGAACGAGTTGTTAAGGGGAATGGCGGCACTTCTCACTCCTCTGCTCTCCTCACTGACGGACTCGAAGATCCCTGCTCTTCCTCCTCCTCCTCTTCCTCTGTCAGAAGCAAAGGACGGAGAGGTGGGGCCGAGGGAGGAACAGGGTTGGTATTGGAATGAGTTGCTAAGGGGAATGGCAGCACTTCTCACTCACTCCTCTGCTCTCCTTCACTGATGGACTACCAGATCCCTGCTCTTCTTCCTCCTCCTCCTCTGACAGATGCAAATGGGGGAAGAGGGGGAGGGAGGGAGCGAGGAACTGGGTTGGGATGGGTTGTTAACGACAAGAAGAGTAGCACTTCTCACCCTGCCTTCTTCACGGATGGACTCGCAGATCTTTTGAGTCGACTCAAAAGTCACCTCGTTTTTTAGTCGACTCAAAAGTCACCTCGTTTTTGAGTCGACTCAAAAGTCACCTCGTTTTTGAGTCGACTCAAAAGTCACCTCGTTTTTGAGTCGACTCAAAAGTCACCTCGTTTTTGAGTCGACTCAAAAGTCACCTCGTGTTTGAGTCGACTCAAAAGTCACCTCGTTTTTGAGTCGACTCAAAAGTCACCTCGTTTTTGAGTCGACTCAAAAGTCACCTCGTTTTTGAGTCGACTCAAAAGTCACCTCGTTTTTGAGTCGACTCAAAAGTCACCTCGTTTTTGAGTCGACTCAAAAGTGTAGCGCTTCTCACCCTGCCTTTTTCACGGATGGACTCGCAGATCCCTGCCCTTCACACGTGAACCGCTCACCTTTTGCAGCGCCTCCGACAGCAATGGGTGCGAGCAGTGCTGCTGCAGGGAAGCCAAAGGCAGGGGTTGTGGATGGTGCAGCTGGGAAGGCGAAGGGGCTGGCTGGCTGCCGCTGAGAAAGTTGTGAGACGTCTCAAAGCTCACCTTTTGCTGCGCCACCGACAGCAATGGGTGCGAGCAGTGCTGCTGCAGGGAAGCCAAAGGCAGGGGTTGTGGATGGTGCAGCTGGGAAGGCGAAGGGGCTGGCTGGCTGCCGCTGAGAAAGTTGTGAGACGTCTCAAAGCTCACCTTTTGCTGCGCCTCCGACAGCAATGGGTGCGAGCAGTGCTGCTGCAGGGAAGCCAAAGGCAGGGGTTGTGGATGGTGCAGCTGGGAAGGCGAAGGGGCTGGCTGGCTGCCGCTGAGAAAGTTGTGAGACGTCTCAAAGCTCACCTTTTGCTGCGCCTCCGACAGCAATGGGTGCGAGCAGTGCTGCTGCAGGGAAGCCAAAGGCAGGGGTTGTGGATGGTGCAGCTGGGAAGGCGAAGGGGCTGGCTGGCTGCCGCTGAGAAAGTTGTGAGACGTCTCAAAGCTCACCTTTTGCTGCGCCTCCGACAGCAATGGGTGCAAGCGGGAATCCAAAGGCGGGGGCCGCGGATGGTGCAGCTGGGAAGGCGAAAGGGCTGGCTGCCGCTGAGAAGGGCGCAGAGAATGACACTGGCGCAGGGGCTGCTGCAGCTGTAGCGGCTGTAGCAGGTGTAGCAGCTGCAGTACCCTTAGCGGCTGTGGCAGCAGGAGGAGATGAGCCGGCACCAGGGGAAGAGGAAGCAGCAGCAGTGGCAGCAGCAGAAGCAGAACCAGCAGCAGAAGCATTGGGAGAACCAGCAGGAGCAGTAGGAGAGGAGGTGAGTCCAAAGCTGACAGTGCCAGTGGTGGGAGAGGAAGACGAGGCAAGCCCAAAACTGGCAGTGCCGACAGCAGCAGCAGGAGCAGCAGCAGGCGGAGTGGAGGAGGAAGGTGAGAAGAAGCCGCTAGGAGGTGGGAAGGGGGGAGGGGCGCCGGGTCTAGGAGACCACATGTTGACTCCTAGAGGCCCGAACATGGGAATGAAGGGAGCGGTGGTGGTGCTGATGGTGCCAGCAGTGGTGCCAGCAGTCTTGGTGGTAGTGGTGTTGGCAGTGGTAGTGGTGGTAGCTGCTGCTGTTGTCGGAGAGAAGGCGAATGGGGATGTGGTGAACGCAGGGGCGTTGAATGAGGTTGCAGGTGCAGTTGGTGCGGTGGAAGGCGGTGGAGAGGCGGATTTCGACTTGATCCAGTCAACGACGTCCTTGTAGGTGGTCTGGGGGAGGCAAGTGGGCGTGTGGGAGTGGGTGCGTGGGAGTGGGTGTGGGGATGTGTCTGAGGGTGTGCATGAGGGTGCGTACGTGAGAATGGGGAGGCGGATCGGGAATTGATCCAGTCAACGACGTCCTTATAGGTGGCCTGGGGGAGGCAATGGGTGCATCACGCGTGGGAGGGGGTGTGAGATGGTGTATGGAGGTGTGTTTGAGGGTGTGTTTGAGGGTGTGTGTGAGGGCTGCGTCAAGGTGTGCGCGACGGTGTGTGCAGAGTTGAGTGTAAGTGTGTGTAATTTTAGGCGCCAGGAACACAAAAGGCAGGAAAATGTATAAGATAAACTGTCAATGCCGTTGTGAGTTACCAAGAGGGTGGTCAATGTGGTCAACGCTACCAAGAGGGTGGTCAATGTGGTCAATGCTACCAAGACATTCCATGAAACACCACCACTACATTGCATGTGTTACAGTGTTACCATGAGGGTGCTGGCATGGTCAATATAGTCATGCACCCCATCGCTCCACAGCTCGTCAGCATGCTCCTTCTGCTGCTGCTGCACCCAACTGCATGTGCACGCACACGTGGATACAAGCATACAAACGCAAATGCACATGCAGACATATGCACATTCACACACACATGCACATGCACATGCACATGCACAGACACACGCACACACACACACACATGCGGACAAAAGCACATGCACACGCATATGCACATAATCACACACGCACACGCCATGCACACACAGACACGTGCACGCATGCACACACAGACACGTGCACGCATGCACACACGCAGGACACGCAACCACGAATGCACTCACACGCCAGATGAACACGCAATGCAAGGAAGTTAATACTTTTGAGACATCTCAAAAGTTGAACGCGCAATGCAAGGAAGCTGCTACAGCGGCAAGCAAAGGCTACCCAGCAGACTGACAAACACATGCAACCAACTTGCCTATGTACACAGTGCACGTGCATTCGAAGATGATACGAGCAGGCGACCAAGTGTGACCTGGCAAGCTGCATTGTCCATCCGCGCGACACCTGGGCGAGCCGCGTTCTACATTCATGTGTCACCCAGTGAATTGACGAATGCTTGTTACCAACCTGGCGAATTGCATAATCCGTCCAGTTGATACCTACATTTGACATCCAACTGTTGACCAACGAACTGGTGAATGCGGGTTACCAACCTGGCGAATTGCATGTTAAGTGCGCGGACAGTCTTCAGACACTCCTGTGCTCGGGCCTGGTCGGGAAACGCTGCTGCTGAATCTGGTGCTGACGCTGGCGCTGATGCTGCATTGTTGGCTGCAGCAGGGAAAGGAGCGGTGGTGAACGATGGGAAGCCGTTGAATCCGGTTGCTGGTGGTGTGTCGGCTGCTGCTCCTCTCTTCTGCTGGTGGTTCTGCAGGGAAAAAAAAGGAGAAAGTGGAGGAGTAAGGGGAGTAGGAGGAGTGACCAGAGGGAGGACGGTGAGGAGGACGAGAGGGAAGAGGAGGACGAGGGGGAGGAGGGGGACGAAGGGCGATGAAATGACGACTCAATGAGGTGAGGGATGGGAGAGTGGGCATGGCTGTTCCATCACATTCAGGATATATATATACAAACAAAGTTTTCGGCTTGATAAAATACGATTCTTTTATCGCTCAAATCGACACAACGAAAAGCATCAAGCAAAATCCTGCAGGCGGAAAGCCTTACAGCAGCATGTCGCCGGCTGAATGGAGCCGCTTCTTCCTCTTCCTCCTCTTCCACATATCGTCGCTTCCCACCCGCCATGAACCCTCTTCCGCTCACAAAGCCCCCCAATATAAGTGAAATCTGCTTTCCGAAAGTCCTCAGAATATGTTGTGCGTTGTAACGAAGCAAACAGGTCTTGTAACCGTATTGACGGAACTTCGATAGTCCCAAAACCTTGTCGCCGTTTCGAACAACCCCCCACTCTAAAAAATAGAAAAAGTTTTCGCCTTTCAGAACAAGTTGCAGCTGCAGTTGAAGCGAGACTGAAAGCAGGCTTGCGGAGGCAGGCAGGTGGACAACCGTGTCTAGGCGGGCTCATAGGCCGCCAATTTCAGTTCAGAAACGCGAGCCAGCCTAGCTGATCAGATAAGGTATGGGAAGGGTAGGGTGCTGTGAGGGAGGGAGATTCACAAGAATGCACCGCCCTGCGAATGTAGAAATGCGAAACACCAGGAGAGTGTACTAAATTTTCATGAGAGGAGCGTTTCAAATATCGGATCCGACTATAGCGAGAGATGCTGCACTTCTTGATGTGTTTTGTGTGTATGTGTTTTGCTTTGTCACATACCAAATTTCAAACCCCTTCGGACAATTCTAGGTCCCCATCTTGAGATAATAGTGGAGCCACCCTTTGTTTGCCACCCCGTGTCCATTACCTTCATGTCACTTCACTTCCCTACTCTATCAGATGAGGTTTCATGCAGGAGAATGCTACAATCAAGCATACGCCACATCTTTCAGCGTGCTTGTAGTCAGTTGCCCTTGTTTTGCGTCCCTGCTTTAAGATTACCTGAATGAAACCATGGTCTTTGATATCTTATTCCAACAAGCACGCAGGAGCTGCAAAACTGATGCATTAGAGATATCAACCGGCATGCTTAGCCCGTCCGCAACAAGCCATCAACATGCAATACAAAGCTCTCCCCTACCAGGGCAGCTCCTCAGCAGCTTCCCAGCACAGAGAACTACCCAATCAGGCAATGAATGGCCCATAACCCTCACGAGTCATAACCCTCTTGTGACCCATCGGATGCGACCCCTGTGAGTGACCTGTCCCCTATAGCAAAACTCCACCCCACGGCTGCACGCTTCAAAGTTTGAAGGCCGAGGGAGGCTTCCAAGGAAGCAGCTGATGAATGCGTCACGCGTGTGTGACATCAGAAGGGCAGGATGAAGGGGGGGGTGGATGAATGGCTGGTACACTTGTGAGGGCGGAATCAAGGGTGGTGTACTTGTGACGTCAGAAGGGCGGAATGAAGGGCAGTATACAGACGTCAAACTCTGGAAGGTACCTCGGACTCGCCCACACCACTCTCTCATTCTTCTCCCCTTCCTCCCCCTCCTCTGCCTCCTCCTCCTCCTCCTCGTCCTCCACTTTCTCCTCCTCCCCAGCCTCTTGCATTGCGGTGTCTACCATGACCTTATCCCCCATCTGCCCCTCTTTCACTCCCCCATCTCCCTCCCCTCTTGCACCCGCCCCGCCCTCCCCTCTCGCACCCGCCCCCGGCTCGGGCAATAACCAGTCGGCGAAGCTCACTTCGGCTTCCATCTCAGCCAGCGCCTCAGCAAGCCCGTGTGTGGCGTTGTCGAATGCGAGAAACGTCTGATCCACCACCACTGGGGGCTCCGCCCTCCTCTTCTCACGCCCCTCCCTCTGCCTCTCCCTTCCCTCCCGCCCCTCCCTTCTCTCCTTCCCTTCCTTCCCCTCCCGACCGTCTTGACCCTCTCGCCCCTCCTTCCCTTCCCTTCCCTCCTTCACTCCTCTCCGATCAGCCTGTTTATGAAACCCGTTCTCCCCTGGTGTGCCAGGCACGTTTTTTCCTACAGTGGCAGTTCCACCAGCACCCGCTGCAGCAGCAGGAGCAGGAGCAGCAGCAGCAGCAGTGGCGGCGGCGGCAGCTGGACTAGAGGATTTCAGCCGGGGATCGTTTTCGAGCTTATTTCGGGAATCGTTTCGGGGTTCGTTTCCAGGATCGATTCGGATGTCGTTTCGCGGCTCGCCTGTGGGTCTAAGAGGGGACAGCACCTCGGCTGCTGACGTGTCACTAACACCCGGCCCGCCACTTAACCCCGCCCCTCCACTCGCTGTGCTTCTGCTGTGGTGGTGCCGGCGCTTGCTGCTGCGAGATTTGCCCGACACAGCAGCAGACACGCCCCCGCTTCTGCTGCTGTCTGCGGGTGACGCCCCTGCTGCCCCCCTTCCTGCCCCTGACACTGCCCCTGCTGCTGTCGCTGCTGCTGCTGCTGCTGCTGCTGCTGCCCCTGCTGCTCCTCCCCCACCTGCCCCTACACTGGCCGAACGCCCCACCCCTTTCAGAGCAGCAGCAGCAGCAGCTGCAGCAGAGGCGCTCGGTCCCGCACCAGGTTCTGAAACACAGGAGGATGAGGCGAGGCGAGAGGGATGATGATGATGATGGTGGCGACGGTCCGAACCCTCACGAATTCCATGCCCTGCCTTATCCCCATCCCCTGCCCCCTGCCCTGCTGCTTGCCCCTCCTGCCCAGCCCGCTGACTGCCCTGACTGCCTTGACTGGGTTGACTGCCTTGACTTCCCAGACTACCCTGACTGCTCTGGCTGCCGTGGCTGCGCTTGTGGCTCTGCAGCAGGTCTCCCACCCGCCCGTTCTGCCTCCCTGCCCCGTGCACAGGAGGTTTATCGCTCGGCGACACTCCGGCTCGCTTCTCTCCAACTCCACCCACGCCCGGCGCGGCAGCGGCTGCAGCGGCTACGGTGGTTGCGATGCTTCCACCTAATGGGGACACTGCAGCAGTGGCAGGCGCAGCAGCAGCAGCAGCAGGAGCCCCTTTCGCTCCCATTCCTCTCAAATCCACGGCAGATTGGGCATCTCTAAGCTCCTCTAACCCCGGCTTTCCCCCAGGTTTAGAAGGCTCTGATGCTGCTCTCACAGCAGCACCTACGGAAACCTGCCCTCCTTCTCCCTGCCGTCCCTTCCCCTCTCTCCTATCCTGCCTATCCCTATCGCCCCCCTCAGTTTCTCTCCGCACCTCCCCCCTCCCGTTGCCCAGTCTCACGTCCTCTGATTTCGAATCGTGTTGCCCCCGGCTGTCCGACGATCGCAGCCGTTGATCTGGACCTGTCCGGAGATCAGGGGTTGAGATGGACCCGTGCAGCGGCTTGGACGCTCCTGGTGCTGAGCCCAAATCCCGAGCGCTACCGTCCGTTGATTTGGAGATCCGTTCGTTTAGGGTGGCAGAGGGACGTGTGTCCTGCTGCTGCTGAGATGCACGCGTATCCTGCTTTTCCTGCTTGCTGGAAGCACGTGCGTCAGCTGTGCTGGTGCCACGTGAGTCTACTGCATTAACGCCACGTGCCTCCAACGCGTTAGTGCCACGTGTGTCCAATGCATTAACGCCACGTGTATCCGGGGGGGCAGGGGCGCGGGGAATGCCGTTCTCCCCGTTGGGCATGCCTTGAGGCACTGCCTTGCGGTCCTGCTTCTTGTCTGTGGCAGTGCGAGCAGGGGGGGAACAGGGAGGGGCGGCAGGATGGAACAGAAACAGAATGAATTTTGTCTCGACTCACACCTTGCCTTGAGGCACTGCCTTGCGGTCCTGCTTCTTGTCTGTGGCAGTGCGAGCAGGGGGGGAACAGGGGGGAGTGGCACAATGGAACAGAGGCGGCTTGAAACCTGAATGAAACCATGGGGTAGAGTGAAACAGTCACATGGGAACAGGAATCTGGAAAAGCTTACCTTTATAGCATAAGCTGAAATAGCATAAGCTGTGGACGCGAGATGGTGCAAGGAAAAGGCTGACCTTTATGCTTGTCTCTGTGCTTCTCGTCTCGTCGCTTCTCCTCTCTGCGTTTCTCCTTCTCTTTGTGCCTCTCCTCCTTCCTCTTCTCATCCTTATGCTTATCCTCCTTCTTCTTCTCATCTTTCCTTCTCTCCTCCTTATTCCCCTCTTTCCTCTCCTCCTTCCTCTTCTCGTCCTTTCCCTTCTCCTCCTTCCCATCCTTCCCTTCCTTCCCTTCCTTCCCTTCCTTCCCCTCCTTCCCCTCTCCACTCGCCTTTTCCCGTTGCTCCTCCTGCTTTCCCACCTCTTTCCGCAATTCACTCTTCTGCTTCCCACCCTCACCCTTATCTTTCCCCAAACCCTGACCGTCATCCCCCTTGTCTGTGCCCTTCTCCTCCTTTTGAGACGTCTCAAGTCCCAAACCCTCACCCTTCTCTCCCTTGCTCTTCTCCTCTTTCCGAGACGTCTCCAAACGCAAACCCTCCCCTTTCTCACCCTTCTCTTTCTCCCCGCCCTTCCCCTTATCCGTGTCCCCGCCCTTCCCCTTCTCCCCGCCCGCCCCCCTCTCCGTGTTCCCATCCTTCTCCTTGCGCGCCGAGTCTTCAGACGACTGCTTCCGGTGCTCCTTAGAATCCTTCTCCTTAGGCTCCTTTTCCTTTGATTCCTTAGAATCCTTGGGTTCTCTAGTTTCCTTGGGCTCTTTTGACTCCTTGGAACGCTTCTTCTCCTCCTTGCGCCGCTTCCGCTCCTCCTTGTCTTCCCCCTCGCCCCCTTCCCTATGCCGCTTCTTCTTCTTCTTTTTCTTATCCTTGTCTCGATCTTTATCTTTCCCCTCCGATCTCGTCTCCTGGTCGGCAGCAAAAGGCGGGAATGCAGGGTGGACGGATAAATATATATTTATTGATCAGGGAAGGGCAATAATATTTTAACGATTTTCCAAAATTTTACATCGAGAAGAACGGGTCACAGGAACGCATTCCGATCCGTGGTGATATACCGCAGTCGGCGAACGGAGAGCGACGATGAGAACCCTAAAGGCAATAATGAAAGATGCACGGACGACGGAGCGACTGGGGGTTAGAGCAATCGAGATTCTGTTCGAAACGGCATTCCGAAAAAGGGGAATGCGGCATTATAGAAATTTCTGGAAACTCGGAACCACCTCTCAAGAAAAGAACCTCAACAGCTGCCACTCGCCTTGAACACGTCACCGCACCAGACCGTTCCGAACAGTCCAGTTCCCTGAACCATTCCATCCGACAACGACTACGCTTTTCCCCATACGTTCCTTGGGATTACCTTAGGGACGCTAAGAGACAAATCTGGAGGTAACTTTTAAGTCCGACTCAGTATTCACCTCGGCTTTCACCATACGTCCCATTCCCCTTGGGATTACCTTAGGAATGCTTAGAGACGGATCCCGAGGCTTCTTCTGGAACCCCGGCGGGGGATACGGCCAGCAGCGAGACATGGCGACCGGAATCACCCAATCGGCGCCTGCTGGACGCTCGAAAGGTCACCGGCAGGAGGAACTCATCGGACACGACGCGACGACCTGGAGCTGTTATGACAGGAGCTGCGATAGTAGACGATGCGATAGTAAGAGATTCGGCTGCCGTTGACTGGCGCTGCAGCGATCAGCGGCGGTACCCGTTGTGGATGCACTCGTAGCGGCTGCGACACGCCCCTTCCCCAGTGAGCTTCAAAGGCGACGCGCTTCGGCTTTCGCCTGTTGCGGCTGCTGCGGTGCCGACGACAAAACGGCCGTGACGTATAGTCGCTTCAGGACGCAGAATAATACCGCTTCGCCGAAAGTCGCCCAAAGGCTACCCGAGGATTATAGCACAATGCAGAATTAGGGCATTGCAGCAGCAATGACCAGCAAGCGTGAACGCTCCCGTGGAAGGAGCGTGACGCGATGAAGCAGCGACCAATGAGGAGAGCGAAGCGTCGCCTACAGGCCGACTTTCCGGACCGCTCCCGAATGGACCTCGCGCGTCAGAATCGAATCAGCCAATCAGCATCGAAGCAGAAGCAAATCTGTAGTGAATCTATTTCCAAACCAGATCAGAACTGTCGCTACGATGAATTAATGGCGAGATCCGCGTGACGACTTTCCTCGCACTAAGTATCGCGCTTGAGTGCTGAATACGTTTCCTCTCAGACGGCCAAATTAGGGCAAGGGTTCTCGCCTGACCTAAAAATATCAGCCTAGCCTATTGCGAATTAGGTCAAGCACCGTCAGCCTTTCTTTCCCGATCAGCTCAGTTCGCGATGCGGTAGCGGCCGCCTTTGACAACGTTTTAGATTCTTTCGTTGCCGCCGCTGCGCCGCCGCCTCCGCCGTTCCTGTAGGAAGACGGCGTGACGTGACGTAGCGCGTGGTTATTCAGAGGCCGTCTCGTCCTTAGCAGGCAGCTGAGCTGAAGCTCTAAGCTGTCTCGTGCTGGGAGAGAATCAAACCCTACCAAAAGAAATGGCTGGCTGGTCCTATTTATACTCCTGGCGTCACTTCGCCAAGCACGCCAGGATGAACGCATCCCCTGACAGGGGTTTTAGTGCGTTACAAATGGATATAAATTGTTTCAAAAAGGTTGCGGCGGACCAACCAGCAGGTGGTTCTGCTGTTCCCACTGTTCCGCTTCCTCCTGAGCGGAGTTCCCCCATCCATTCACCCAACCAACCAGCGCGCTTCTACCCCCCGCTTCCCCTTTCTTCCCCCTTTTCCCTGATGGTCAAATCGAGATTCGAGACCACCACCATCACATCATGAGGACAGCAGCACGCGCGGGAACATGATTAGGCAGCACATGGGGGAACCCTCCCGCCAAGTCGGGGTGAGCTCGCTCAGGCGGGAGAAATGTAAGGCGGTGCGGTGGGATGTGCATGGCTTCTCCGCCCCATCCAACAAGCGAGGGATGGTCTTGAAAATTCCGAAGGCTGAAGCCCGGCAGGCAGAGCCAAGGCCTAATTGGGAACAGTGCACTGGGGAACAGTTCCGCGGAGTGCTTGTGGAACGTGGGACAGCGGAGGTCCGAACCGAACCGAAGGCAGTTTCTGGAAGAGGTCAGCGCCGTTTCGAGATTGCAGTTTGGCTCTTGACAGTGTTCCGTTCGGTTTAGTCTTTTTGAAGAAGATTGTAAAGGGTGCAGAGAGTTCATCAATTTTTAATTTCATCGCGGTGCGCCAGCAGGGATCGGAGGTTCCAAACAAAAGTGAAAGCACGAGCTTTGCTCCCCTGGCAGAGGGTGCTTGGTAGCCTTCGCGAACCTCGAATCAGCGCGACCAATCAAGCGACACCAGTCGCCTCGCTCGCCAGTTTTCGTCACTACTCATCGCGCGAAAGCATCCCCTGTGCTCTGCTGGTGAGTCTCCACCCAAAAATCGCAGACTTCCCCTGACGGATGGACGGACGGACTGTCACACCGCCCCCAGCAAGGTTTGTCCAATGAGAGGCAAACTTTGTGCAAAACCCCCAACTTCCATGCTCCCCTGTTCTCAATCCGCACGAATTTCAAAGTGTACAAGTGCCACCTGGACAAAGCATCTGTAAAGAGAATCGGAACAGGCACTTTCGAATCGATAGCTACGACCAGCTAGACACTAGAAGAAACACCTTACACCTGACCATCCCTTCTCGCCAGCTTTCCTGGCACCCACATTCCGTGCATCGGCTTCTCGCGCTGCGAGGCGGGTGTGTCACAGATTCTGAATTAACACATCCGTCCTTATCAAGATCGTGTTCCTAGGCTTGAATTCAGCTCATTTGGCTCGCCGATTGCTTCTTCTGTTGGTTCTAGGCCCGTCAGCTAAAGTCGGATGTACGGTGCCTGTTTTTGAGTCGACTCAAAAACTGGTTCTAGGCCCGCCAGCGGAAGTCGGATGTACGGTGCCATCACATTGTCATCAACTGCCCAATCCGCGAGACTGCTGATCTCCGCGAATCCCGCACATGATTCCGCAGGATACCTGAACAACTTACGAACCGAAACCACCGCGTTGGTGGGTGAATTCGCGAGAAGCTTTCAAGTGGTAACCCGATCGTCCACAAGTAGTCACTCATTTCGCTTATCGACGCAGAGCTATTCGTCCCCGAGTCCGTTTTCCCCGTGTGGACGCCTTGGAAGAAGAAATCAACGGCGCGCAGCTCTCCCCCTTGCTCTTGGTTGCCACGTGTCAGCCATGGCGGACTCGAGAGGTCAACGTTTAGCGGATGCTGACGTGGACATGTTAGACAATGTCCAGGTGGATCAGCCAAACCTGCAGGGCGACGCGGATGTGTCGCTATCCAACGGTCACGATCCCGAGATCGTGAAATCGGAGGAGGATAAGAAGGCGTACCGCATGGTGACTCTCCCGAATGGGTTAATCACCCTGTTAATTTACGACCCTGAGATTGCCGCGTCAGGGGATGACGATGAGGATGATGAGGAGGAGGAGGATGAGGAGGATGAGATAGAGAGTGAGGAGAGCGATGAGGAGATGAGTGTTGCTGAGGGTGGAGGAAGCGGAGATGGGCAAAAAAGCAGCGGAAGGGGGAAAGGGGGGAAGGGGGAAAAGGGGGGTAAGGGTGGGAAGTCCAAGGGACGAAAAGGTGCTAGTAAGGGAGGGAAGGGAGGTGACGATATCGAAGGTGAGGATAGCGATTGGGAGACAGCGAGTGAGGAGGAGGAGGAAGGGGTAGGAGACGACGCAGGTACTGACAAAACGGAGGAGGAGCGGGAAACGGCAAAGGTGGCAGAAGGAAAGGGGGATGGTCATAACAAGGAAGGCAAGATGGGGCAAGCAGGGGGTGAGACGACGGGCGGGGAGGGGAAGGTGGGGGGGAAGAGGAAGAAAGTGGGGGGGATTAGGCTGGGTGGTGGTGGTTTGGGGCGGAAGGGGAAGGCTGGGGAGAAGAGTGCAGGGAAGGGGGAGGTGGGAGGGGGAGGGAGCGATGCGGATGGGGAGGATGAGGAGGGTAGTGAGGAGGAGATGGAAAGTGGAGAGGAGGAGGAGTATGATGATGAGGAGGAGGATTCTGATGAGGATGAAGACGATGATGATGATCATCCAGGAGCAGCAAAGAAGGTACCTTTACAGTAGGAGGTATCATCTCCTCATAGCTCTACTTGCTGCATGGAGCGAGCAGTGATGAAGGGCCTTTCCATTTCTTCCCTGTTCCCCTCTTTCCGCGCCTCTCTGCCTCCGCCTCTTTCCATCCTCCGGCCTCACCCCTTCCCGCCCCTGCCGCACCTCTCCTCACCCCACCCCACTCCTGCCCCACCTCGCCTCTTCCAGCTGGCAGCGGCAGCCATGTGTGTGGGCGTGGGAAGCTTCCTGGATCCTCCCGATGCTCTCGGCCTCGCACATTTCCTTGGTCAGTCAGTAGTCGCAGTCACTCTCACTAGGGTTTAAGTTCAGGGGGTTTAGAACAAAGACCAATGAATTGGTTGGGGGGGGGGGGGGTGCGTACGTCACCCAGGCCACCCCCAAGCGAGCCAATATGTTTTCGATGACCAATTCTGACAGTGCAAGTTCTGAGTCGACTCAAAACTCGCCACCCCCGAAGCGTGCCAATGTGTTTCTCTGATGACCATTTCTCATCTCACCTCACAGTGCAGTCGTTGTCGTTGTGCCTCACAACAGGCATTCTCGAGCACTGCGGCGACTGAAGAGTCATACTTTGGGTTTGGGTTTCTCAAGCACTGTTGCAATGCAATTGATAAGCCGTACCTTGGGGTTGTTGTTTCCTGTCGTGGTTCCATTCCACCCTCCCTCCCTCCCGCCGTCCATCGCTTGTGCTGCAGAGCACATGCTGTTCACAGGGACTGTCAAGTTTCCTGACGAAAACAATGTCTAGGAGTTTCACATTCTCTCTCCTCCCTCCCTCCCGCCCGGCCCCCTTCCCTCCCTTGTACTGCAGAGCACATGCTGTTCATGGGGAGTGTCAAGTTCCCTGACGAAAACGAGGTGAGAAGGGCCTAGACCCTGACACAGCAAGCCCTACCACTTTTAGCAGTAACGGAAAACCCTGAACCTTCCGGTGTGCAAAACGAAACCCTATGACCCTGCCTGCCGCTCAACGTCCCGGATGAGATTGACTGAGGGCGAGGCTTGAGAATTGAACTGAAACCCTAAAGCGAAACTGAAATGCTGAGCCCGAGGGGCCTTGCCACATGACACATGGCACTGTGACGTTCATGCTTCAAAACTACGTCAATCCTGCCCTCTGTAACCTGATCCTTAAACCCTAAACCCTAAGCCCTGAACGCTGTGAAACACCACGTTTTCCCCCACATATAGCAAACCATTCCCTCCGTCTTCCCTCCCTCCCCCCTCCCCTTCACACACCAATCCTTGCTTGCAGCACGACTCGTTTCTGAGGCGGCACGGAGGCGGTTCCAATTCCAATTCGTTCACAGATACAGACTTGACGTGCTATCACTTTGACGTGGCACTCACACCACATATAGCAAACCCCTTTCTCCCTCTTTCCTCCCTTTAACCTTCCCCGTACGCCGTTCCTTGCTTGCACAGTACGACTCGTTTCTGAGGCGGCATGGCGGCGGCTCGAACGCGTTCACAGAGGTGACTTTTGAGTCGACTCAAAAGTCACCTCTTTCTGCCTCTTCTTCCCCTCCCCCACTTGCGCATACACGCCCTTCCTTGCACAGTACGACTCGTTTCTGAGGCGGCATGGCGGCGGCTCGAACGCATTCACAGAGACAGAGTTCACGTGCTACCACTTTGACATCGCACACAAGTACCTGCACCCTGCTCTTGACAGGTGAGCAGCTTCTGAAGTGCGTTCACAAGGTGAATCTCAAGTGCACGCCTCGAACCAGCGGAGTGCCCAGTGCGTTCACAGAGACAGAGTTCACGTGCCACCACTTTGACATCGCACACAAGCTCTTGACAGGTGAGTGAGCCCCAGAGGCGTCTGAGATGAGAAGGCGAGCTTCAGTTGCGCATCTCCACCTTCACTGCAATGTGTTCACGTGCCAACACTTTGACGTGGCACACAAGTACCTGCACCCTGCTCTCGACAGGTGATAATAGACCCACACTTTGCTGGACCCCCCTTCCCCATCCTGGCCCATCGCACCCCTCTCATATCAGCTCTGCGCTGTCCTTTGGGCCGCCACTGGCTCCCCCCCCGACCCACACCCTTCCCTCCCTCCCACCCTCTTTCTTGGCCTCCCTACCCAACTAAACCGGAAAAGCCCTGGTGCACTGTATCCTTCTCAATTTAGATTCGTGCAGTGCAGTTCCTCAAAAGCAGTCCCTACCCAACTAAACCGGAAACCCTGGTGCACCGTATCCTTCTCAATTTAGATTCGTGCAGTTCTTTGAAATTCCACTGAATCGCCCGATCTATCCCCCTCCCGCCCTCCTTCATTCGTGCCCTTTCTCCCTCCCTCCCCCCTCCCTCCCTCCCTCCCTCCCTCCCTCCCTCCCTCCCTCCCTCCCTCCCTCCCTCCCTCCCTCCCTCCCTCCCTCCCTCCCTCCCTCCCTCCTTCCCTCCCCCCTTTCAGGTTTGCGCAGTTCTTTGTGGCGCCGCTGGTGAAGGCAGATGCCATGGAGAGAGAGGTGCAGGCTGTGGACTCGGGTGAGTTGACCGCCCTTGACCTGTGTTGACTTGTGTTGACTTGGTTTGACTATATTCTGTTGACTTGATGCAGTTTCTATAACTTGACCTGTAATCCTTCGTTGTGTGCATTTAAACCAACTCCCTAGCTCCCCACGACAACCCCTCTGCCCCAAACCCTCATTTCACGGTTCACCATCCTTTCCCACCCCCTCACCACCCCCCGCCGCCCCCTCTCTTCCCTATCTCCCTCCCCACCTCACTCCCAGAGTTCAACGTCAGTCTGCAGAGCGACGTGTGTCGGGTGCAGCAGCTGCAGTGCTCCACGTGCGTCTAATCATTTTGTGTGCATGTACACGACCTCTCTCCTTTCCCTGGCCCCTTCTCTCTACCCGCCCCTCTCCCCGCCCAGAGTTCAACATCAGCTTACAGAGCGACGTGTGTCGGGTGCAGCAGCTGCCGTGCGCCACGTGCGTGCACCCAAACCACCCCTTCCGCAACTTCTCCCCCATCCCCTCTCCCCCTCCCCTCTCCTCCTCCCTCTGCCCTCCCCTTCCCCCCCCCTCCTCCCTCCCAGAGTTCAACATCAGCTTACAGAGCGATGTGTGTCGGGTGCAGCAGCTGCAGTGCTCCACGTGCGTGCAGCCAGACCACCCCTTCCGCAAGTTCTCCTGGGGCAACCGCAAGAGCCTCATAGACGACCCGGCCAAGCTTGGAGTGGACATGCGGGAGCGGCTGCTGCAGCTCTACTCGCGGTTTTATACAGCCGGGGCGATGAGGCTGGTCGTGGTTGGGGGCGGTGAGTGCTGGTGTTTGAGGGCTGGTTGTGGTGCGGTGTGGTGTGGTTGTGCCGCATGCAGCAGGTTCAGGTATTTGGGCATGCGGGAGCGGCTGCTGCAAGTTCTCCTGGGGCAACCGCAAGAGCCTCATAGACGACCCTGCCAAGCTCGGAGTGGACATGCGGGAGCGGCTGCTGCAGCTCTACTCGCGGTTTTATACAGCCGGGGCGATGAGGCTGGTCGTGGTTGGGGGCGGTGAGTGCTGGTGTTTGAGGGCTGGTTGTGGTGCGGTGTGGTGTGGTTGTGCCGCATGCAGCAGGTTCAGGTATTTGGGCATGCGGGAGTGGCTGCTGCAAGTTCTCCTGGGGCAACCGCAAGAGCCTCATAGACGACCCTGCCAAGCTCGGAGTGGACATGCGGGAGCGGCTGCTGCAGCTCTACTCGCGGTTTTATACAGCCGGGGCGATGAGGCTGGTCGTGGTTGGGGGCGGTGAGTGCTGGTGTTTGAGGGCTGGTTGTGGTGCGGTGTGGTGTGGTTGTGCCGCATGCAGCGGGTTCAGGTATTTGGGCATGCGGGAGCGGCTGCTGCAAGTTCTCCTGGGGCAACCGCAAGAGCCTCATAGACGACCCCGCCAAGCTGGGAGTGGACATGCGGGAGCGGCTGCTGCAGCTCTACTCGCGGTTTTACACCGCCGGGGCCATGAGGCTGGTCGTGGTGGGGGGAGGTGAGTGCTTGTGTGTGGGTGTGGGGGGTGTGGGTGTGGGGTTTGGGTGCGGTGTGGTGTGGCTGTTTCACATGTAGCAGGTGCAGGAGTGGACATACGGGAGCGGCTGCTGCTCGTGGTTCTATACGGCCGGGGCGATGCGGCTGGTCGTGGTTGGGGGAGGTGAGGGCTTGGGTTGTGTGGATGTGGGTGTTGGGTGTGGTGTGGTGTGGTGTGGTGTGGTGTGGTGTGGTGTGGTGTGGTGTGGTGTGGTGTGGTGTGGTGTGGTGTGGTGTGGTTGTGTACCGTGAGGCAGGTACAGGAACATGTTATGAGTCGACTCAAAACTCTGGGAGTGGACATGCGAGTGCGGCTACTGCAGCTCTACCCGCGGTTCTACACGGCTGGGGCCATGAGGCTGGTGGTGGGGGGGGAGGTGAGTGTGTGGATGCGTGTGCGTTTAGGGGTGTGGGTATGGGGGTTGGGAGTGTGCGCGTGTGCATGTGCCTGCCCCTTGGGCAATGGGGGAGAAGAGCGGCCGCACACAGGTCTCTCAACTCCCTTCTCCCCCCCTCTCTCCCCTGCTCTCTCTTTCTCTCTCTCCACCCACGCTATTCAACAGAGCCCCTGGACACGCTCGAGGCGTGGGTGAGGCAGCTCTTCTCGCCCATTACCTCTCCTGCCCCACAAGGTCTTTAATCCCCTCTCTCCCCTCTCTCCCCTCCTCCCCTCTTTCCCGCCTTCCCTTTCTACCCACTCCACCAGAGCCCCTGGACACGCTCGAGGCGTGGGTGAGGCAGCTCTTCTCGCCCATCCCCCCCTCACTGGACACTCAAGAACCTAACTCCTTTCGCTCCCCTTCTCACACCACCTACCCTCTCCCACAGAGCCACTGGACACACTCGACTCGTGGGTGAGGGAGCTCTTCTCTCCCATCCCTCCCAGGCCCACACCAGGACTCTTACCTTCCTTCTCCCATCTCCCCCCCTACCCTCTCTCCACCCATGCCACCAGAACCCCTTGACACGCTGGAAGCATGGGTGAGGCAGCTCTTCTCGCCCATCCCTCGATTTCTGGTGCTACTGTTCTGAAGCAGTATCCTCAATTTCCACCCTCTCCATCAGAGCCCTTGGACACGCTGGAAGCATGGGTGAGGCAGCTCTTCTCGCCCATCCCTCGATTTCTGGTGCTACTGTTCTGAAGCAGTATCCTCAATTTCCACCCTCTCCATCAGAGCCCCTGGACACGCTTGAGTCGTGGGTGAGGCAGCTCTTCTCGCCCATCCCTCCGGGGGGCAGCGGCATTCACCCGCTGCTGCACCAGCTGCCCCCGCCTGCCACCTTCTCTCCGCCCTCCCAGGACTCTGAGATGCTGGGGCCTGGTGCTGCTGGGTTGGAGCAGGAGGAGGGGGGGGCAGGGGAGGTGGTGGGAGGGGGTAATGGTAGCAGTGCTGCTGCTGCTGCTGCTGCTGGTGGTGATGGTGCTGCTGGTGCTGGTGGTGGTGGTGCTGTGGCTGCTACAGCTAGGAAGAAGGGACCGCTGGCAGCGGTGTTGGCAGGGAGTAGAGCAGCGTCTGAGGTATCCACTGCCGCTACAGCCGCCACTGCTGCTACAGCCGCTACAGCTGCTACAGTCGCTGCTGCTCCTGGGGTGCAGATGGGGACGACAGAGACAAGCGCAGCGAAAGGGGAGAAGGGGAAGGGAGACAAGGAGGAGGAGGCGGAGGAGGTTGGGGATGGGGAGAAGTGGAGGGGGGTGTGGGAGGCAGGGCGGCTGTATGAAGTGGCGAGTGTGAAGGAGCAGCAGCAGGTGTCGCTCATGTGGACACTGCCGTGCCTGCATGCCGAGTATGCCAGCAAACCCCACGACTACCTCTCCCACCTCATTGGCCACGGTGAGTGTGACACCCTTGAGGCATGATGAGACTTGCGGGAAAGGTCAGGGCAGGAGGGGGGCATGGGAGGGGGGCATGGGAGGGGGGCATGGGAGGGGGGCATGGGAGGGGGGCATGGGAGGGGGGCATGGGAGGGGGGCATGGGAGGGGGGCATGGGAGGGGGGCATGGGAGGGGGGCATGGGAGGGGGGCATGGGAGGGGGGCATGGGAGGGGGGCATGGGAGGGGGGGTATGGGAGGGGGGCATGGGAGGGGGGGTATGGGAGGGGGGGTATGGGAGGGGGGGCAGATCTTTGCGTTGTCTCAGACCCTGCATGCGGAGCGGACAGGCCAGCAAACCCCACAACTACCTCTCGCACCTCATCGGGCATGGTGAAATGAAACTTGCAGGGGAGCGCGCGCAAAGCAAAGCTTCTCTTCCCTTCACAAATGGCACCGGCAGTCTGTTATCGCTGCTGCTCAGTGTGAAGGGGTGGCCCGCTAGACTCACTAAGTAGGATCTTTCCCTACTTGTGCCTTGCCTTGATGATCTCCCTCGTGATCTGTCCTTGACTTCTGAGGCTCCTCAAAAGTTCCGTGCCTCCCTTCATCGTCACCCTCTTCCGTCCCTCCCACATCACCCTCTCTTCCCCCACACAGAGGGCAGTGGCAGTCTGCTATCGTTGCTCAAGGCCAAGGGGAGGGCCACGGAGCTGGCTCTACTTCCTCCCTCCCTCCCCCATCACCCTCTTTTGTTCCTCCCTCATTCACACTCTTCCCCTTCCACAGAGGGCAGTGGCAGTCTGCTATCGCTGCTCAAGGCCAAGGGGAGGGCCACGGAGCTGGCTCTACTTCCTCCCTCCCTCCCCCATCACCCTCTTTTGTTCCTCCCTCATTCACACTCTTCCCCTTCCACAGAGGGCAGTGGCAGTCTGCTATCGCTGCTCAAGGCCAAGGGGTGGGCCACGGAGCTGGCTCTACTTCCTCCCTCCCTCCCCCATCACCCTCTTTTGTTCCTCCCTCATTCACACTCTTCCCCTTCCACAGAGGGCAGTGGCAGTCTGCTATCGCTGCTCAAGGCCAAGGGGTGGGCCACGGAGCTGGCTCTTCTTCCTCCCTCATCGCCCTGCTCCTCTCTCACCACTCACACACCTCTTCTCATTCCCCATGTCCCCCTCCCAGAGGGCAGTGGCAGTCTGCTGTCGCTGCTCAAGGCCAAGGGGTGGGCCACGGAGCTGGCAGCGGGGGTGGGGGAGAGCGGGTATGAGAAGAGCTCCCTCGCTTTTGTCTTCACCGTCACAATCACACTCTCCGAGGATGGCCTCAAACACGTGAGTCCTGCTTGCTGTCTTTCCAGTATTGAGACGACTCAAAGCTGGCAGCGGGGGTGGGGGAGAGCGGGTATGAGAAGAGCTCCCTCGCTTTTGTCTTCACCGTTACAATCACTCTCTCTGACGATGGCCTCAAGCACGTGAGTCCTGCTTGTTTCTCCGAGAAGGATTCTTTTATTTTCTGAACCTCCTGGTCTCGTTGGGGTTGCTTGCTTGGTTCTCAGTCACGCTTTCCGATGATGATAGCCTCAAGCACGTGAGTCCTGCTTCTTGCTTGTTACGAGATACTATTTTCGGAGAAGGCAAATCTGAAGCACCTGGCCTCGTCACTTGCTTGCTTTCTTGGTCTTGGTCAATCACACTCTCCGATGATAGGCTCAAACACGTGAGTCTCGCTTGTGTTGTCAAAGTTACATATATATATATATATATATTTTTTTTTCAATTTTCCGGTTTTCATTTGGGTACCTCCTCTATCTCTCCATCCCTTCGAACTCCTCTCAGTCTCTCCCTTCCACCTCCCCCCCCCCCACCAGTACATCAGCATGCTGCGCCTGGCAGTGCTGCAGTTACCGCACTCTCTTACCTGCTGTCCACCTCCCCGCACACACCGTCTCCCACCCCACCAGGCGCTAGACGTTGTAGGAACGGTGTTCCAGTACATCACCATGCTGCGCCTGGCTCCGCCCCAGCGGTGGGTGTTTGAAGCCTCATATTGCCTCTCTCTTTCCCGTCCCTTCACACCACTTCCCCCCCTTACCTCACCCACACCAGGCGCTAGACGTTGTAGGAACGGTGTTCCAGTACATCACCATGCTGCGCCTGGCCCCGCCCCAGCGGTGGGTGTTTGAACCCTCTTATTGCCTCTCTCTTTCCCGTCCCTTCACACCACTTCCCCCCCTTACCTCACCCACACCAGGCGCTAGACGTTGTAGGAACGGTGTTCCAGTACATCACCATGCTGCGCCTGGCAGTGCTGCAGATATATCACTCTCTTACTGCTCTCTCTTCTGCTACCTCACCCACACCAGGCGCTAGACGTTGTAGGAACGGTGTTCCAGTACATCACAATGCTGCGCCTGGCTCCGCCCCAGCGGTGGCTGTTTGAACCCTCCCCTTTCACCCCTCTTCTCCATCCCTTCACACCACTACCTCCCTCCCATACCAGGCTCTAGACGTGGTGGGAACGGTGTTCCAGTACATCACCATGCTGCGCCAGGCGCCCCCCCAGCGGTGGGTGTTTGAGGAGCTTCAGGCCATCGCAGCCATGGACCTTCGATTTGCCGAGGAGGACTCGCCTGACGAGTACGCCGTCAGGCTCGCAGGTAGGTGATGGGGCAGGCAGGCTGGAAGGTGCATCTTGGCCGGTGGTGTTTGTTTGAGCTGCAGGCCATCGCAGCCATGGACCTGCGATTCGCCGAGGAGGACTCACCTGACGAGTACGCCGTCAGATTGGCAGGTGGATCTACGTGCTGGCAGGTTAGTCGCTCCCCCCATACAGCCATGCAGGCCATCGCTGCCATGGACCTGCGGTTTGCCGAGGAGGACTCGCCTGACGAGTACGCCGTCAGATTGGCAGGTCAGTTCATGGGCTGGATGGGGCTGGCAAGTCAGGCACTGTCCCCAGCGGTGGGTGTTTGAGGAGCTGCAGGCCATCGCTGCCATGGACCTGCGATTCGCCGAGGAGGATTCTCCTGATGAATACGCCGTCAGGCTCGCGGGTAGGTTCTTTCATGTGCTGGGTGGGGCTGGCAGGCGGATTGGAAGGTGCATCTCTCACTCGCCCCCAGCGGTGGGTGTTTGAGGAGCTGCAGGCCATCGCAGCCATGGACCTGCGATTCGCCGAGGAGGATTTTCCTGATGAATACGCCGTCAGGCTCGCGGGTAGGTTCTTTCATGTGCTGGGTGGGGCTGGCAGGCGGATTGGAAGGTGCATCTCTCACTCGCCCCCAGCGGTGGGTGTTTGAGGAGCTGCAGGCCATCGCTGCCATGGACCTGCGCTTTGCCGAGGAGGACTCGCCTGACGAGTACGCCGTCAGATTGGCAGGTCAGTCCGTGGGTGGATGGGACACAGGGCTAGAACGTTGTCCAGTGTGGCCGTGGCTGCTCTCTCCCCCCCTTCCCCAGCGGTGGGTGTTTGAGGAGCTGCAGGCCATCGCAGCCATGGACGTGCGATTTGCAGAGGAGGACTTTCCTGATGAATACGCCGTCAGACTGGCAGGTACGTTGCTGTCACTGGGGCTGGCGGGTCTTTCGCTGTCACTGGGACTGGAAAAGATGGGCCACCGTAGAGGGGTGAAATGACTTGTGATATCCCGTAGAGGGGAGGGAATAACGTTCTGGTCCATCTGCTCCCTCCAGTTGACTTTTGAGTCGACTCAAAAGTCAACTCGTAGAGGGGTGAAATGACATGTGATATCCGGGGAGGGAATAACGTTCTGGTCCATCTGCTCCCTCCAGTTGACTTTTGAGTCGACTCAAAAGTCAACTCGTAGAGGGGTGAAATGACATGTGATATCCCGTAGAGGGGAGGGAATAACGTTCTGGTCCATCTGCTCCCTCCAGTTGACTTTTGAGTCGACTCAAAAGTCAACTCGTAGAGGGGTGAAATGACATGTGATATCCCGTAGAGGGGAGGGAATAACGTTCTGGTCCATCTGCTCCCTCCAGTTGACTTTTGAGTCGACTCAAAAGTCAACTCGTAGAGGGGTGAAATGACATGTGATATCCCGTAGAGGGGAGGGAATAACGTTCTGTTCTGGTCCATCTGCTCCCTCCCTACCCCTTTCCCCTTACCCTTCCTGGTTTTAAGTCGACTCTGAAAACATGACGTGTGATCGCAGTGGAGTACATATGGGTCCATCTTTTCCTTTTCACTTTCCCTTTCTCCCTCCGCTCCTCCCCGTTCCTCCCCCTCCACCAGGCAACATTATTTACAACCCCAAGAGGCATGTGATAGCAGGGGATTACTTTCACAACAAATGGGACCCCCATCGCATCGTCGTCTACCTGCTCTTGCTACTCTCGCTTCTGCCCTGCTCCCTCTTCCCCTCCACCCTCCCCTATCTCACTGGCCCCCCCAGGCATCATGTTCTATTACCCCAAGAAGCGCGTCATTGCAAGGGATCACATCTTCTTCCCTCTGCTCCCCTGTCCCCCCCCCCCCCCCCATCTCTCCCCCTCCCAGACAACATACCCAAGCGGCATGTAATAGCAGGGGACCACATTCACGACAAGTGGGAACCCCATCGCATTGCCTACCTGCACTCTCTTCTCTTCCTGCTTTCTCTGCTCTCGCTGCTCCCCTTTCCCTCCCAGGCAACATGTTCTACTACCCCAAGAGGCATGTGATGACCGAATTGCTTACCTGCTCTCCCTGCATCCTCTCTCCTTCTCACCTCCCCTCCTTCCCCCTCCTCCTCCCAGGCAACATGTTCTACTACCCCAAGAGGCATGTGATAGCAGGGGACTACATTCACAACAAGTGGGACCCCCATCGCATCGCCTACCTGCTCTCGATGCTTTATCTTACTGCTCTCCCTGCTCGCCCTTCCCCTCTCCCCCCCAACAGGCAACATGTTCTATTACCCAAAGAAGCATGTGACAGCAGGGGACTACATTCATGACAAGTGGGATCCCCATCGCATTGCATACCTGCACTCCCTGCTCTCTAATCTCCATCCGTGCTTCCTCTTTCTCACCTCCTGCTTCCGCTCTCCCTCCTCTTTCTTCCCCCACCAGGCAACATGTTCTACTATCCCAAGAGGCATGTGATAGCAGGGGACTACCACGACAAGTGGGACCCCCACCGCATTGCCTACCTGCTCTCGCTGCTCTCTAATCTCCATCCGTGCTTCCTCTTTCTCACCTCCTGCTTCCGCTCCCCCTCCTCTTTCTCCCCCCACCAGGCAACATGTTCTACTACCCCAAGCGGCATGTGATAGCAGGGGACTACATTCACGACAAGTGGGACCCTGACCGCATCGCCTACCTGCTCTCGCTGCTCTCGCCACACTCCGTGCGCCTTGACCTGCTCACTCACTCCTTCGACCACACCAGAGAAGGTGAGCGAGTGTTCTTATGGGGCTTAGGCTTCAGGCCTTGCTGCCCTCTCTACCCTCTCTGTCCTCTCTACCCTCTCTGTCGTCTCTGCTCCCTCCCTCTCGCGCTCATCGCTTACTCACTCATTGATCCCACTCTCTGCCTCTCTCCCTCCCTGTCTCCCTCAAGCATTTCAATGGAGCCGTGGTTCGGAGTGCCCTATACTAGGTGGCTTTTGAGTCGACTAGGTGACTTTTGAGTCGACTTGGTGACTTTTGAGTCGACTAGGTGACTTTTGAGTCGACTAGGTGACTTTTGAGTCGACTCAAAAGTCACCTCATTTCAATGGAGCCGTGGTTCGGAGTGCCCTACACCACAACCAGGCAATAGTATATTCGTTTCGGGACGTACCAGAACAGATTCACTCACTTCTATGCCTCTCTCCCTCTCTGCCTCTCTCCCAATCTCCCTCAGGCATTTCAATGGAGCCGTGGTTCGGAGTGCCCTACACCACAACCAGGCAATAGTATGTATATTCGTTTCGGGACAACTTTTGAGACGTCTCAGACAACAACCAGGCGATAGTATATTCGTTTCGGGACGTACCAGAACAGATTCACTAACTTCTATACCTCTCTCCCTCTCTGCCTCTGGAACCATGCTCCAGGTGTTCTCAAGGAGCCGTGGTTCGACGTGCCCTACACCACAACCCTGCTCTCCCCGGCTCTCCTGGACCAATGGGCGAGCGACACGTGGCTCAACCCCGACCTGCGCATGCCTCCCCCCAACGAGTTTATCCCCACCGACTTCTCCCTCCGCCCCTCCTCCTCCTCCTCCACTGCTGCCCCTACTGCTACCACCACCGCCACTACCACCATTGCTGCTGCTACTTCTGCTGCTGCTGCTACCACTAACATCAGTGAATCTCCCAACGGGACAACTCCTAGTGTGGCCAGTGCACCCAGTGTGCCGCGGGTGGTGAGGGAGGAGGCGGGGCGGTGCAAGGTGTGGTACAAGCAGGACGATGTGTTCCGCTCGCCGCGCCTCAACGCCCACTTCGCCCTCTCCTCCCCTCACGCCTGTGACTCTCCCCGCTCCGCTGCCCTCACTGAGCTCGCGGTGAAGCTTATCGAAGATTCTCTGAACGAGACCCTGTACCTGGTGAGTGTGAGGTGTATCTGTTTGCTCCCAGCGCTGCCAGTGGTTCCAGTGCTCCCAGCGTCCCCCCTGGGGTGGTGAGGGAGGAGGCGGGGCGGTGCAAGGTGTGGCACAAGCAGGACGATGTGTTCCGCTCGCCGCGCCTCAACACCCACTTCGCCCTCTCGTCTCCTCACGCCTGTGACTCGCCCCGCTCCGCTGCACTCACTGAGCTCGCTGTGAAGCTTATTGAAGACTCCCTCAATGAGACTCTCTATCTGGTATGCCTGTCTGAGTCTGTATCATCACCGCATCTGCGTTTCTTGCTCAGCGCCGACTTCGCCCTCCCCTCCCCTCACGCCTGTGATTTGCCCCACTTCGCTGCCATGTCGGATTATCTACTTTTGAGAATTCTCCAAAGTCGCTGCCGTGACGGATCATCTACCTTTGAGAATTCTCCAAAGTCGCTGCCGTGTCGGAGCTGGCTGTGAGAATTATTCAAGACTCCCTGAATGAGACCCCCTACCTGGTGAGGTTTCGGTGTGTCTGAGTTGGTGTGTGTGCCTGTGTGTCACTCACCCTGCTCCGCTGCCCTCGTGGAACTGGCAGTGAAGCTCATAGAAGACTCTTTCCATGAGACACTCTACCTGGTGAGGTTTCGGTGTGTCTGTCTGTGTGTGTGTGTCTGTGTGGGCATCTTCGTGTGTCACTCATTGTGCACTTCGCCCCACTTTGCCCGCGACTTGTCTCGCTCTGCCAACCCCACCCCCATGGAAATCGCAGTGAAACCTATCGAAGACGAAGACTCGCTTCATGAAATTCTCGACCTAGAATGTAACATTACATTACCTACCCCCCGTGCTCTTCCTTCACCCCCTTCCGTTCCAACCCCTCCTGTGCAGGTGAGTGTGGCCAAGCTAGACACCTTCATGGCCGTCCAGGGCTTTAAGATCCTAACCCTAAATCCCCTTCCCTTCTTTCCCCCATCCCTATCCCCCCCGCCTCCACCTCTCGTGCAGGCGAGTGTGGCCAAGCTAGACACGGTTATGGCCGTCCAGGGCTTTAAGATCGAGATCCGAATCACGGGCTTCAGCCACAAGCTGCCGACGCTCGCCGCCCGCATCTTCCGCCACATCAGCACGTTCCGGGCGGCGGCCGACCGCTTCAGTGCTCTCAAGGAGGAGCGGTGCCGCGCGTACCGCAACGCGCTCTTAAAGCCCCTCAAGCACTCCGCCTACCTCCGCCTACTGCTGCTGCGCAACCCCGCCTGGACCATCCCGGACAAGCTATCGGCGCTAACTGCGTGCGAGGTGGACGATTTGAACGCCTTTCTGCCGACTCTCTTCTCCCGGGTGAGTTTTGTTAGAGGCTACACGATACTGATTGGGTTCTGCAGTCTGCTGCTGCTGCGCACCCCCGCCTGGACCATCCCGGACAAGCTATCGGCGCTCAGCGCGTGCGAGGTGGACGATCTGAACGAGTTCCTGCGGGTGCAATTCTCGCGGGTGAGTCTTGTTAAAGGCAACGAGCCCGGCATGGTAAGGATTGAGTTTTGAAACCCATCAGTGATTGAAGGCTTTGAACCGCTTCAGCCCTATTGGTGCCTTCACTTCACTCCAGTCCGTCTCCCCCTTTCCCCCACTCGCCACCTTGCCTCGCTCCCAGGCGCACATAGAAATGCACATTCACGGCAATGCGACAGAAGCGGACGCTCTAGCACTCGCCTCAGCTGTCACAGACACCCTCCCGGTGCCCTCGTCTCCTCTCTCCCCATTCCCTAACTCCACCTTTTGTCCCCCCCAGGCGCACATAGAAATGCTGATTCACGGCAACGCAACAGAGGAAGACACTCTAGCCCTCGCCTTGGCTGTCTTTTGAGGCGCCTCAAAAGTCGTCTATGTTTTTGAGGCGCCTCAAAAGTCGTCTATGTTTTTGAGGGGCGCCGCAACAGAGGACGACGCTCTAGCCCTCGCCTTGGCTGTCACAGACACCCTCCCGGTGCCCTCCCCTCCATCCCCGTTTTTACACCCGCTCCCCACTTTTCCCACCAGACATGCATAGAAATGCTGATTCACGGTAACGCAACAGAGGAGGACGCGTTAGCACTCGCCTCAGCCGTCACCGACACCCTCCCAGTGCCCTCGCCTCCGCTGCTGGACCTCCCTTCAGAGCGCTGCCTGCAGCTGCCACGTGGCAAGTCCCTGTTGGTCGAGAGCCCCGTGGGGAACCCGGCCGAGGAGAATTCTGCAGTCGAGGTGAGAGGTCGGTGGGAGTGAGGCAGGTGGAAGTGGGGCAGGTGGGAGTGGGGCAGGTGGGAGTGGGGCAGGTGGGAGTGGGGCAGGTCTCACCTAATGCTGTGGTGCATCTCTCCCTCCATGCCTGGTCGTCCACACCTGCCAAGACGTGAGTGCGTGCCATCGTTTCTAACCGATCACCCTCGCCTTTTATCCATCCACTCCACTCCACTTCCGTTCACCCACCCCCCTTCCCTCTTCCCCCACACCCCTTCCCCCATCCCCCACCCCCCATGCATCAGGTGTACTACCAGGCCTGCCAGGTGGACCTGATGCATGCACATATACCAATACCAGATCAGACCAATCCTCTCCTTTCCTCCATCCACTCCCCATCCCCCATCGTCCATCCCCCTTCCCCCATCCCCCATCCTCCATCCCCCTTTCTCCATCCCACTTCCTCCATCCCCCTTCCCCCATCCCCCATCCTCCATCCTCCATCCCCCATCCCCCATCCTCCATCCCCCATCCTCCATCCCCCTTCTCCCATCCCCCATCCTCCATCCCCCTTCTCCCATCCCCCATCCTCCATCCCCCTTCCTCCATCCCCCATCCTCCATCCCCCTTCCTCCATCCCCCATCCTCCATCCCCCTTCCTCCATCCCCCATCCTCCATCCCCTGTCCACCAGGTGTATTACCAGGCGTGTCAGGACCAGGGCCGGGCGTCCATCCGAGACCGATCGCTCGTGGACCTAATGGAGCAGGTAAGAGTGAGGAGCAGGTGAGGGAGAGAAGCAGGTGAACGCAATGAGGGGTCTTTTTTTGAGACAAATCTTCAGGAATGTACCACTACCAGGCGTGCCAGGACTTTTGAGGCGCCTCAAAAGTCGTCTTTTGAGGCGCCTCAAAAGTCAAATCTTCAGGAATGTACCACTACCAGGCGTGCCAGGACCAGGGCCGGGCGTCCATCCGAGACCGATCGCTCGTGGATCTACTGGAGCAGGTAAGAGTGAGGAGCAGGTGAGGGAGGCGAGCAGGTGAGGGAGGCGAGCAGGTGAGGGAGGCGAGCAGGTGAGGGAGTGAGAGGAGAGGAATTTGGTGAAGTGTGAGAGGCCATTTGTGTATGAATTGCTGGAATACGGAGGAGAGGCCATTTGTGTATGAATTGCTGGAATACGGAGGAGAGGCCATTTGTGTATGAATTGCTGGAACACGGAGGAGAAGCCATTTGTGTATGAATTGCTGGAACACGGAGGAGAATGCGTGTGACATTGTAACGAGTTGACTTTTGAGTCGACTCAAAAGTCAGCTGAAGTGTGAGAGGCCATTTGTGTATGAATTGCTGGAATACGGAGGAGAATGCGACACTTGCCTCACTTCTGAAACCATCTGTGCTTGTGGTATCAAGTGGTGTGCTCCTCCCCTTTCACTTCACCATCCCCTTTCACCCACCCCTTTCAACCGCTCCTCACGTCCCATCTCTCATGTTTCTCCCAAGCGTCTCTTATTTCTCCCCACGGCCTCTCAGGTGATGTCAGAGCCGCTGTTCGACACACTGAGAAGCAAGGAGCAGCTGGGGTACCGAGTGGACTGCGCCACTCGCCTCACCCAGGGACTCCTCCCTTTGACCCACCCAACCATCGCGTCCGTCCCTCATCCCTCGTCCCTCTCTTGTGCGCCCCTCTCCCTTCTCTCGCCCGTCGCTCAGGTGATGTCAGAGCCCCTGTTCGACACACCAAGGAGCAGCTGGGATACAGAGTGGACTGCGGCACTCGGCCCACCCCCTTGGTCTTAAGCTTTGGTGTACTCAATCCACCACTTTCGCCCACCCACCACGCTCACCCCTCAGGTGATGTCAGAGCCCCTGTTCGACACACTGCGCACCAAGGAGCAGCTCGGGTACCGAGTGGACTGCGGCACTCGCCTCACACACGGCGTTTTTGGCTTCTGCATCCGCGTGCAATCCGCTGATTATGGGCCAGAATACCTGCAGCAACGCGTGGACTTATTCCTAAAGACCTTCCGAGATAACCTGGTAAGAACAACACTGCTGTAGTGGTGCCTGCTGTGTTTGGAAAGGAAGAGGCGTCTTTGGCTTCTGCATCCGCATGCAATCCGCCGGCTACTAGCTGAAATGTTTCATCACACCCTTCTGCGGTGGTGTGATGATCGTCTGTTGAATTGAGAAGTTGCCTTTGTCTTTTTCTTAGTAGCCTCAAAAGCAACTCCAACGTATTTGGATCCTTCCGGTACTCATGCGCATGTGCAGGAGAGTAGGCTCATTGCTCAACGTGGTCAGATTCTTCATGCGCATGTGCTCAACGTGGTCAGATTCTTCATGCGCATGTGCTCAACGTTCTGCGAGTGCTGAACATGTGCCCTCCCCTACTCACTTACTCACTCACACTCTCTCATTCTCCCCTCCCTCTCTGTACTGCAGAGCGCCCTGCCCGAAGCTGATTTCAGGGCGCACAGGGCAGCGCTGCAGGTGCTCAAGATGCTTCCCCCCTACTCACTGCCTGCCTCCCTCTCTCAATTCCTCTATCCTGCTCCACCCCTTCCCATTATTCCAGAGCGCCCTGCCCGAAGCTGATTTCAGGGCACACAGGGCAGCGCTGCAGGTGCTGAAGATGTGCCCTCCCTACTCACTCACTCACTCAACCACTCTCCCTCCCACCCGTTCCCTCACCTTACCTACCCAGAGCGCCTTGCCTGAAACGGATTTCAGGGCGCACAGGGCAGCGCTGCAGGTGCTGAAGATGCGCCCTCCCATAGTCACCTCCTCCTACTCTTTCCTTCTCTCACCCTCTCTTTTTCCCTCTCCCAGAGCGCTCTGCCCGAAACGGATTTCAGGGCGCACAGGGCGGCCCTGCAGGTGCTGAAGATGCGCAAGGACCATACCCTGGGGGACGAGACGCACCGCTACTGGGAGCAGATCTGGGAGGGCAGGTGAGGATGCGTGAGAGGCAGGTGAAAATATGAGAGGGCAGATGGGGATATGGGAGGGCAGGTGGGATGAGGGGGGAGGGTTGCAAGAGTGGTGAGTGGCACACAGTGAGAGGCAGTGCAGGTGCTGAAGATGCGCAAGAACCACACCCACGGGGACGAAACGCACCGCTACTGGGAGCAGATCTGGGAGGGCAGGTGAGGACACGTGGGAGGGGAGTGGAGGGCACGTAGGAGGTGGGGCGAGGGTTGCACGAGTGGTGAGTGGCACACAGTGAGAGGGAGAGGCATTGCAGGTGCTGCAGATGTGCAAAGACCACACTCTTAAGGATGAGACGCACCGCTACTGGGAGCAGATCTGGGAGGGCAGGTGAGCACGAGGGCAGGTGAACCCCAGTTTTTCCGTTTTCCGCGTTTTCCTGTATTTTTTCAAGCTGTGCGAGGTATATTTGAAGAAGATCCCAAAGCTCCCTGTATGATTGCACTCCACACCATTCTCTTCCCCAACTCCCCCCCCTCCTTTTTTCCCTCTCTCTCCCATCCCCTCCCCTTACCACCCACCATTGTTGCAACATTCCCCCAGTTCGCTCTTCAACTCGCGCCAGCTGGAGGCTGTGGCCCTCTACAACATCACGCTCGCATGCTGGGCTGAGCTGCGTGATTGGGTAATCTCACACCCTCCTTTCCCCCAAAACCCCATCTCCCCAAACCCTCCCCCCCCCCCCACCTTCACCCCAGTTCGCTCTTCAACTCGCGCCAGCTGGAGGCTGTGGCGCTCTGCAACATCACGCTTGCTGAGCTGTGCGCGTGGTTCGACCGCCACATCAGCATGACAGCTGGCGCCGACAGCGACGGAGGGGATGGCGCTGACAAGGACAGCATCATGGTCGAGAATGGAGAGGCTGGTGCAGCGGAGGCGGGTAACGGGGAGGCTTATAAGGGGGACGGGGATGGTGGAGGGAAGGTGCTTGGACGGCGCGTGCTGGTGCATGTGTGGGGAGCAGGCAAGTGGAAGGAGAGGAGTGAGGTGAGCACTGGGGAGACAGGAAAAGATGCAGTTGGAAAGGCTGAAAACGCCGGGAAGAATGGGAAGGGTGGTGGTGAGGGTGATGGGAAGGATGGGCAATGGAGGGAAGGACAGGTGGTGGTTGAGGTGGCGGATATAGAGAAGGAGAAGGCTTCTCTTGAGCTCTTTCCCGTGCTTAAACCCGTGGTGGTGGCGGCATGATCAGCACATCAACCAGTCAAACCTGTCAAGTTGATCTGCTCTGTGTTGATTTTTCTCTATGTTGATTCCACCCTGCGGTGTGTGTTACCTTTGGGTCTGGAACTCGTTTTTCCTGACCCTCCTAGATCGATTGGGATTCGCTGGTTTCTCTTTGATACGTCCCTATTTTGCACGAACTACAGAAAGGAGGGGGGAGGGGACATGAATGAGTGGACAATGTACCGTAATCTTAGTGTGGGAATATGCATCAGACCATCATCTTGGTGTGCAAATGCAAGCATGTGTACTACTGTCAATTGTACAGTATTTGTTACCCTAGGCAGTTACATTTGGTAGCCTAGGTTAGGGTTCACTATTTGTACCTATCTCCATCATTCAGGACTCACAATCTGTTTCTGACAACTACGCCCCTTAACTTCACGAGTACGGTAATAGGAATATAACTACCTACCTGACAAGGTATTAATACATACAACTGATGCACTATGGTACCCTACCCATGCTGCACAAACAGAATCAAAACTCTGCTTGCCAGTACTGAGAGCTGACACCTTGGTAACTACTGGCAGTCAGCTTCCCTATTCTAATTCACTGAGAATAATAATAGAGGGAAGCTGGCAGACAGACATTTTGAGTCGACTCAAAAACTCGAACCTACCGTATCCAGTGTATATTATGAGCGGCATTGCTGGCACTGGCACACTGCCCCTCTTCATTCTGCACAGCGCCAAATCAGCTCAGATAGCACAGCAGCAGCACCTTCCCCGCACATGCCCCATCACTGTGATTCGTCACTCCTGCGGATAACCCACCGCCACCGACGAATCTCAGTCTCACGATTTCCTCACAGCGTTCTGCACGAAGAGCAGCTCAGATAGCACCTCCCCCATGTGAGGCCGATCGCGGCCGGTGGGAGCGGTGCAGCGCAGAGCCAGCTGCAGCAGGCGCCAGGCTGGCACCTTGGGGAGGTTGGAAGGCAGGGCGGGGTCGAGCACTGCTGAGGGATCGCTGTCGTGCTTCCTCAGCAACGCAGAGACCTGCATGGGGAGTGGTGTTATAGGGAAACGGTGGTGGGCGGGTGGGAGAAATTATGTTTGAGTGGGGGAGCGAAAGGGGGAGGTTGGTGAGTTGAGTCAGAGCGAGCAGAGCCAGCTGCAGCAGGCGCCAGGCGGGGACCTTGGGGAGGTTGGAGGGCAGTGCAGGGTCGAGCACTGCTGAGGGATCGCTGTCGTGCTTCCTCAGCAACGCAGAGACCTGCATGGGGGGTGGGCAGACTGGGTGTTGGAGAAGGAGAGAGGAAGGGAGGTTGGTGAGTCGACTCAGAGCAAGCAGTGCCAGCTGCAGCAGGCGCCATGGGCAGATTAAGTTGGGCAGATGGGGGTGGGACCTACCTCAGCATATATGTGTGCTACGTGGTTACCAGACATGTGTTACCCCATAACCAGGTAGATGTGCATTACCTTGTAACCAGATGTGTGTTTTTTAGTGAGCACACTACCCACTGAGCACTCCTCTCTCCACTAACTACACTAGCCAATAACTCATCTCCTCCCCATTACCAGATCTCGGATGTGTGTGGAGGTCCCGAGGTGCTGGTCCTCTATCTGAGGTGGCAGGCCTTTGCAGTGGTACTGTGTAACTACATAACCTGGTAATCACTCTCCTCCCCATTACCAGGTCGCGGATGTGAGTGGAGGTCCCAAGGTGCTGGTCCTCTATCTGAGGTGGCAGGCCTGTGAGCGTCTCCAGCACGACAATCCCAAGGCTGTACACGTCACACTTGGAGTTGAGCACCCCGGTTGATGAATACTCCGGACACACGTAGCCCTGGTGGGTTGGAGGAGAGGAGAGGGAGGGAGAAAGGAGGGTGGGGAAAGGCAGACACAGCCAAGATCGACAAGGCAATCCCGAGGCTGTACACGTCGCACTTGGAGTTGAGCACTCCTGTTGATGAATACTCGGGACACACATAGCCCTGGTGGGTTGGGGTGGATGGGTTGGGAGAATAAGAAGGGGAAGAGGAGTCGAACTGAACAAGCACCACACGACAATCCCAAGGCTGTACACGTCGCACTTGGAGTTGAGCACTCCAGTTGATTTATACTCCGGACACACGTAGCCCTGGTGGGTTGGGGAATGGCATCAGTGGGAGGAAGGACAAGAGAGGAAGACAGTTTGAAGCACCACACGACGATCCCAAGGCTGTACACGTCGCACTTGGAGTTGAGCACCCCGGTTGACGAGCATTCAGGGCACACATAGCCCTGGAGGGTTGGATTGGGTAGGTGGAGAGGGAGGGAGAAGAGGGGAAGATGGTATCCGAGAGCCCTCTCAGATACAATCATCCCGAGACTGTACATATTGCACTTGGGGAGTTAGCACTTCGGTTGATGAGTATTCGAGGCACACACACACCACCAATCCTGTCACTCACCACGGATCCCTTCACTCTGACGATTGTCTAGGCCGGCGTGTGCACCGACGCCTCCCGCACGAACTCACTCAGCCCGACTCGAAGGTACACCCCTGCACGAGGTCTTTTTTGGAAGCACCTTAAAGGTATGGGTAATACCCCTTGCACTCACCACGGATCCCTTCACTCGGACGATTGTCGAAGCCGGAGTGTGCACCGACGCCTCCCGCACGAACTCACTCAGTCCAAAATCCGACAGCAGCCCCTCCCCCGACGCAGCAATGAGAATATTCTCCGGCTTCACATCTGAATGCACTATCGGCACCTCCAACCCCCCGTGCAATTACTCCAGGCCCCCGTGCCAGCAGCCCTTCACACTCACCATCCCTCCCACAGTCCCACTCACCACGGATCCCTTCACTCTGACGATTGTCGAAGCCGGAGTGTGCACCGACGCCTCCCGCACGAACGCACTCAGTCCAAAATCCGACAGCAGACCCTCCCCCGACGCAGCAATGAGAATATTCTCCGGCTTCACATCCGAATGAACAATCGGCACCTCCAACCCCCCGTGCAAATACTCCAACCCCCTCGCCGCCCCCACCAGCACATCGATCCTCCTCCCCCAGTCCCTCAGCCCGCCTTGCTCTTTTAATCCGCCGTGGAGATTATCGAAAAGGGACCCGTTTGGAGCGTAGGTGTAGACGAGCATGAGCTCTTGCGCTTCCCTGCAGAAGCCTATAAGGGGTACGAGGTTGGGGTGGCTGATGGAGGAGAGGACCTTGATCTCGTTGATGAAGGTGGAGAGGGAGAAGTCGGAGCGGAGGGCTGCTTCGCGCACGCGCTTCACTGCCACTGGCGTCCCTTGGGACGAGTTGAACGGTGCTTCTTTCACTGTCGAACGAGCGGTGGTGGAGGAAACTTCAGTGTCGATAACACCAGCAGCAGCACCACCAGCAGGAGGAGAGGAATCTATCTCAGCAGCACCATCAGCAGCGGCAGCAGCACCACTGCCTAGAGCGCCATCCGGTTTTTTTTCAACCTGCCCGTTCACCAGCCCTTTGTCTTTCCCCGCAGCGGCTGATTCCGGGAGCAGGCTTTCGTCCAGGTGCCCGAGGTACACGTCAGCAAAGGATCCGTGGCCAATCACGTGCGAGAAATGGTCGGTAGCCGCAATCAAATCGTCGTATCGGAAGAAACAAACCCCGTGGACCAGGAACGTCTGTCGGCCGTTGATTCTTTTCGAATCCGACGGACTGATCGTGATCTCCCACTCGTCGCCTTTCATCACCCCTGGGATCTTCAGGGTTGTGAGTGTGACTGTAGAGGGGGGAGTGCTCTTGGTTCGCCCCCAGAGGTTGGATCGCCAGCAGAGAAAGAGGAGGAGGATGATGACGAGGAGGAGCGAGGTGAAGAGGATTGGGAAGAGGATGGAGGAGGTTTTGGAGGGGGCGGGAGGAGGTGGAGGAGGGACGGTGAGTGGTGGCGCTGTGGGGATGGGAGGAAGAGGGGACGTGAGAGAGGAAAATTGGGAGAAAGAGAGTAAGTTGTTCGCGTAAGAACACATACCAGCAACCAGCAACTAAGCAAAAGGAGTTGTGGATTTTAACCGAAGCAAGCGTAGCGGTCTGCTCTAGAGTTTCAACTAAGAGCGCGGGTGGGTTAAGAACACATACCAGCAAGCAGCAAATAAGCAACCTGAACACGCACCCACCCACCAGACTCTGCAGCACTGCAGGGCTTGCGTGGAATGGGCGAGACGAATCCCGCAAAGCAATACGGCCCAAAGCTGACTCCCATGGAGACGTTATGCCGCGCCGCACACGTCTCACCTCACCTCCCCCTTGTTCTAACAAGCACACATTCTACTCCAAGCAACCCGCACACATACGCACACATGCGTGGTTGTGCAAGACTTACGTGGAACTGAGGAGGCGAATCCCTCGAAGCGATAAGGCCCAAAGCTGACTCCCATGGAAACATTGTGCTGCACAAACCTCATAAGTACCACCATGTTTGTGGAAGCACACGTGAGAACACATACCACTCGCACTCTCAACACACAGCTCATTATACAAGACTCACGTGGAATTGGGGAGGTGAATCCTTCGAACCGGTACGGCCCGTAGCTGACCCCCATGGAGACGTTATGCCGCACGAACCTCATCACCACCGCATTCACGATCGCAGCCGTCCATTTCTGCCCGCCGGGCAGAAAAATCAAAACCTCCAGCAGCTGAGAACCGTCCCTTTTCGTCCGAACCTGCCGAATCCACGCCTGCCCGGTTTCCCACCCAAACTGCGCCTCCAACCCCCGCTGCAGGTCAGTTGCTAAAGACTTAGAGAAGAACAGATTCGGCGAGTGAACGAGCCTAAGGAAGACTTTTAGTGCCTTGGCACAGACGCAAGCCGCTGCCACCCGGTAGGCATAAAAGCTGGGGTAAGCGGCGGCGGCGGTAGGATCACAGTTGTGAGAGGGACAGAAAGGGTCTGAGGTGAACACAATATCGTCAAGGGAGGCACCAGGGGAAGGGAGGAAGACTGGAGGCTGGATCTTGTCGTTGTAGCGGTCACAAGCAGGAGCGAGGGCGGGGAGTACAAGGGTGAAATTGCAGAAGGGGTTTCCCCAGAGGCGGAGGGAGTTGTTGGTAACCATGTCCATTAGATACTGGGGCGTTTTTCGACGGATCTTGCCGCCTGTATCGTCCAGCTCGTTGTTTATAAGGGAGACGTAGTGTATTGCGCCAGAGGCTGCTGAAGCTGAGAGGTCCGGGAGTTGTAGGTCGATCTTGTTGTTGTCCCCGTTGCTGGAGGGAGGGAGAGGGGAGAGAAAGGAGGGGAGAAAGGAGGGGAGAAAGGAGGAGAGAAAGGAGGGGAGAAAGGAGGGGAGAAAGGAGGGGAGAAAGGAGGGGAGAAAGGAGGGGAGAAAGGAGGAGAGAAAGGAGGGGAGAGGGAAGAGTAGAGGAACAGACGGATGATGACTTTTGAGGCGCCTCAAATGTGGTCCGGGAGTTGTAGGTCTATCTTGTTGTTGTCCGCATTGCTGGAGGGTGGGAGAGGGGAGAGGGGAGAGAGGAGAGGGGAGAGGGGAGAGAGGAGAGGGGAGAGGGGAGAGAGGAGAGGGGAGAGGGGAGAGAGGAGAGGGGAGGAACATGTGGGGTACGGTCATGTGGGGTACGGTCATGTGGGGTACGGTCATGTGGGGTACGGTCATGTGGGGTACGGTCATGTGGGGTACGGTCATGTGGGGTACGGTCATGTGGGGTACGGTCATGTGGGGTACGGTCATGTGGGGTACGGTCATGTGGGGTACGGTCATGTGGGGTATGGTCATGTGGGGTACGGTCATGTGGGGTACGGTCATGTGGGGTACGGTCATGTGGGGTACGGTCATGTGGGGTACGGTCATGTGGGGTATGGTCATGTGGGGTACGGTCATGTGGGGTACGGTCATGTGGGGTACGGTCATGTGGGGTACGGTCATGTGGGGTACGGTCATGTGGGGTACGGTCATGTGGGGTATGGTCATGTGGGGTACGGTCATGTGGGGTACGGTCATGTGGGGTACGGTCATGTGGGTACGGTCATGTGGGTCGTCATGTGGGTATGGTCATGTGGGGTACGGTCATGTGGGGTATGGTCATGTGGGGTACGGTCATGTGGGGTATGGTCATGTGGGGTACGGTCATGTGGGGTACGGTCATGTGGGGTATGGTCATGTGGGGTACGGTCATGTGGGGGTACGGTCATGTGGGGTACGGTCATGTGGGGTACGGTCATGTGGGGTACGGTCATGTGGGGTACGGTCATGTGGGGTACGGTCATGTGGGGTACGGTCATGTGGGGTATGGTCATGTGGGGTACGGTCATGTGGGGTATGGTCATGTGGGGTACGGTCATGTGGTAGGTCATGTGGGGTACGGTCATGTGGGGTACGGTCATGTGGGGTACGGTCATGTGGGGTACGGTAACGGTCATGTGGGGTATGGTCATGTGGGGTACGGTCATGTGGGGTATGGTCATGTGGGGTATGGTCATGTGGGGTACGGTCATGTGGGGTATGGTCATGTGGGGTACGGTCATGTGGGGTATGGTCATGTGGGGTACGGTCATGTGGGGTACGGTCATGTGGGGTACGGTCATGTGGGGTACGGTCATGTGGGGTATGGTCATGTGGGGTACGGTCATGTGGGGTATGGTCATGTGGGGTACGGTCATGTGGGGTATGGTCATGTGGGGTACGGTCATGTGGGGTACGGTCATGTGGGGTACGGTCATGTGGGGTACGGTCATGTGGGGTACGGTCATGTGGGGTATGGTCATGTGGGGTACGGTCATGTGGGGTATGGTCATGTGGGGTACGGTCATGTGGGGTACGGTCATGTGGGGTACGGTCATGTGGGGTATTGTCATGTGGGGTATGGTCATGTGGGGTACGGTCATGTGGGGTATGGTCATGTGGGTACGGTCATGTGGGGTACGGTCATGTGGGGTACGGTCATGTGGGGTACGGTCATGTGGGGTATGGTCATGTGGGGTACGGTCATGTGGGGTATGGTCATGTGGGGTACGGTCATGTGGGGTACGGTCATGTGGGGTATTGTCATGTGGGGTAACGGTCATGTGGGGTACGGTCATGTGGGGTATTGTCATGTGGGGTACGGTCATGTGGGGTACGGTCATGTGGGGTACGGTCATGTGGGGTACGGTCATGTGGGGTATTGTCATGTGGGGTACGGTCATGTGGGGTACGGTCATGTGGGGTACGGTCATGTGGGGTACGGTCATGTGGGGTATGGTCATGTGGGGTACGGTCATGTGGGGTACGGTCATGTGGGGTATGGTCATGTGGGGTACGGTCATGTGGGGTATGGTCACGTGGGGTACGGTCATGTGGGGTACGGTCATGTGGGGTACGGTCATGTGGGGTACGGTCATGTGGGGTACGGTCATGTGGGGTACGGTCATGTGGGGTATTGTCATGTGGGGTACGGTCATGTGGGGTACGGTCACGTGGGGTACGGTCATGTGGGGTACGGTCATGTGGGGTACGGTCATGTGGGGTACGGTCATGTGGGGTATGGTCATGTGGGGTACGGTCATGTGGGGTACGGTCATGTGGGGTACGGTCATGTGGGGTACGGTCATGTGGGGTATGGTCATGTGGGGTATGGTCATGTGGGGTACGGTCATGTGGGGTACGGTCATGTGGGGTACGGTCATGTGGGGTATGGTCATGTGGGGTACGGTCATGTGGGGTACGGTCATGTGGGGTACGGTCATGTGGGGTACGGTCATGTGGGGTATGGTCATGTGGGGTACGGTCATGTGGGGTACGGTCATGTGGGGTATGGTCATGTGGGGTACGGTCATGTGGGGTACGGTCATGTGGGGTACGGTCATGTGGGGTACGGTCATGTGGGGTACGGTCATGTGGGGTATTGTCATGTGGGGTACGGTCATGTGGGGTACGGTCATGTGGGGTACGGTCATGTGGGGTATGGTCATGTGGGGTACGGTCATGTGGGGTATGGTCATGTGGGGTACGGTCATGTGGGGTACGGTCATGTGGGGTACGGTCATGTGGGGTATTGTCATGTGGGGTACGGTCATGTGGGGTACGGTCATGTGGGGTACGGTCATGTGGGGTACGGTCATGTGGGGTACGGTCATGTGGGGTATGGTCATGTGGGGTACGGTCATGTGGGGTATGGTCATGTGGGGTACGGTCATGTGGGGTACGGTCATGTGGGGTACGGTCATGTGGGGTACGGTCATGTGGGGTACGGTCATGTGGGGTATGGTCATGTGGGGTACGGTCATGTGGGGTATGGTCATGTGGGGTACGGTCATGTGGGGTACGGTCATGTGGGGTATGGTCATGTGGGGTACGGTCATGTGGGGTACGGTCATGTGGGGTACGGTCATGTGGGGTACGGTCATGTGGGGTACGGTCATGTGGGGTATGGTCATGTGGGGTACGGTCATGTGGGGTATGGTCATGTGGGGTACGGTCATGTGGGGTACGGTCATGTGGGGTATTGTCATGTGGGGTACGGTCATGTGGGGTATGGTCATGTGGGGTACGGTCATGTGGGGTACGGTCATGTGGGGTACGGTCATGTGGGGTACGGTCATGTGGGGTACGGTCATGTGGGGTATGGTCATGTGGGGTACGGTCATGTGGGGTACGGTCATGTGGGGTACGGTCATGTGGGGTACGGTCATGTGGGGTATTGTCATGTGGGGTACGGTCATGTGGGGTACGGTCATGTGGGGTATGGTCATGTGGGGTACGGTCATGTGGGGTATGGTCATGTGGGGTACGGTCATGTGGGGTACGGTCATGTGGGGTACGGTCATGTGGGGTACGGTCATGTGGGGTATTGTCATGTGGGGTATTGTCACGTGGGGTACGGTCATGTGGGGTACGGTCATGTGGGGTACGGTCATGTGGGGTTACGGTCATGTGGGGTATTGTCATGTGGGGTATTGTCACGTGGGGTACGGTCATGTGGGGTACGGTCATGTGGGGTACGGTCATGTGGGGTACGGTCATGTGGGGTATTGTCATGTGGGGTACGGTCATGTGGGGTACGGTCATGTGGGGTATGGTCATGTGGGGTATGGTCATGTGGGGTACGGTCATGTGGGGTACGGTCATGTGGGGTACGGTCATGTGGGGTACGGTCATGTGGGGTACGGTCATGTGGGTATTGTCACGTGGGGTATGGTCATGTGGGGTACGGTCATGTGGGGTACGGTCATGTGGGGTACGGTCATGTGGGGTATTGTCATGTGGGGTACGGTCATGTGGGGTACGGTCATGTGGGGTATGGTCATGTGGGGTACGGTCATGTGGGGTACGGTCATGTGGGGTATTGTCATGTGGGGTACGGTCATGTGGGGTACGGTCATGTGGGGTACGGTCATGTGGGGTATGGTCATGTGGGGTACGGTCATGTGGGGTATGGTCATGTGGGGTACGGTCATGTGGGGTACGGTCATGTGGGGTACGGTCATGTGGGGTACGGTCATGTGGGGTACGGTCATGTGGGGTACGGTCATGTGGGGTACGGTCATGTGGGGTACGGTCATGTGGGGTATTGTCATGTGGGGTACGGTCATGTGGGGTACGGTCATGTGGGGTATGGTCATGTGGGGTACGGTCATGTGGGGTACGGTCATGTGGGGTATGGTCATGTGGGGTACGGTCATGTGGGGTATGGTCATGTGGGGTACGGTCATGTGGGGTACGGTCATGTGGGGTATTGTCATGTGGGGTACGGTCATGTGGGGTACGGTCATGTGGGGTATGGTCATGTGGGGTACGGTCATGTGGGGTACGGTCATGTGGGGTACGGTCATGTTGGGGTACGGTCATGTGGGGTATGGTCATGTGGGGTATGGTCATGTGGGGTATGGTCATGTGGGGTACGGTCATGTGGGGTAAGGTCATGTGGGGTATTGTCATGTGGGGTACGGTCATGTGGGGTACGGTCATGTGGGGTATGGTCATGTGGGGTACGGTCATGTGGGGTATGGTCCATGTGGGGTACGGTCATGTGGGGTATGGTCATGTGGGGTACGGTCATGTGGGGTACGGTCATGTGGGGTATTGTCATGTGGGGTACGGTCATGTGGGGTACGGTCATGTGGGGTATGGTCATGTGGGGTACGGTCATGTGGGGTATGGTCATGTGGGGTACGGTCATGTGGGGTACGGTCATGTGGGGTATTGTCATGTGGGGTACGGTCATGTGGGGTACGGTCATGTGGGGTATGGTCATGTGGGGTACGGTCATGTGGGGTACGGTCATGTGGGGTACGGTCATGTGGGGTACGGTCATGTGGGGTACGGTCATGTGGGGTATGGTCATGTGGGGTACGGTCATGTGGGGTATGGTCATGTGGGGTACGGTCATGTGGGGTACGGTCATGTGGGGTACGGTCATGTGGGGTACTGTCATGTGGGGTACTGTCATGTGGGGTACGGTCATGTGGGGTACGGTCATGTGGGGTACGGTCATGTGGGGTACCGGTCATGTGGGGTACGGTCATGTGGGGTACGGTCATGTGGGGTACGGTCATGTGGGGTACGGTCATGTGGGGTACGGTCATGTGGGGTACGGTCATGTGGGGTACGGTCATGTGGGGTACGGTCATGTGGGGTACGGTCATGTG